TGTTAGGCCCAGTCTGAGAAGAGCCAGGTGGGGGAGCAGCAGCTTCGTGTTCTGGGCGGTAGCTGGCTGACTAGCATCTTTCTCATGTTATGGAGCCACCTCCCGTTTTGTCCAAGGATGGAAGGCTTGTGTTTCCCTGGTGTCGCAGCCATGGAACAGTCCTAGAGCCATGTGTCCTTCCCCCAGCATCATCCCTAGCTTTTCCATGGGGTCCTGCAGGTACGGGAGAAAGCTCTGTTACAAACCAGGAACGAAGGCTCCTGAAGGAAATGGCCTCTCGTTCTAAGGCCCAGGGCTAGGCCTCCACCCTGATACTGTGGAGGGGTCTCTCTTAAGACCCACCCTAAGGGTTAATTTAGCCTTTGGGTTAAATCTGCCATCTGGCCCAGTCACGGTTTACTGACAAGCAATAAGAGGCTCTAAACGGGTCCAGTTCCCAGGACCCTTTCTCCACGATCCTCCAGGCGAAGAGCCTAGGCAGCCCCTGCCTATCAGGCCTGTCTGAGTATGACCATGACAGGGCCAGGAGCGCTGGGGGCAGTGTCCTCTGTCTTGTATGGACTCTGCCCTGCCCACTCCCAGTTCCTCAACAGATAAGCCATTTCCACTTCCCCAGAGAAGCAGCCAGGCCAAATACACCCGAACAGGGTCTATCCGTGTGGACCAGAGCCAGCCTCATTTGCTGTCTGGTTTCCAGATTCCCGTGTGTTGGGGGCAAGAGAAGAATGCTCCTGAGAGGGCTCGGCCAGACCCAGTTTTTGAGAAGATTGGGAGGCAGTCGGTTTGCCTCAGGATCTGTGCTTGGGCTTCCCACCAGCCCTTCCTGTTTGAGGCTGATCTTTGGAAGGCAATCGGCTGCCATGCCTGGTCAGCACCAATTCAAACCATGCCAGGAATCTGCCCCCCTGCCAGGTTCAGTTCTTTAATGTGCCTCTTCAGGGACACAGTGTGTCTCTCTGATTGGGCTTCTCAGTCAAAAGCCTGATGTTCGTGTCCCTCTCATAGGGGGAGCTTTGGACACAGGACCAGTTTGGAAAGGGTCAGGTAAGAGTTCACTCTGCACATTGTAGAGGGGACACTCTGTAGGCCCATGGGTCCCTTATATAGAGAGAGGTTGAGCAAATTTGCCTTCAGCTAACCTGGGACTTTGTTTTGTTCCCTCCTGCCTCCCAAAGATTATGACCATTTTGTAAGTGTATAAACTCACCTCTGTTAACAGTGGCCAAAAAGCTTTGTGCTAAAAGGCATGGGAAATCTTAAAGGCATTGTTCCCTGGGAAATGGGTGCCATCCTATCCTGTTACCCCTGCCCTGATCCTACAGCCTCAGCCGGGCAGCCCCCCTGTAATGCTGTCCTGCACCTCGAGTCCCAGCCAGGCAAAGGGTCAGAGGAAGGGAAGCCTTTTCCCCCTTTATGTCTTCAGCCGGTTACCTTACCATTGTCCCTCAGTCACTTTAAAGAATGGGCCCCACCCCCCTTTTTTAAGGCAAGTATTTGCATTCAAGCAGGGGAGGAAAGCCAGAGGTCTGGGGCCCCCCTCCCCATCCCTGGAGCACACCCTCCTCTTGGGTCCCATGTGCTTCTTTGCTTGTCCTTTTCCCACGTCAGTGCCATTTCCCCCCTTCAAGACGCTGTTTGGAGGGTGGGGGACCTGCTTCCTACTGTGACTGGGCTATGGGATTCTGATTACCTTGCTTACAGATTCATGGTTTGATAAATTTGTATTCAAAAACTTGAAATGTAGGGCGCCATTACGTGTCTGTTTATATTTTTGGAATATTTGTATTACTTACAATTAATAAAAGCGGGTTTAAAAAACCCACCCAGGAAGGGGTGCTCCTCCTGATCCTCTGTTCATTTGGGCACCTATCGGGCACACCCTTCACCCCTCGCAACCCCTTCATCATGATGAAGCTGGATTCCCATGGCTGGGAGACCAGCTGCAGGCTCAGCACGGGCTTCTGCTCAAGGTCACGGAAGCTGGGCTACATTAGCTCTTCGCCAGCCCCCAATAGAACCAACTCTGTTGCTATCCAGGTGCTTAATAAGCAAGTGCTTTGTGTCCTATCGACTTAACGGGGATGGACCTGCACCCCAGGGGACTTCATTCTTCTGTGCCCCTTACTGATGTTCCCAAACCAGGATGCCCGAAACCCGGAACCCAGGCTGGTTCCTGGCACATGGCACTCAAATATTGATGGAGTGATGTATGACACCAAGAAGCAAAACAGGATGAGGCATAGCACACTCCAGGCCTCTCATCTAGACTTGCCCTCCCCTTCTAAGAAATGCTTAGAAGCTTCTTGGGAGGCGCTTGCCAGCCTGGCCATCCAGGCCCTGGGCAGGCAGCTTTAGCCCTTGCCTCCTGTCAGCATAATGCATCCATATCTACAATGGCAAATTTCATATCCTCCCACCCTTTCCTGCATTATTGATGGGCTATGCACTTTTCAAAAATCAATTAGATCAGGGCGTGGAGCTAGAGTTAAAAAAAAGCCTTTAAAAGTCTGCTCTTGTTTTTTGCTGTTTTGAATAGGAACAGATAAAGCTTTCCCTCTGGTTTGAATAAGTCGAGCCCAGGGCTAGGTTGGCTGTGATTGGCCAGGACTAGGAAAATGTGGTTAAGATGCAAAGCCAAGCAAATATAACCCAGTGTCTGTGCAGCCATTGCTGAGCTCAGGCGGCAGACCTGGAGACGCCTGCTTTGGGTGGCTCTTCACAAGCGCCGCTTACTCACCAGCACCTGGGAGGACGGAGAGGAGCAAGGTAAGGTCTATTCCGCTGCGGGTGCATGTCAGGAGAGCCATCCTACTGAACAAGGAAGAAACAAGGGGAGGAGATTGAGATTTCTGCTCTGCCCTCTTCAGTGAGGCTTTTGAAGGGTTGAACCAGGAGTTTGAAACCTGTTTTGCAAACTTCTGCTGAGAAACCAAGACCCTTTTAGAGACCTCTGAACAGATAGTGCCGTTTTTGAGATGGTCTGGGGCAAGGGAGAGGTTAAAACCAAATAGCCTCTGTTTGGGGTCCATTCATACTGTTATCTCTAAGAATTAAGGGCCACTTGCTTTTAACTCATGATTTCAAAACTGCACCCCACCCCAAGGGTTTCTGCAGTGATCTTAAAGGGTGCTGAGTTTATAAGAACCTGGGAGGAGGGAGAGAGGGACCAAGTTTTGGGGAAATCTGATGTTATAGATGGAGTCGCATTTTCTGGGTGTTCCAGTGTGGCAAGAAGTCCCTTTGAGCATGTCCTCTCCTGCATTTGGGAGACCCAAGACCTGTAAGATCCTTCCTGATGGCTAAGTCCCTGCTGACAAACGGGACTGCTTTTGGCCTCTAAGATGTCCCTAATTAATGCCACTTGGTTTGGCTTTTACCAGGTTGACACTTCTCTACCTTCAAGGAGTGAATTCATTGGCCCTTGTTCCCTCTGCCTCGTTGGCTAACAGCATTTGCCTTGATAGAAATGGAGTGTCTGAAGAAAACCTGAACACTGGGGAGGGAGGGCATGTATGGCAGTGGGGTGGGGGGTGGGGGGATTGGTAAGAGATATACACACATAATACCTTAATAAAAAAAATTTTTTTAAATGAAAGAAAAAGAAAAAAAAACCTGAACAAATATTTCCTGGCAGTTCTGAGCAGCACAGGGTGGGGCGATGCAAGTTATCAAATTAAATCCTCAAACAGTGGCTGCTCCGCCTCACCGCTCAGCTTCAGTCCTGCCATAGCAATAGACAAAGGGAGTTTCTGTGTTTAAATACAGAGCATATTCTCCAAACCCGGGTCCATTCACTACAGCTCCAGAAAAGAATGGTCAGACCTGCTCCCCTAAACAGGCAGTGTCACTGCCTCCAGATAGTGAAGCCCACTCAGCCCTCGTGGATGGGCTTTCACACGGCAGATCCGTCAAGCCAGTCCTCTTGCGCTGCCTCTTGGCCGTATTCATCAGCCGTGTGTATTGTCATCAGAGGGTAAGCTCCTTGAGAGCAAGAACCAGGGATGCCTTTTAATTAATAAAGGCCCTATGTGACATGGACGTGTGTATGTGCTCGATAACCCTGGATACGCCTTGAATGGAGATGGTGCACAATCCACACAGACTTCTCTTCACCACTGCCCGCCCCCCCCCCCCCCCTCACCCCCAAGCCAGACCCAGCACCACTGGCTCCACAGGGCGGGTGGCAGGGAGGGCGGCAGCTCACTGGCAGGCTAGGCCACGCCCACCTTCCCCTGTTGGCACCTATACTCTTTGTCCCAGGCCCGGCCCTGCTTGCCATTTTACTTTTTTCTGTGAGGTTCAGGGAATATATTAGTCATAAGACAAGTAGGATGGGTTGTCGATGAGTTTTAGGATAGTTTACTTGAAAGTAAAAGCTCAAAGAAAAGGTCAGAGTTGACTATGGAGACGCTGGGAAGAATTAGAGGGGATGAGAATGAGAGAAGGCAGCCCAATTTAGAAATACTTAGTTTGACATCAGCTTTCCTCCTGGTGTATCACTGAATTTAGACATGTTTAGGAAGGGCTGCAGTACATCAAAAAGACTAAAAGCACAGATTTTTGGATCAGATAAGGATTTCATACTAGTGTGTGATCCTGGGCAAATTGTTTAATTTCTCTGAACCTGTTTTCCTACAATGTAAGACAAAGAAAATACACTCAGCTTATGAGAAATAAATGAGATAACATAAAATGAACAACACAGGGCTTAGCATATTTATCACTCCTTCAGTAAATAACCCTGCTGCTAACCATAGCTCTTCACCAGACAAGTGGCAAGTGGGAAGTAGAACTTGCGGGTGGGAGTCCTGGCCAGCCAGGCTAACGATGTGACCTCGGACAAGTCATTGCCCCCATCACTGTGAAATAGCAGGGCATGGCAGGGGGGCTGACAAAAGACTCCCAAGAGACTTAGGAAGAAAGCTGGGTGAATGCCTGCTGGGACAGGCCTCATCTCCCCGCTTGCTCTATGATGTTTCAGTCCCAGGAAGACAAGAGCCATGTCTCTGAGCAGCGCCTTCAGGGCTGTGGGCAACGACCCTGGGATCATCACCTGGAGAATAGAGGTGAGCGGGGCTGGGGCACACCTTCCCCTCGTCACCCAGGCCTCCCCAGGACAGCCCTCTGTCTCCCATCAGGAGCAGTGAGAGACAGCATCGAGGTGCACGTTTTCCTTTACCCCTCCTGGGGGTTCAAAGCAGGTGGGTGGCAGGTGGAGGAAGTGTTCTTAGCCTTGGAGAGAAAGGCTCCAAGCAAAAGTAAGCTTGTCCCTTTATTTAGCCATCTGCTCGGGTGAGTCTGCACTTCAGTAAATGCCCCGGGGAGATGGGTGGAGCCGGGCCCACCCAGGAGACTGATACTCCAGGCTGCTTCCGTCAGAACCGGAGTGCTCTGGCTCCCACAAAGTAGTAGGGGAGGTTTGGGGGGCACTGCACAGGAGAGGGCACGGCTCATCCCTTCTCCCACCTGGACTTGCGCCCCTATGGCTGACCTTGAGCTCCAGCAATCTATATATAGCCAGGAACTGCCCTGGCCCGGCCAGCCCCACCCACCCTCACGCCCCTGCTCTGAGCCGAGTGAGCGCTGCCTAAAACCCCTCACTCCTCTACCCTACATGTGAAAGGAGAGTCACAGCCTCTAGCAAGCAGCTCATTGTGTGAGAAGCCAAGGACATTTCCAATAAATACTAAAAAGTACAAAAATTATGGGATATTTAGTGTTTTTACATTTAACAGACACATTCTACATAGAACACACACAAGCATGGCTGCAGGTTTACCTCACTTGGAGGTAATGAAGAAAATCTACCTCTGAGCCCATGGGAATAGTCCTCCTGGGGCAAGACGGACATGCAGGTGATAAAGCAGAGCCCCACCCAGGCGCTGGGCTTGGAGCCCCCACGCATTCACTTCACAAAGCCCCAGAGAACCTAAGCGTTCTGTTCTTCCAGACCGTGGCCAGCACTGGTGGTCAGAGTTGGAGAGTGATGTCAGAGGCAGCGGTGCAGCTGCTCAGCTTACACCCAGCTCCTCCTGCAGCGGCTGGGGGTCCTCACACAGGGCAGCAGACAGCGCGGGGCGGGTAGCAGAGAGGAGGATGGGGCAAGGACAGGCACCCACCCTCAGACTAAGGCATCCAGGCTGAGCTCAGAAGCCAGGTGGTCATGCTACTCCTGCCACACCCTGTAAGATCGGTGGGGACATCTCCCCTGCTGTCTGTGACTTTGAGGAAAGGGCTGCTTCGGGGAGGGGGAGGGGAGGTAGGAGGTAATGCAGCCTGTGCACATCCCTTATCCTTCCAGAAAATGGAGCTGGCGCTCGTGCCCCAGAGTGCCCATGGCAGCTTCTATGAGGGGGACTGCTACATCATCCTCTCGGTGAGCACCATCCACCACCCCACCCCACCCCCATTCCCACATGCCTCTCCCCAGAGCCAGGCTCTGCAGAAGAGAAATGATGCTATTCAGATACCTGGTGTCAATCTTGACTCTTCCTCCATGTTATATAGGACAGGCCTACAATTTGACCTTAAAGGCTGTTCTTAGGTGGGAGTTCTCAATTTTGCATCAGTGGGTGAAGGTGGGGCCCTCAGTCTGAACTTAGGGAAGTAACTCACAAGCAGCACTTCCTGGGGAGGGGGCAGCCCCCAGACTGCAGTGGTGTGGAAGAAGGCCAGACAAATGCCGGCCTTGAAGTGCTCATTCTAGCTGAGGAAACAACATCCCACATGAACAGTGCTGACAGCCACGAGATGGACAGATCAGCATGGTGCCAGCTCTGTAAGTTCAGGGGAATGGAGGAGCCGCAAGGTAAGTCTGCAATCCAAGTTGGAAAAGGTCCCTGTTGCACTCCATTTATTTGAGAACAACAAGCTGTCAACTTTTCCCAAATGTGGAGAGGAATCAGGGCTGCCTGAGCTTGAGCCACACAGTAGGTCCGCTTAGGGGCCACTGCAGGGAGGGAGAGGTCTGGAGCCACTGTATGCTGCCAGTGGGGCAGCAGCAAAGGGGAGGCGAGCTGGTCCCTGACCTGATCTCTCTGGCTACATCCCAGACCCGGAGAGCGGGCAGTCTCCTCTCCCAGGACATCCACTTCTGGATCGGGAAGGACTCCTCCCAGGACGAGCAGAGCTGCGCGGCCATCTACGCCACACAGCTGGACGACTACCTGGGCGGCAGCCCCGTGCAGCACCGCGAGGTCCAGTACCATGAGTCCGACACCTTCCGCGGCTACTTCAAGCAGGGCATCATGTGAGTAGTTAAGGATGAGCCAGGGGAAATGGCAGTTTTCCAAAGAGGAAACCCGAAGGGGCCAATAAGTACATGAAGAAAGTGATCAGAGAAATGTAAGTCCAAACAAATAATTTCCACTACTTGAGTAGCACAAATCTGAGAGCTGGGCAGTGCTAGTGCTGGCGAGACTGTGGGGAAACAGGAGCCCTGGTGCCTTGCTGGTGGGAGGGAGGACTGGCACAGCATTCCAGAGCGATCTGCCCCTGAGGCAAGTCCCATTTCTGGGTGTATAATTCAAAGGAATCCTCACGTACCCAGTTCCATAAAGGCGCATGAACCAGGATGTTCACAGCAGTTATCATTAGCTATGGCAGAAGCTGCAGGCAATGTAGAAGCCCATCACGGGGAGACTGGATAGGAAAAAGACGCCAGGGCATCAAGGAGTGCTATGCAGGAGCAACAGATTGGATAGATCCCTAACATGGACAGAGCCTAACATCAGCCTGCTTTAGGGAACACAGTAAGAAACAGCCTTGAGCTATGCAACAGAATGCCAATTTGTTTGTTTTTTTTAAAACCACATGCACACAAAACCACAGTCCACATTTCACCAGAATAAAAATAAATCGATGTTGAACTGTTAGAATGGTTGCCCACGGTGGGGCGAGGCCTGTGAGCAGGGTATGCACATAAAAGAGAATACGTCAAGGCCTAAAACAAGAGAGGGTTCTGGTACTGCTCGATGAACTGATGAGTTTGATTAACTCAAAACTTTGCACTGGAGCTTGAAACAAAAAGAAATCCCAATGAGCTCAAGAATTCTGAGGCTGGTCCAAGGCCAGCTTCATGCAGACCAGCAGATCCCACGCCTGCTGAGCACAGGGCATACCACTGTCACCAGGAACCTGGTACGGAGGCTGGGCTGGGTGAGAGCCGGGGCAGGAGAACTGATTCCAGGAGGGAGCTGGTCCTCAGGCCGTGGTGCCATCGATGCTTCTGCTGCTGCCCAGCTTGTGTCCCTCTCCCTGCCACACACTGACAGTCACACCTTTCCCAGCACAAAGCAAGCTCTTCCGTGCTATGGGGTCTTACTACCAATGTTCCCGCTGTTTTGAACACTAGCTCCTTGTGGTTGGTTCCTATTCCTTTAATTCTCAGCTGGACTGTTACGCCTTCTGAGAAGACTGCCTGACCACTCTGTCAAGGTCTGTCACTGTGTCTGCTTCTGTGGCAGCCATGACTACCATATCGGTTTACTTTGCTTATTTACTGTTGTCACCCACATGGGCAGAAACTGCGTCCGCGTAATGCACCGCTGTCTCCCCAGTACCTAACACAGAGCAGGTGCTCAATAAATAACTTACTGGCTGTTCCCTCAGCTACAAGAGGGGGGGCGTGGCCTCTGGGATGAAGCACGTGGAGACCAACACGTACGACGTGGAGCGGCTGTTGCACGTGAAGGGGAAGAGAAACATCAGGGCCACGGAGGTAAGTCCTCCCCGCGGTTTCAGGGCCCCGGGCCTCTCTGCCTGATTCCTAAGAATTCCTCCTGAACGATGTCTGCCTCCAGGTGGAAATGAGCTGGGACAGTTTTAACGGAGGAGATGTCTTCTTGCTGGACCTTGGGAAGGTTATCATCCAGTGGAATGGTCCAGAGAGCAACAGCGGGGAGCGTCTGAAGGTACAGCTCTTTCCAGCCGTCCTGCTCCCCTCCCCCTCAGGCCTGCTCGGAGACCTTGTCTCTCTCAGGCGCCTCTCCCTTCTTCCTTCCTTGCTGGCTCTTACCCGAGACTCAAGGCGGACCCCTGCCTTGGAGCAGAGTCTGTTTTAGAAAAAGGCCCAAGTGTGTGAGTCTGTGACTCGCCTCTGGGCTCCCGGCATCAGAGTGACTCCTGTCTGGGATCTGGGCTGCTCCTCCCAACGCCATCAGGCAGAAAAGGGAGAGGGGCGGAGAAGCCGAGTGCCTCCATGGGTTTCTTTAACAGGCAATGCTCCTGGCAAAGGATATTCGGGACAGGGAGCGAGGGGGCCGCGCTGCAATAGGAGTGATCGAGGGAGACAAGGAGGCAGCAAGCCCAGAGCTGATGAAGATCCTTCAGGACACCCTCGGCCGGCGTTCTGTTATCAGGCCTGCAGTCCCAGATGAGGTCGTAGATCAGCAGCAGAAATCAAATATCATGTTATATCAGTGAGTAGCTGAACCTGGCTGCTGGTTGGAAGCTGGGACAGGGGGAAGGTGCTTTTCCTCCTTGGCTGCTCATTTTGGGTGCAGGAGTCTGGCTTTCTTTTAGACGTTTCCCAATGCAGTTTCTAGAAAGAGCTTGCTATTCCGATTCAAGGAGGCAGCTACCATCTGTCCTTGTCAGCAACTCCTCCTGGTCTCTTGGGGACACTGTTCCTTTACTTGGGTCTATACCTGCGCAGGGATATGACGGGATGTTTGGAGAGAGATGCACAAGTCTCCACTAGAGAACTGAGTCCCTCACATTCCCATCTGCATTCAAGCCAGGCCTGTCATAGGAAGTCAAACTCTCCCCAGAAAACCCCATTTTAAAACAAAGCCAGGAAAATACCCAACGACTACAAGATGCTTTGCAGAAGAGAAGACACAGGCTAACCTCTCCCTTTCTCCAGCGTCTCAGACTCAGATGGGCAGCTGGTGGTCAGAGAGGTAGCGACGAGGCCTCTGGTCCAGGACCTGCTGAGCCATGATGTAAGCAGAGCCTGAGGGGGGTGGCCAGACCTGGCCGCAGGGCAGGCCCTGGGGAAGGTGTAACCACGTGTGTCCCTGGCTGCTTCAGGACTGCTACATCCTGGACCACAGCGGAACCAAGATCTACGTGTGGAAAGGAAGAGGAGCCACGAAGGCTGAGAAGCAGATGGCCATGTCTAAGGCCCTGGTAGGAGCTACAGATGTACAACGTCGTCTAAAAAATGTTGTAACACTCCAGCTGTGCTCAGAGAGCCACATGTATGTAACTGCAAAGAACACTGCAGTTACATACATGGACTTAAAGTCAGGCAAAGTGGGATTCAAATCCAGGTTCAATGCCATCCCCTGGGGTTGCTGTGAGGATTAAATAACATCTGTAAGGCATTGGGAACAGTACCTAGTACACACACTGGCTCGATAAAAGGCAGCTGTTACTACTGACGGGGACAGATAGCACGCATCAAGGGTAATGGCCCTGTCCTCAAGGAGCTTATGATATTGTGCAGAGCCGCAGATAAACCAAGCAGGATGCACTTACAGAGCAATAGATGGGCAAATGAATGCGAGACAAAGTCAGTATTCTACATGAGTGTTCAAAGAACAGGAAAAAAATAATAATCACGACAGGCCAATAACAGATGACAAAATGTTCCACTCAGTCGTTTCCTGAGTGAGGCACATCTGTCCTAGACAGCAATAGGTTAGAACTTGACTCCGACTCCCAGAAGGGAGCAAATAGCAATCCCACCAGCTGGCTTCAAAGGGGCGAATGGCGGTCAGTAAAGGACTCGGTGCCTTCCCTGACTGACCTGCCTTTCGGGGTGGGGGGGGCGGACTGGGTATCTACAGAACTTCATCAAGATGAAGGGCTACCCCAGCAGCACCAACGTGGAGACCGTCAACGATGGTGCTGAGTCAGCCATGTTCAAGCAGCTGTTCCAGAAGTGGTCGGTGAAGGAGCAGACCGTGGGCCTGGGGAAGACGTTCAGCGTTGGTAAAATTGGTAAGATTGCCCCCGACTGTCTTCCTACTGGGACTGCAGAAAGGCAGGCATGGATGATCTTCACTCACTTGGCTTCTCCCAACCCCCTCTCTGCAGCTCAAGTTTCCCAGGATAAATTTGATGTGACGCTGCTGCACAAACCAGAGGTAGCTGCCCAGGAAAGGATGGTGGATGATGGCGATGGGAAAGTTGAGGTAAGCCTAACAATCCCCATCTCGGCGCGGACAGGCAGCTCTGGCCTCCTGGCTGTTCTGCTGTAGAGGAGAGGGCGGGTGGTTTTGTGTCTGATTTGCTTTCCTTTTCATCTCCGGTGCCTAGGACTATTCTCTCTGAGATGTCTGAGTCTGCATTTCCCCCACCATTCTTCAGGAAAAGGAAAGGCAGATACCCTAGTGAGCTATCAGTAACTCACCTGGCAGAACTATTCAAATCACCTGAGCTGTGACAGGAGGTGCCTGACCAGGGAGAACCCAGTTCTCCTCCAGATTCAAATCATGCAAATGTGATAAGCCCTCGCCCCTGGGAAAGCAGCCCCAGAGCGGGCGGGGGACTCTGAGTGGCAGGTGCTAGTGCCTTACGTGAGGATTCTCTGCTAAGCACCGCCCCTTCCCTCAGGCAGCTGTCGCTTCCCACAGCCCCCTCTCTGTCCCCTCCTGTACCAGGTCTGGAGAATCGAAAACCTGGAGCTGGTCCCCGTGGAGCATCAGTGGCACGGCTTCTTCTACGGAGGAGACTGCTACCTGGTTCTCTACACATTCGAGGTCTACGCGAAGCCCCATTACATCTTGTACATCTGGCAGGTAGGCCTGGGGCAGGCGCTCAGCTCTCGGAGCCGGTGCTTCCCCCGGCCACGAGGCTGGGGCCAGGGCAGCGGCGGCGGCCATGTCTCCTGTCCCTGCCGCAGGGCCGCCACGCCTCGCAGGACGAGCTGGCCGCCTCGGCGTTCCGGGCGGTGGAGGTGGACCGGAAGTTCGATGGGGCCCCCGTGCAGGTTCGGGTCACCATGGGGAAGGAGCCACGCCACTTCATGGCCATCTTCAAAGGGAAGCTGGTCATCTTTGAGGTGAGAGCCCTCAGTCTAGTTACACCAGGAGCCAGAAGGCTCCGAACTAACAAGCAGGGGCTACGGTAGAGGAGAGGGAGCGTGGGGAGCAGGCCTTGGGGTAGACATGGACAAGAAGGGGTTAATAATCTCTTTAAGACAATGAAGTGAATCCCAACTGCCTAGGCCTTCAAGTTCAAACCACTGCCTAGTTCAAGTTCAAGGTCTTTCATAACCTGACCCAGATTGCCCGGGAGTGCGCTGCCCTCACTCCCTAACCTACGTGCTCCACGGTTGGTGGTCTCCTCACTGGCCCGCACCTGTGCCATATCACACCTGTGCCACATCACACCTGTGCCGTATCACACTCCTGTCAACCTTCCCCACCGGCTGTGTCCTTCAGATTCAAGTCCTACTTCTCCCACGAAGCCCTGGCTGAAACCCTACCAAAAACGTACAACGGCACATGCTTGATATACACAAGTCTGTGCTCAAGTGCTAGTCTTGCCATTTGTTAGCTAGGTTTCTAAGCCTCAGTTTCCCCACCTGTACTATGGGATGGACCTTCACGGAGTTATCTGGAGGATCAATGACATGATGTAGGAAAGGCACCGCCCACAGAGGTCTTAGGATGGAAGCTAACATTGTTGGTACCATAACTCCAGGCCACCCCACCTCGCCCAGTGAGCCTACGAGCTCCTCAGAGGCAGATATGGTGTCAAATACATCAGTGTTCTCGACAGCTAGCCCAGTGCTCTCTCCCAAAGCGCACCTCAAGTCCAGACTCTGCTTTTCTCCTTTTCTCCAGGGTGGGACTTCCAGGAAGGGCAATGCCGAGCCCGACCCTCCAGTAAGGCTCTTTCAAATTCAAGGAAATGACAAATCTAACACCAAAGCAGTGGAGGTGCCAGCCTTTGCCTCCTCCCTGAACTCCAATGACGTCTTTCTGCTGCGGGCCCAGGCAGAGCACTACCTGTGGTACGGCAAGGTAGGATGGCTGGGCCAGAGGTCACACCAGCCCTCTGTCCACCCTCCCGTCAGCAAGGCTGAACAGGAAAGATCCTTTCTCCTAAAGGGTCCTCAAAGGGACTGCCAACCTTCTCCACTATCAGGCCTCCAATTAGGAAGTCAATGACCGTCCTGCCCAGACCCAGGAGACACCCCATAAACTTCTAAATAACCCAATCTTTGCACACCAATTTGATGGATTACAATAAGACAGGTATTACCACTGAACAATAACACAGAAAATGTGATTAGTGTCCATTCAGACTGCATCTGCATTAAAAAGAACTAAGTTGTTTTACAAAAGAGAATCGAACAGGAAAAGACGCTCAACATCATTGGTCATTAGGGAAATGCAAGTGAAAACCCAATGAGATACACACTTATTAGAATGACTAAAAAAATGGAGACTATCAAGTGCAGATGAGGATGTTTCTTATAAAACATACACTTGTCATACGATCCAACGATCCCACTCCTGGGCATTTAACCATGTGAAATAAAACACTTGTCTTCACACAAAAACCCATATACAAATGTTTATAGCACATAGCACCTTTATTCACCATCACCCAAAACTGAAAGCAACTCCACTGGAGAAGGATAAACAGTGTTACTTCCATACAGTGGAATGAATACACTCAGCCACACAAAGGGTGCGGGTCACACCCACACTACAGGGTGACACTCAGTGAAAGGAGCCAGACTCAAAGGCTACACAGTGTATGGTTCCATTTATGACCTGGAAAAGGCAAAACGATTGTGATGGAGAGCAGAACAGGGGCTGCCAGAGGTTAAGGATCGGAAGAGTTGGATACAAAGGGATGGTGTGGCCGCATTTTTTTGCTGGGGCAAGGCAGCCGTTCTGATTCTTTGCTGTGGTGGTAACTCGATTCGATGCATTTGTCAAGACTGATAAAACTGTATGCCGGAAAAAAGTGAATTTTTGCATATGTAATTTTAAAAATGTTTACATTTTTCTCTTAAAAAATATTAAAAGTGGGTGTTAAGATTCTAACTGAAACCAAACCAAAGGTGGCTCTTGTCAACATCCATGTGGGTTTCAGAGTCTAGTTCTGTTCTTTGCCACCACAGTGTTTTCCTATCCCACCCACTCCCTTCCCAGCACTAGAACAAACCTGTTCCCCGTCCCAACGTACTGTGGCTTGGTAGTTGATCCTAGCTACACTAAGCTATTAGTCTCAGAAGCTTTTTTTCCCCACATCAACGTGCTCATGAGCAACTAACGTGTGTTCTCCTCACCCCACCCTCAGGGGTCCAGTGGGGATGAGCGGGCAATGGCTAAGGAGCTGGCCGGGCTCCTCTGTGATGGCACTGAGGACACTGTGGTTGAGGGGCAGGAGACGCCAGCGTTCTGGGACCTGCTGGGAGGGAAAGCTCCCTATGCCAATCACAAAAGGTATGGGGCCACAGCATGCCCTCCTCTTGGCTCCTCTTGGCGCCCCCTGGGTCCCCCTGCCTCCCAGGCTTGTGACCCACACATGATTTCTAAGCTCAGTTCCTCCACCCGGGCTATCTTGCAGACTGCAGCAGGAACTCCTGGATGTCCAGCCCCGTCTCTTTGAATGCTCCAATAAGACTGGCCGGTTCATGGTCACCGAGATCACAGAATTCACCCAGGATGACCTGAACCCAGGTGATGTGATGCTCTTGGACACCTGGGACCAGGTAAGACACGCCCAGGGAGCTTGGAACAAAAGACAGAAATCCTCACCGCTCAGGCCATTTTTATGTAGTAGCTCCCTGCCAGCATAAACCCAGGACCATCCCCAAGCCAATCAAACAACTATCAGTGGTGACCAACAACAGAGCCTATTTTTTTTTTTTTTTTTTTTTTTACCAGAGTTAGAAAGAACAAAATGTTGTTTAAAACTCACCATCCTGGGAACTCTCCCACCTTGCTCTGGGAAAAATCAGGCCATGCTCTCTGTCATCAGGCACTTCTTTCTCTCAGGACCAATAGCAGCCAGCTCCACACCCAATGTGGGCCTTTGAGGAACAAAGGGGTGGAAAGGGAGTATCTCCAAGGCAACCTCTCCTGACACCCCCTTTTCTTCAGTTTGGCTCAGCAAACACGCTCGGCACCTCCTCTGTTCTAGTCACGGAGCGAGGTGTGATGTCACCGCGCTGAAGAGGGCCATCCTGCGCTGAGACTTCACAGGCTAATGGGGGTGGGGATGTAGGAGCATCATTTTTCTATGATGGAGGTGCATAAAAGGCGCTATGGGAGCACACATTAGGGGCACTCACACAATTTAGCAGCTCAGAGCTGACGTCCTGGAGGAGATGGCTCCCAACTGAATCTCAAAAGATAAATAGGCATTAAATCAGGTAAAGAGGGCATTCCAGGCAAAGGAAATAGCACAAGTAAAAGCAAGGCACGAGTCATTCTAGTATACATGGAGCTACAAAAGGAAAATATTATCAGAACATAAGATCGAGTTAAAGAGCACCCTAGCGATGCAACTGAAGAAGTAGGTATGGACCTTACCTACTATGTGAAAAAGTCTGAGCTTTATCCTGGAAAGCTACTGAAATTTAGGCAGGTGAGTGGCAAGGTCGGACTGCACTCTAAGTAGAACATTCCAGCAAGCGTAGGAGAGGAGGGATGGGGTGAGAACAAAAGAGGACTATGCAGGGAGGCTGGTCAGTAGTCTATGGTTAGAGTCCGGTTAAGCGCTGCTGCGCGGGCCCACATAGGAGCAATGGGTAGAGATGCAGAGATGGTGACAGGTTTGATAAATCCAGAGAAGGTAAAGTGGCTGGCCTTAGTAACTCACTGGATATGGGGCATGTAGGATGAATCCCAGGTTACCGCCTTAAAAATGAGTGGACACCTTTCACCAAGAATGGAGACACAGACAAGTTTAGAAAAGAGCTGCATTTTGGGGTGCTGTATTTGAGGTGCTTGAATAGAGCCAAGAGGGGATGTTTTGCAAGAAGTTGGGTTCAGGAAGTTGAAGTTTAGATAAAGAGCTCAGGCCTGGAAATGTACATATGGGAGATACACATGGCAGTTAAAATCACGAGTCAAGATGATTCTGAGAAAAGCTCTCTGTGAGGCTGTGACTTGCTGGCGGGGGAAGAGAGGGCAGTGTTTATGATCTAGTACACAGTACTTGCTATGAGCACATTAACAAATAGTCAATCTCTACCATAACAGGTGTTCTTGTGGATCGGGGCTGAGGCCAATGCCCTGGAGAAGGAGAGAGCTCTGGCTACAGCCCAGGAGTACCTGCACACTCACCCTAGTGGCCGAGACACTGACACACCGATCCTGATCATCAAGCAGGGGTTCGAGCTTCCCATCTTCACAGGCTGGTTCTTGGCCTGGGACTCTCACATGTGGAGTGTAAGAGCAGAGAGAACGGGGAGGCGTTCTTACTGTCAGGGAGCTCAGCATTAATAGCTCAGTGGGAAGGTGGGGGACTCAAGGGCTGAGTAAGCCCACGTCCACATTTCCTTCCTCCCCGTCCCCTGCTTTTTACTTCTCTTTCCCACCCTCCACAGCACTAAGTCCAGTTAGAGAATTCACAGCTTATTTCAGGAATAAGCAGCGTGTAGAAGTAATATTCAGGAAGTATGCCCACACACCTGTTTTATAGCTTTACAACCATCCTGACAACTATGGTAAACATGGTTTCCCATGTTACAGATGAAGAAGCTTAAGGAGAAGTTATTTGTCTAAAGACACAATTAACCAGGTTTTCCGACTCCTAGTCAACTGCTGTCTTAAGTCTTATAGGGAGGATTGAGGGACCACCAGCAAAGAATGCATATGATGTTTACATACCTCCCAATCCTACATGGGCCTAGAAGGGATTTTCATTTTTGCTCATGCCCGAAATGTCTTGGATTCCCTCGCATTTTTGCTTTTTTCGAGGGTACAGACTAGGCCTGAGATGGCCATCCTTATATGCAGCACTTCACCCTGTTTTCTCTCTCTTCCTTTCAGGCAGGGAAATCCTATGAGCAGTTAAAGGAAGAGCTGGGAGACACTGCTGCCATCACGAGAATCACTGCTGTGAGTTTCCTGGAGGAGGAGAAAGTCAAAGAGGAACAGCGAGTGCTACAGATGTCACATGGGTGAAACCCTGCATGCCCTCTTAGTATCTCAAGCCATCTATTCGGATATGACGATTGTTTTACTGAATAGAAAAGCAGGTCTCAGAGCCAAGTTCCTCATTTTACCGCCTTCCAGAATTTAGAACAGACTTGCTGTTTTTAAAAAGCAACAAAACTAATTTTATTAATCAATTCTGTCATTCAGGACAGATTAAATTTATTGACAGCATTTCTCAGAAGTAGTAAGTTTCTAACCCAGATGATATGTCTATCAGTTTCTGACAGTGGAATACACAGAAATTCAGGTCACTACCCCTATTTAATGGCTAAAAGAAGTGGAGCCTCTGCCAGGAATCCAGCAGCAATTTAATATCAGGATGAGCTGGACAGCACCAGCGGTCCAAACCCACTGACAATTATGTCCTTTATGCTCTACAAACTCAAGATTCCAAAGCTAATAGTGATGTGGCATCTTTAAAATGTATTTAAGAAAAGTATGACCTCAATTGAAGTCATTTAAAGCCTGGAAATGCAGAGCCTAAATTAAGTGCCAAGAGAAGGGATGTGATCACAATATTTAATGAGATTGAAGCACAGCACTGATGCCAAACTGGCTAGACAGAATTTACCTTATATTTATTCAACCAGCTTTTTCCCAAGGACCCCAAAGTCTGAATAGTTTGGATTCCCTGATGATTCTGACATGCAGCCAGGTTTGGGGATAACTGCTCTAAAAGCTAATTACAAAGAGTGAAGTGGTACAAACTCAAATTTTAATATTATACACACAGAACTTCGATTGCACAGCCCTGAACAGTTTTTTTTACCGTGTCTGTTTTCATCTCTCTTACCTAGGACATGAGTAATACAACTTTCTCCCTGAATTCTAAAATAAAATATTACCCTATCGACGTTCTATTGAAAAATCAGGATCAAGAGCTGCCGGAGGATGTGGACCCTGCCAAGAAGGAGGTGAGTCTGATGCAAGTGCCGCTCCCCTGGAGTACAGTGCCGGTCCCCGTACACAGCCTCGGGCACTTCCGGGACAACGTAAGCACTCAGACATTTGAGCTACCAGTAGCTTAAAAACTCTTTCTTTTATTATTATTAACCAAAGAATATACTTTATTCAGATACCCTCAGTTTTTCTCCATTGTCCATTTTGTTTCAGCATCTTATCCAGGACATCCTGTTTCACTGAGCAGTGTGTCTCTTAGGCTATTCTTGGTTGTCATACTTCCTCCAACTTTGTCTTTGATGTCTCTTATATCCTGTGCTTTCTGTGACAAATTACATCAAACTTGATGTCCTTAGGTTTTTAGACACATCCACAAAGTAATGGCTGCAGCTTAAGTTCCAGTTTAGGTAAATAGCTGGCTGGTGTGGTTCAGCTGGTTGGAGCATCATCCTGTACACCAAAAGGTGGGGGGTTAAATTCCCAGTCAGGGCACATAACTAGGTTGTGGGTTTGAACCCGTCGGGGATGTGCAATGGGGGCAACCGATCAATGTTTGTCTCTCTCTCTCTGTCTCTCTCTCTCTCCCTCTCCCTCCCCTCCACCGACTCCCTCTCACTCTTGCTCTCCCTGAGAGGCACACATTACCAGCCATCCCGTCCCCTTCTTGGTCACCGCAGCCATCACCATCAAACTGACACTAACAAGTAACTATTCATCCCCACTGACTCCATTGCTCGCTACCAGCCACTTGCTGCCCTCTCGGACTCGCTTTCTTCCTCTCTCTCTCTCTCTCTCTCTCTCTCTCTCTCTCTCTCTCTCTCTCTCTTTCTTTTTTTTGGTTAATCTTCACCAGAGGATATGTTTCCATTGATTTTTAGAGAGTGAAAGGGAGAGGGAGAGATACAAAGAGAGAAACATCGATGTGAGAGAGATGCATCAATTGTCATGTAGGCCGATCAGAGCTGAAGAATGCCCTTGACCTGAATCGAACCTGGGACATTTCAGTCTGAGGGCCAATGCTCTATTCACTGAGCCAAACTAGCTAGGGCTCCAGAGCTCTTTCTTGATATGTTTTTCTCACCTCCCACATCAATCCATCAACTAGCCTCTGTCCACTGCTCTCCACCTCTCTGCTGCCAGTCTGGTCCAGCCAGTGTGGCCTACTACAACAGTCCCCCAACTGGCTCCTACAATCTGCTCCCCACCTGACAACCAATAGGCTTTTGAAACAGATGACCCTGTTCTATTTAAAACAGTGAATGGCTTCCTATTGCACATAGAGAAGAAACCAAAGTCCTTTCCATGGCATCCAAGGCCCTATCCAATCTGCCCCTTGCCCCCTCTGATTTAATCCCACACACCAGGACCCTCCTCACTGAGCCCCTTTCCGCCAGTACCTGCTTTTCTTTAACATGCCCATTCCAGCCTTTGAGCCTTTATATTTGCTATTGCTTTTATCAGAAAAAAACTAACAGTCAACACCTCGTTATTTAGGTCTCAGCTCCGATATCACGTGCCCAAGAAGGCCTTCCCTGACTACCCTACCTCCCTCTGCTTCCCTCCCTCCCTCCAGGCCCTTTGTACTGTTTACTGTGTCTCCCCTTCCAGTAGATCCTTAAGAGCAAGGACCTTACCTGTCTTGTTCACCATCCCATTCTCACTTTTCACCACCTAAAACAGTACCTCACAAATAGCAGGCACTTCTTAAGTACTGGTTAAATGAATTAACATACTTATGTGGAATGAATTAATTTTCCCCTTGAAGGGTTTTATTTGGGAAGAGTCTCTAGATTTCCACAACATCTTATTTAACCAATTCCTAAGTACTAGACTACAGCTTTCTTAAAAGCACAGGTCATCTACACTAATAAAATAGTAAGATGCAAATTGACCGTACCTTGGAGATGCCCACCAGATAATCAGGAGTATGCAAATTAACCCAACAAAAATGGCAGGTTAATTTACATACTCAGGCACCAAGCTGCCGGGGGCGGGCCAGAGGCACCACCCCAGCGGCTCCGGGCCTCTGGGCAGTGTGGGAAGGCAGAAAGGCAGGCTCCCATTTCTTGTCCTGCTGGCAAGAAGCTGGTGCCAGGTGACTCCATAAGAGAAGTGAACCTAATCAGTTCTTCCACTGGCCAAGATGGGAACTCTCCAATGAATAACTTAAGTCTATTACCAAATTTCTAAAATCCAGTCTACTTCCCCTTCAAGGTCCTATCCCTCTTAGCCCCACTCTCCCAAACTGTTGGCCCTGATAGGTACATTGCTTCCTTTTAACCAGAAACCTTTTTCTCTTTCTTAGAATTACCTCTCTGAACAGGACTTTGTTTCTGTGTTCGGCATCACAAGAGGGCAATTTGCTGCTCTGCCTGGCTGGAAACAGCTCCAAATGAAGAAAGAAAAGGGGCTTTTCTAAAGCAAGGAAGCATACACATACTGCAAGAGCACAGAAGAGAGCAGCTAGTGCCAATATCAGGAAAGAATTTATCTATCAATTGTTGCCTAACATTCAGCACTTCATTTAGATAAAACAGGGTCTGCAAATCACAGCATGTTCTCCATTTTTTTTCACCCCTGCATTCTTAGTTGTTATATACCTACTTTTTAATTTTTGTGGCCTTCTGGCTAAAGCCTCAGCAGAAAGCACTAAAACTACCTAAGTCTGGAGAAGCCAAAAGTAATAAATAAGATAAACTAAGTTTAAAGTGTTTAAATGTTAAGGCAGAGACCTAAGTTTGTCTCAAATTTTAAGATCGGTATTTCCAAAACCTATTTAACCCACAAATCATTGATGTTAATTACATGTATATTCCAAAGCCAAAATCCAAATGCCCAGATCTGTATGTGCCAGAGCTTTTAACTTTTCAAATAAAGAAACCTATATGAGCAAATGGGAATTCTTTTCAGTATTATGTTTTGCCCATTCTAGTGATTATCTAATGTACTGTTGGGAGAAGTGTCTCAGGATGAGGAGAGTAAAAAGGCATTGTTGGTTGAGCTCTCTAGATCACTGGACCACTGTGATTCCCATTTTTGGCACAAGAATGCCAAAATCTGCCTTACAGCTGTCCAGGAAACTCCATTATCCAACAGAAAACTAGGGTCATGTGTTATTAATTTCAGTAATGAGGCCAGAACCAGTGTGAATGCCACCGCAGAGAGCCTTCAAAGCACACTACAGACATCAACAAATCAACCACATTTCCAGACAACTCTCGGTTTGAGTCAACAATTCCAAAAGAACCCGTGTGGCAGGAGTAATGTAACTGGGTTGTTCCAGGATGGAGGCATAGTCCAAAGCATTGCAAGAGACTTCCATGTCACACAAGTAAGACAGAATGAGTTAGAAGTTTTAGGGACACCATTATTAATCTATGAAGAAGGGAGCACGTGGATGCCTCTTTTCCCAGAGACTGTCAGTCACTTCAATAAGGCCCACTTGTTTTCTAAGACACACAAAAGCTGAACCCAGCGTTATGCAAATAAGGAAAAGATTCTACTCTCGTTATTACGTAACAATTTTATTTAATAACTTTATTCATGATGTATAATTTCATTATAAACTCCAAAGAAAAACAAATCCTGGGTTTGATGAGGCTTAAGAAAGAACTGCTTTTTGTAAGAAAGCCCAGAACCAAGAACAGACGTTTCCTCCTGGGCCTAAAGCCTCTGGAACCTATTCAGCCTCTGCCGCCTCTCCCTCTTCTCCACATTCGAACCGCACAAAGTCCACCACAGACACGCCCTGGGGCTGCACATACTGTCCCAACGTGATCGAGGGGTCCAGCAAGTATGGCTGGGACAGCATCTTGGTTTCTGTCTCTCCCCCAGGCTCATCGTCCAGGGAGCCAACAGAGAGAGGGGCCATGCCTACCACATGCTGCCCAAGGCGGCGGCCAAGTTCTTCCAGGTTTGCTTTCCACTCGGATATCTCGCAGATGACCAGGGCCCCGTACTTTCCCAGCACCAGGTTGTGGAGTGAGGGGCTGTGCATTGTTCCATGGACATAGGAGCCAACATAGAACCCGTTGGGCACCTTCACCCATGCAGCTCGTTTAAGAGTCATGTTTTCTCCCAGTTTCCCTATAAAAAAGCAAAAACAAAAAGCACGCTTCCAGAATACGATGCCTGTCGTAGTACCAAATACACAAAGAAATGGCCAATTTGGGAGACAGTCTTTGGCATTTATACTGTGGATATGCTGTAAGAGGGAGCTACCATTTTCAGTTTAAAGAGGAAAAGGTGTGTGCAGGGAGGTGGGGAACACAGAGAGTACCTTTATGGAACGCCAACTATGTGCCAGGCAGGCTAAATTTGAAAACATAGGCTATGCACTGGCCAGTTGCCCAATGGTTAGAGCATCAGCCCACACACTGAAGGATCTCAGGTTCGATTCCGGTTAAGAAGACACACAGCCGAAACCGGTTTGGCTCAATGGATAGAGTGTCGGCTTGGGGACTAAAAGGTCCTGGATTCGATTCCGGTCAAGGGCATGTACCTTGGTTGCGGGCATATCCTCAGTAGGGGGTGTGCAAGAGGCAGCTAATCGATGACTCTCTCTCATCGATGTTTCTAACTCTCTATCCTTCTCTTCCTCTCTGTACAAAATCAATAAAATATATTTAAAAAAAGAAAAAAAAGAAAAAAAGACACAGCTCCAGTTGGGGTGAGTGCGGGAGGCAACCAATCCATGTGTCTCTTTCACATTGTTGTTTCTCTCTCTTCTCCCCGATCCCTCCCTCTCTAAAATTCAATGGAAAAAATATCCTTGTCGAAACTGGTTTGGCTCAGTGGATAGAGTGTCGGCCTGTGGGCTGAGAGGTCCTGGGTTTCGTTCCGGTCAGGGGCATGTGCCTTGGTTGCGAGCACATCCCCAGTAGGAGATGTGCAGGAGGCAGCTGATCAATGTTTCTCTCTCATTGATGATTCTGACTCTCTATCCCTCTCCCTCTCTGTAAAAAAATCATAATAATAATCCTTCATTATTTACAAATAAAAACTTAAAAAATAAGCTATGGTGTCACACAGATCCTGGACTCAGGTCTCAGTTCTGCCTCTTACCAGGTATATGACCTTAGGAAAGTAACTTAATGATATAACTCCATTTACTAATTTATCAAGCCTTAGTTGCTTCATGTATAAAATGGAGATACCACTTAAAAACCTGAAAGCAGGATTACTGGGAGAAATAAATAATACATATAAAAGCACTTATTACATAGTGAGCACTCAGATGCTGGCTACTGTTTTAAACATAGGCTTATATAGCTTACTAGTAAGTAACCTACCAGCACCAGGTCACAGAGTTAATACATGGCAGACTGGAATTAAAACCCAGATCCAAAGCAATCAAGTGTTTTTTCCCCACCATATTACCATCCCTCCCAAGTGCCACCATAACTGACACAGACAACTCCGGATTATCCACTGTATCAGGGAAAAGTCCACACCTAAAAGCCCCAGAAAATCCAAAACCCTGTGTCATCTCATAGTCTCAACTTCCTCTCATCAAAACAAAATTTCTTAAAAATGACATTTTAAGAGGCCCTTATGAGAACCAAAATGGATTTCAGTTTTCCCCTTTTTCTTAGGATACTTTACCCTCTACAAGAAGTCCAAATAAGCCAAAAGGTTGGGAGGGGGGAAAAAATAAACAAAGGGGTCAGGATAAATATCCCTGAATTAGCCATAAGTTATATCTAAAAGTCGTAAAAGGGAGTATCCAGAAACCAGAAAGAATCTTACACAATAGTTAATTCTATCCACTAGTCAATTCCCAGAAATTAACAAGAGGCTGTTAAGTTCTTCCAGAATTTCTTAATTAGCTCCATAAATGGCTGTCTGCCTGGCTTCTCATCTATGACTCATTGAAACGTTATACATACTTCAAGACCACCTGACAGAAACTGATGTCCTGACTGGAAATGTAAGATGAGCAATCAATTCCCAGCAAGCTCAAACTCCAGCCTTACTTCCCTCCCGCCATCAAGGACACCTAGGAAAAAAGTAAAATCCCCACCAGTCCCACCACAGTGATCCAGACCTGGTTTCTACAGCCGTGGGCTCTGAGAGACTGTACCTTAACAAGTTCAGGATCCAATGTTTTTAAAAGAGAAACCAAAGCCGCCAAAACCGGTTTGGCTCAGTGGATAGATTGTTGGCTTGTGGACTGAAAGGTCCCAGGTTCAATTTCGGTCAAGGGCATGTTCCTTGGTTCGGGCACATCCCCAGTAGGGGGCGTGCGGGAGGCAGCCAATTGATGATTCTCTCTCATCGATGTTTCTCTCTATCCCTCTCTCTTCCTCTCTGTAAAAAATCAATAAAATATATATATATATATTTTTTAAATCATCTTTAAAAAAATAAAAATTAAAATTAATAAAAATAAAAATCTTAAAAGAGAAACCAAATTCCTAAAAATGATGGCCCTAAATTTTCCTGGGTCCCTTTATAAAGATGAAATGACCTTTGATGTATTATTTCCCCAGAGTAGTCAACAGATGTCACAAGGCCATCTCTGCCTATAGACATGCTTGTTTGGTCAGCACAATGATGCATTCAAGTGTTACAAATAATTTTATTAATTGCAAACACATAAAAACTGAGATTTTTGTATTCAAATCTAATTCTTTTAAAGAAGCTTTAAAATTCTGATGAAACTGGAACCCCATTTCCCCCAGGTTAACAACTGGCTAGTGCTTGGTAATGGTTCTTTTCAGAAAAGTGTGAGCTTTTCAGTCCTACTGCTCCCTAATATCTAACACACAATCCACTGAGCACGTTCATATTATCTGATCCTTTTAGGCACCGAGCTTGTAATTCTTCATCTAGATTTGGAGGAATACCAAAGACACCAAGAGATTGAGTTCTTAATTTCTAGCTTCCAGAATCCTTACAAATACTCACCAATTGCTAAGGCCAGCTGATCCTTGAGAGAGCCTTTCCTCTCAGGCCCAAAGGGAAGTTCAGAGAGCTCAGAGGAATTCAAGAAGCCCTAGTGCACATACACACACAAAACAAACATCAATCAGTTTTGTACTACTCAAGTTATCAAAAACTAAGCAAATATAGCTTATTTCTCAGAAAATGACATAAGACAACTAAATATAGATGATATTTTCATTAAGCCAAGGATGTTAAAAATTGACAGAGTTCCATTTTTATAAATATTTTATTCCATCACTCCATTACCCCAATTCTACCCCACTCCTATCTTCTGGTCCTTTTTCTTTTTTAAAAAAAGATATTTTTTTAGAGAGGGAGAGAAACATCTATGTGAGAGCAGAACATCAACTGGCTGCCTCCTGTACAGCCCCTACCAGGGATCTAGCCGCAAACCTTTTGGTGCATGGGACAAAGCTCAACCAACTGAGCCACACCGGCCAAGCTGGCCTAACTTCTTAAAATGCAGTTTCCTGGATATCAGGAATAATATTTTCATATCAATCACAATGTTTTAAAGCTTAAAAGGTTTATGAATCCTAGCCAGTTCAGCTCAGTGGATAGAGCATTGGCCCATAGACTGAAGAGTCGAGGCTCCATCAGGTCAAGGGTATGAACCTCAGTTGCAAGCTCGATCCCTGGCCCCAGTAGGGTGCATGCAGGAAGCAACCAATCAATGTGTCTCTCTCACACTGATGTTTCTTTTCTCTCTCTTTATCTCTCCTCTCCCTTTCACTCTCTCTAAAAAAAAAAAAAAAAAAAAATCAATGGAAAAATATCCTTAGATGAGGATTAACAAAATATAAAGGTTTGCAGATTGTTTGAATGCATGTTAGAAATTCAAAGGAGGAGAACTGGACAACAGCTCACAAACCTACAATCCTATTTCTAGGAATTTACCCTGGCAATATACTTCCAACAATGAGTGTATATAATCAGTGAGCGATTATGTCTAATCATAAAATACTGGAAACAGCCTAACTGCCTAAATTTAAGAGAAGACTGGTTGAATTAACCACAGCTCAGCCGTACAATGGTAGACTATGCAACTGAAAAAAGAAAAAAAGGAGAGCTCCATAAGCTGCTATGGAGTATTTCTAGCTATATTAAATGAAAAAAATAAATTTAAAGCGTATATACAAATTATACTACCAGCTGTATAAAAGGTATTTTGTTGTTGTTGTTGTTTTGTTGTTGTTGTTGTTTAAATTCTTTTTTTAAATATATATTTTTATTGATTTCAGAGTGGAAGGGAGGAGAGCAAGATAGAAATATCAGTGATGAGAGAATCATCAATTGACTGCTTCCTGCACACCCCCTACTGGGGATCGAGCCTGCAACCCGTGCATGTGCCCTAACCAGAATCGAACCCAGGACCCTTAGATCACAGGCCAACATTCTATCCACTGAGACAAACCAGCCAGGGTGTGTAAGAGGTATTTGTATAAGTATGCTTTTTTTGTGACAAGACATAAAGGATAACCATAAATCAATAAAGTTCGTTATCTATAGGAGTGGATAGGAAATGAGGTAGAAAGGAGACAAGAGAGAGTAAGGGGTGTGTGTGTGTGTGTGTGTATGTGTGTGTGTGTGTGTGTGTGTGTGTGTGTGTGTGTGAGAGAGAGAGAGAGAGAGAGAGAGAGATAACTTTCAGAACCTTGTTAATGTGTTACACATTCAAAAATTAAATTAACAAGGTTTTGGAGTCAAAATGAAAATTGACTAAAAGGAAACCTAAGTTTCTAACTGTATTTCAAATGAACAACATAACCTCATAGGTGTGTGTGTGTGTATGTGAATAATCCAAGTAACTTTCAATACAGTTCTTGGACCACATAACTTCAATGTAAAGACAAAAGAACACCAACGAAATCTTGAACTCCTTAGCAAGTTTGTTATTTGCAGTGGTCAGGTATAGTAACTCTGGAACAACTTGGTGTGCATTGTTACATCGAGTAAATAAGTAAACATATCAAAGTTGCTAAGAGCCGATGTACTCACTATGAGAGAGGGAAGATAAAACGACAGGATGGGGAAAGAAAAGGAAGAACGCTGTGGTGCAGGACTGGAATTGAACTATAAATTCTAATCTTCACACACACACACACACACACACACACACACACACACACACACACACACACACGTCCTGTCTGCTAAAAGAATGAAGCAACAATGACATCTCAGTAGAAATAAATATACCTAGCTCTTGGTTTCTCAAAACCATTCTCCCATTAAAAGGGATCAGGATTCCTTAAAGAAGTAAACAATTCCATGTTTGGAGCAAGGAAAGTAGGACACAGGTAAGTCCAGAATATCTTGAATGCCAAAAAAGAAACACTCATAAAATACTGAGGATATACTGAAGGACAATGGAGCCAGCCTGCACAGGTTTGCCTTACACTGGCCAAGTCTAGGAATAATTTGAACATCAAAATAAATAATGCTTAAAAAACCCTCTTGATTTACATTTTGAACTCCCCACTCAGCTATCAAATGCTGAGACACCCAAATTCTTTTGAGACTATTAACCTTTCAAACATTTTCACCTCCAAGCATTTTTATAGTGCTATTCAAACTTTTCTAAAGTCTAAATAAAGCAGGAATATTTTCTGTTGCCTTTTTTTTTTTTTTCCTTTTTAGTGAGAGGTAAATAACACTAAGCAAATTTCTAGCTAAGTGATGGAACCATAACAGCAGGACAATGTTTTTGTAATTATAGATTTTCATATTTGATTGGATGTTAATAATTGCTACAATCAAAGATGCTTGGGAAATGCTGGATTTAACAGATTTCCTTACTGTAGAACCACTGAGAGATTTGAAATGAGTTAGCAGGCACGGAATCCATCAAAAATAAATCTACTTAATAAAAGAGTAACAAGCTAATTGACCGTACCTTTGCAACACCCACCAGCCAATCAGGACTGAATATGCAAATCAACCCAAAAAAGATTGCGGTTAAATTGCATACACAGGTGCCAAGTGGCCAGAGGCAGGGCAACAACGCAGGCATTCCGCACCACCCCAGCCACTCCAGGCCTCTGGGCAACATGGGAAGACAGAAAGGCGGCTCCGGAAGCCAGGGGAAGGAAGGCCCATTCTTGCATGAAGCTTCATGCACTGGGCCTCTAGTGTATAAATAAATAATTATATAATAAGTTGTAGCTTGCTGTATAAAGTAAGAATCTGTGAATCAATGTTGTACTAAACAAAGGGAGAAGTTTCTTACAGTAGAATGCCAACTAACAAAATTAATATATATAAAACAAATTATGAGTTAAAAAAAAAAATTACCCTCATGCAACTTCATACCGTTTCCCTGAAAATAAGACAGTGTCTTATATTTTTTCTCCCAAAGTTGCGCTAGGTCTTATTTTCAGGGGATGTCTTATCTTTCCATGCACTAGGTCTTATTTTTGGAGGATCTCTTATTTTCGGGGAAACACGGTAGTAATAACTGATCTGCCAAGTATCATCAATGGATGCTAAAACTATTAGACAAAAGTTATTTGTGTGTGCTATTGGTTTAAATACATTTTTATTTATTTCAGAGATGGAGGGAGAAGGGTAGGGAGACAGAAACATCAATGACAACAGGGAATCATTGATTGGCTACCTCCTATATGCCCCACACTGGAGATTGAGCCCACAATCTGGGCATGTGCCCCAATCAGAAATCAAACCATGATTTCCTGGTTCAGAGGTCAATGCTCAACCACAGGCTAGGCAAAAGTTTTTTGGAAGCTGGATGTTTATACAGTCTCAAGGAATCTCCCATAGAGATAAGTTGTTAATTACAAAGAGGAACATGGTCACTTCACAGTGAAGAAATCTAGCAAAAACTACCTTAATCGAGAAATCAAAATTAGCATAAAAAATGGGACCAACAGTTACTATGTACCTCCTCATGTGATGTTCTGAGGGAAATACAGGATGATTTGTTTCCTAGTCTTACAAAAATCCACATTCTACAAAACTGTCCTATACTCTTCAAAAACGTCAATGTTGTCTGGCTGGTGTGGCTCAGTGGTTGACTGTTGACCCATGAACCAGGAAGTCACAATTCAATTCTCTGTCAGAGCACATGCCCAGGTTGGGGGCTCAATCCCCAGTGTGGGACATGCAGAAGGAAGCCAATCAATTCTCTTTCATGATTGATGTTTCTCTCTCTCTCTCTCTCTCTCTCTCTCTCCCTTTCTCTCTGAAATCAATAAAAATATATTTTAAAAAGAAAAAGTAAATGTAATGAAAGATAAAGAAAGGAAATGGAACAGATAATAACTAAAAATTGCACTGATAATAATAAAAGGAAATCAAGCTAAAGGAACCAAAGTCTCTTATTATAGTTAATGAAACAGAAACACAGTAAAGTAAGTGAATGGCTCAGGGTTACAAATAGAATCAATGGCAGAGTCAAGATTAGAATTTATAGTTTAAGTGATTCATCTACTCAATACAATTCTAAACAATAATCTCAATGCAATTTTCCATATAATGTGACTATTTAATGTCAGTAACAATCAGCATTTACCATGAGATCTCAAGAAAAGGATAAATTGAAAGAGAAAAATTGTAGTACTAAATTTTTAAAAAATTATGCAAGCAGCTGGTTTATTTTTGCCTTGAATCAAAGGCAAATAAGCTTGGATCAAAAGCAATATGTCATTTCTTCCTTGATCCTTCTATGAACAAAAATAACTTTATTCTTCTAAACTATGCCTTCTCCAATATCTTTTTTGTTGTTTTTAGAGAGAGAGGAAGAAAAAGGAAAAAGAGAAAGTATTTACAGAAACATTGGTGTGAGAGTGGAACATCAATATGCTGCCTCCTGCACTCAGGCATGTGCCCTGACCAGGAATTGAGCCTATAATCAATGTCTGTCTTGGTGCATGGGTCGACGTCCAACCCATTGAACCACATAGGCCAAAGCTCCAATATCTTTATTTAAGAATCCTTGCCGAAACCGGCTTGGCTCAGTGGATAGAGTGTTGGCCTATGGAAAGGTCCCGGGTTCGATTCCAGGCAAGAGCATGTACCTTAGTTGTGGGCACATCCCAGCTGATCGATGTTTCTCTCTCATCGATGTTTCTAACTCCCTATCCCTCTCTCTTCCTTTGTAAAAAATCAACAAAATATATTTTTTAAAAATCCTTTCCTTAGGTCAGATTTCTGAATACCTGACCTGACTGACTGCACCCACTGGCATTCATTCATTCATTTCATACAGATTTACTGAGCCTCAATTAAGTGCTGGGCCCTCTTCTCCTTCACCAGAGACATAGCAGTGAAAAGACAAATCCCCTGCCTCTCAAAGCTTGTGTTCTGTTGGGAAAGACAGGCACATACAAGTAAATAAAAATGTAATACATAAGCACTGTAACAAAAAATGTTAATGAAACAAGTGAAGTGGACAGAGCCACAGGAGAAAGGGTACACCTCTCCAAAGAGATAACATTTAAGCAGAGACAAGAAGGGAGACATTAGACTGTCTGAAAAAGTAAACAACAAAGACTCCAAAGAGGGGAGACAGAGTGGAACAATCCAGCATGTTAGAGACAACAACATTGGAGACCCCAAAAACTCACTTTACTGTAAGTGGAAAGTTGGTCCTTTAGGCTCTGACAATGCAACATGGTTCCGAGGGCTACTTGCTGGACCAATTGTTGAAATTTCAGGTTTCTTGCAACAAAATCTGTCTCACAGTTTACCTGTAGGAACAAATTGATGTTGCTGTATAAGCTAGTTACTTATAGTTTCTAAAAGTGCCTTCAGGTTGAGAGTAAACCAAGGTATTGACAGAACAATCTGTAGAACAAAGCAGAAATAAATGACCTCAGAACTTTAAATCTGCAGTTCCTTTCCTAGCTGAGGCCAAAAGCTGAATAAGTGATTCCTGCAGCATCCCTTAGTTAGCAATGACTTGAACATCCAGAAGATGGTCCACAATGTCCCCAGAAGACTCACTTCCCTTCAATCCCATAAGAGAAACTGAAGTATGGCAGCCTATGGCTACATGCCAAACACCAGCATGCCAAACTCCATTCCTTAATCAACTGATTCTCCAGCCTCCTCCAACTACAAACTAGTTTTGTTATCAGCTTACTCATCTCCTTCTCTCACTCTAAACTCTAATCCCACTCTGATCCAAATCTGATTCTTCATTAATTGTGGCCCCCAAATTCTAAAACAGCTACTCTCTATCCATCAACTAATTAATATAATTCCTAGCTTTAAAATCAAACTGTTCCAGGAAACAATCAGTGATAAGGTATAAGGCTACAGGTATAAGGGACCATGCCCCTATCTTTCCCAGGTGACCTCTGGCAAATTTCGGAACCCAGAAATTTGCCAGTCCCCTCAACAATGTTAATGAAATAAATGAAGTGGCATTTAGGAGTAATACTCTAGACTGCTAGGCCTTTTCTCATCAACACACCTGTGCATTTCTATACTTAAATGAATATACAGCTATAACTGCGGTCCCATGGGTTTCATTCTACTGCCCTTTACGGCTCTCAAACACCTATTCTTTCAGAATGCCAACAGTCTACCACAAAGCAGTCCACTGAAGGGGCAGCTGTTCCTGGTATTTGGAATTCTGGACATCTCACCTCAACTAAGACGGTGGAGTTTCCTTCCTGCAGCAGCCCAATCAGACCTTCTTTAGTCTTCCTCCCGTGGAGCTTGGCAGCTTTGCTCCAGCCCTCTTTTTGGGCCTTCTCATGAAGCCAGCTCTCCGCCTACAAATTGGAAAGGAGAAGGGCAGATGACAAAGTCACAGAATTTAGAACGAAACCAGGCTCTAACCTATGTCCAGGTCCCCTGACTCTTCCTGCTTCCCTTCATTCCGTAAGAGAAACTGAAGTAATCTATGGCAGCCTTTTTGGCTACATGCCAGTGCTGTGCCTGGTGCACTGGATAAACTTAGCCCTCACCACACCCCTATGGGGCAGATAGTAGTGTTGTCACTATATTTACAAGAACGATGGCACTATGAAAGACTGAGATGTCCAAGGTCACAGGGGTAGTAGCATGAGGGTGCATCTGACTCCAAAGCTCACGCAAGCCCTTGCAGCTTTCAGCAGCAGGAAACAGCAATGCCGTTTTGCAAGTGTAAGGTTTGTTAAGCCTGGGATCATGAATCAATTGCTAATAGGACTGAGTCAACGGCTGAAGCTGTCATTTAAGTCAAATCTACCTAAAGGTAGGCGTTAGGAGTGTCACTGGACAGAAGTCCGACCTCCCTGAGACTGAGATCCGCCGCAGTGCCCCGCCCCGCCCCCGCACACCTGTTTGAGGTCCCCGCCGCAAGTCTCCAGCGCTTTCTTGCAGTTCACAAAAGAATAGCCCGTTTTCCGCCGCAACTTCATGAGGAGCTCCTTGCTGGAGGCCGAGGACAGCCAGTGCCCTGCGTGAAAGGCGTGCCATGGCTGAGGCGACTGCAGCGGAAGGGGCCCTGCCTGGAGGCGGCGAGAAAAAGGGATGAGGAGCAGAACTCAGCGAGGTGTTCCGGGGACCGAAAGCATGCCCGCAGCGAGGTGACCTGAAGAAGGGCTGGGGCCCGGGGATGGGGGACGGCAGCGCGCGGAAGCCGGAGCGCGAAGAGGCCGGCAGGTGGGGAAAGGGTGGGGTGGAGTCTGAAAAGGGGTCGGCAGTAGGGTACCCGGGAGACCCGCAAGGAAAGCAGGTCAGTGCGGGGGCCGAGACCCCTCACCGGGCAGCTCCCGGTCCGCGCGACCAGACAGACACGCAGTGACCGCAGCAGCGACATCTCTCCGGCCGCCACACGCTGCCGCGGGGGCCGGCGCACTGATGAGGCCACCGGCCTACGGCGCGGCGGCAGGGCCAAACCTCTCCGCCGGGATGTGCCGAACGGGGATGCCGCCACCTGCTGGCCGGAGGGCGCACACTTGCCTTCCCCTCTGGGCTTATTGAGAACGGAATTGCTACTCCCCAAGTGAAATAGGAAACCGTGAGACAAAGTCGTCACAAAATAACAATACAAGACACGTGGTAACAATTTGTTTCTTTATTTTCAATGCTCTTTCATATTTATTATCCAGTTATGAATGAAGACAAAATTAGGAGGTAGGTGGGTGGGTTCAGAAATTTGCCAGCAGTCACCTGGGAAAGGCAGGGGCATGGTCTCTTCAACAAACTCAATAAGTATTTGTTGAATGAGCAAAATACTTATTGAACACTAAATAAATAAAATGTGCCAGGAACTATGCTAGGCTTCAGGGAATTAGAGGTAATAAACTACAGCCCTACCCTCCCAAGTAATCTATCTAACGGTAAGAAAATAGGGAGCAGACACAAGACAAGGTAAGTCTCATAAGCTGAACAGTTAAAGGGTGTCAAAGGAGAAAGAAATCGCATCCAAACAGTGGGCTTCAGAAAAGCTTCTTCTTTTTTTTTTTTTTTTCAGGATAGAGGGTAATAGTAGTGAAGATTTTGACAGCTAGAACTAGCCCTTCCAGGGAAGGAATCACCAAAGAGATGAAGTCAGGGAAGTTTGGTGTGGATTCAGGGAACAAAGAATAGACTTTTGGCCTGAGGTTGCAATACATTTGGAAACCAGCAGGAAATGAAATAGAAGGTGATTTAGGATTACACAGGATGGACTGAGTACCAAGCAGAGGAGCTTATTCTTGCTTCTGTAGGCAGCAGCAGAAGCAAATCAGAGATGATTTTGGAAAAGTTGGAGGCCAGAGGAAGTGATATGTGGCCCAAGGAGTAAGAATAGCCCCAACCAGAATCACCACAGTGGGAAGAGAAAAGAGATGAAGGCAAAACACATTAGGAAGGAAGGACTGACAGGGCTTAAACACCTTAAGAAAAATAGAGAAGAACCAAGTACTTTGTGATCAGGACTCCGACTCCAAAAAGAAGGAAGAAGGTACAGGCCAAAGGACAGATTGCTGCCTATCCCCAGCTTCAGGCCTGGGAGGGCCTGACCCAGGCAGAGCCAAGGTCCCACCAGACCATCTCTAGAAGCAAGAAGTGGGTGATCTGAGGCTTCTTACTTCCCAGAACCCCAACCAAAGGCTGAGTTCTTTGGATGTAGAAGAGATCTTTAATGCTCCTGTTTCTTTCCCTTTAAAAAATAAATTCCAGTAGAATCTGGCCAAATACACAGATTCTGTATAAAAAGACAATAGCGGGACTGAATGTGATCAGTGCCAGTCTCTGCAGCCACTGTTCTCACATCTTATTTACCTCCCCTTCCCCTAAAAACCCTGGGTACCCTCCCATCAGCATCCTTGGCTGAGAACAAGAGCTAGGAACTTCCTCTGTGCTCTAATCCAGTGCTGCTAGGGCTCTAGGATTCTTAGCCAGCAGGCACCTCCCTGTACCTGCCCAAGAGTATCTGGGGAAAGTAAGAGGGGAGGAGGAAAGAGAGAGGCAAGGGGAAATCCATCCTTTTTGGTCCTTGTGTTTCTGGCTTTGGAGATATGGCATTAAGGCAAGGGGTTCAGAGGAGCAGAAGGATGACGTCAAACAGGTCTTCGTTCCCTGTGCCTGGCCCTATAGATGTTGACATTCTCATCCTCATCCCGCTGGGCCAGCTCCAGGCGGAAATGCTGGGGCAGGAGGTACTGAAAGAAGCTCTCTGTCCCGTGCTCCTCTCTCATCTTGGAGGCCAGATAGATGGTGCCCTGGGGCCCGCACAGGTGTTGGAGTGTCCCCAGCAGCAGTGGGAAGGTGGACTCCCGATACACAATGTCAGCCCCCAGCACCAGGTCATAGTCGCCAGGAAAGACATGCTGGTCAATCCCCCAGGACAAGGCGCGGACCTGGGCCCGGGCTCCGTTGGCCTGGACGTTGCCCTGGATTTGTTCTAGGGCCAGGGGCAGGTCAGTGATGGTAACATCCCCCCCTGGGAGAGAGAGGGAAGAGAAATGAAAGTCAGAGGGGCCGACAAAGGGGTCTCGGCTCCTGCCCAGAAGGTCCAGAGGCCTCAGAGCCTGGAGGACAATGTGTTGACAGCCGAAGTCCACCCTTTGTTTTAGTTGCACTAACCTCCGCCTTACCCAACGCCATTCTCATTACTCTACATTCTACAACATCAACATTCTCTCTGAGCTAATCTTCAACCTCTCTGCTCAAAACACAACAATCATCTGTCAGCAGAAGCCTGGACAGCACTAAGCTGGAGATGGGCTATGCATCCACCCCCTACAGACTCGGACCAGCTTCAGAGGTCTGGAAAGCTTCCCAGAAGTGCCCTCAGTGAGCCTTAAAGGACGAGTCAGGTGGAACTTTCCAAACAGAGAACTGAGAGTACAAAGGCCTGGTGGTGAGAGAGCAAGGAGTATTCAAGGAAGGCTGGATCTTAGATAAGTGGAAGGGAGGAGAAAAGTGTGAAGACATGAGAGTAGAGAAAAATAATGACATGCTAAGGAGATTCAGGCTTGATCCTAAGAGCAATGCGTTTTTTAAAATACATATTTTTATTAATTTCAGAGAAGGAGGGAGATGGAAAGAGATATAAACATCAATGATGAGAGAGAATCACTGATTGGCTATCTCCTGCATGACCCCTAATGAAGATCTAGCCCACAACCCGGGCATGTGTCCTTGACTGGAATCGAACTTGGGACCCTTCAGTCTGCAGGCCAACGCTCTATCCACTGAGCCAAACCAGCTAGGGCAGTGCAATAGGTTTTAAATATAGAAGTAGGGGGTGCAGATAATGAAACTAGCTTCATTCATGCAATAAATATATGAATTGGCTATCTAAGTTCTGGGTATACAGTGGTGAGCAAGTCAAAACCTCAGTCTTCCTAGAGGTAGAGACATACTAAGTACTGCAAAACTCTTTAATTATAACCAAGATGACCATTACAGAAACAGCATGTATTAAGAACTCATTCATTCATTTATATTTATTATGTGCCTATCTGCCAGGTGCTGAGAACACAGCAGTAAACCAATCGAGAATCCCACTGCTCATGGAGCTTACAGTCTAGTGGCAAGAAATAGACAACAAACAAAATATAAAATACACTCCACATGAGATGGTAGTAAGTGCTCTGGTGAAGGATGCATCAAGCAGGAAAGGAGAATAAGAACTGCTTGAGGGCCGAAACCGGTTTGGCTCAGTGGATAGAGTGTCAGTCTGCGGACTGAAAGGTCCCAGGTTGGATTCCAGTCAAGGGCATATTCCTTGGTTGTGGGCACATCCCCAGTAGGAGGTGTGCAGGAGGCAGCTGGTCGGTGTTTCTCTCTCATTGATGTTTTCTAGCTCTCTATTCCTCTCCCTTCCACTCTGTAAAAAAATCAATAAAAGATATTAAAAAAGAAAAAAAGAACTGCTTGAGGGACAGGCAAGGAATGCAATTTTAAATGGGATGGTTAGGGGCATCTTACTGAAGAGATTCATTTGGGCAAAGAAAGATGGAAGTGACGGAGCAAACCACATGGATCTCTCAGCTAAAATGTACCAAATGAGGGACCACAGAAGGCAAAGACCTTGAGGCAAGAGATGCCAAACAGGCCTGAGGAGGAGCAGGAGGTGCCGGTGGCTGGAGCAGAGTAAGTGAGGGAGATGAAAGTGGAGGCTGGATTCTAACCGGCCTTTTCAGGAGACTGTAAGAAATTTGGCTTTCACTCTGGCTGAGATGGGAGGCTATGGATAATTTTAAATGGAAGAAGGAAATACACTGAGTTATGTTTTTAAAGGATTACTCTGGCTGCTGAGGTGAGAAAGACGGCAGAGGGGCAAGGTCAGAAGCAATGATGGTCATGGTTTGAACCAGGGCAGTAGCAATGTCTAACAAGCAGTCAGATCCTGAATATATTTTAAAGGTAGTCAACGGAATTTGCTGACAGATTAGATATGAAATACTAGAGAGGGAGAGGGAGAGGGAGAGGGAGAGGGAGAAGGAGAAGGAGAGGGAGAGGGGGAGAGAGAGAGAGAGAGAGAGAGAGAGAGAGAGAGAGAGAGAAATTGAGCCTGGCACTGAGATGTTTAGCCTGACCAACTAGAAGACCGAATTGCCATTCATTTATATGAGGAAGATGGCAGGAGCAGGATTGAGCAGGAAGATCTTTTTTAAAAAAATATATATTTTATTGATTTTTTACAGAGAGGAAGAGAGGGGGATAGAGAGCTAGAAACATTGATGAGAGAGAAACATTGACCAGCTGCCTCCTGCACACCCCCTATTGGGGATGTGCCCGCAACCCAGGTACATGCCCTTGACCCGAATCGAACCTGGGACCCTTCAGTCCGCAGGCCGACGCTCTATCCACTGAGCCAAACTGGTTTCGGCGGGCAGGAAGATCTTGAGTCTGTTTCTGGATGACACATTAAATTTAAGTCATCCGCATAAAAAGGGTATTTGAAGCCATGACATGATAGGATAGCTTGGGAATGAATGCAGGCAGAACAGGAAAGGGCTCACAGCACTTCTCCTGAGCCCCAGGACACTCACATCGTCAGCTGAAAAGGAACCAACAAGAGAGAATGGAAAAGAATACCAGTGAAGTAGACAGAAACTAGAAGAGTGGTGCCCTGGAAACCAAAGGACGCGCTTCAAGGAGGAAGAAGAGTCAAATGCTGCAAAGTTAAGAAAGGTGGGCTCATCACTGACTCCTGTGTTTAACTGCATGGGTTTGGGAATGAAGCTCACAGCTTGACCAGAGGAATGGATGGGACATGAAGAGGTGTCTCAAAATGAATTGAGGAATAGGATACAGACAGGGAATATTAAGTCTTGAGGAATTTTGTTATAGGAGAGAAATAGGATAGTACCTGGAGGGATATGTAGAATCTAGCGTTTTTCTGAAATAGGAGAAATTACAATATATTTTGTACATTATACACACACACACACACACACACACACACACACACACACACACACCGTGAACCAGAGAGAAGGGAAATCTGATAATTCTTGAGAGAGGTGGATGGAGCAGTGTTTGTTGGAACAATATCTTGAAATAGATGAGAAGGTTTGGTGTCTCCTGACAAGTGGAGGGTTTGACCTTAGCTGAGAGCATAACATTCATCCATGGTACACACACACACAACAGGAGAGAAGGTAGCACATACAGACCCAGAAGCAGTGAGGTGAGAAGATCATGTGGACTTTTTCTACTTTTTCTAAACAGAAGCAACCGGAAAAGATAGGAAACAAAGTCATCAGCTGAGAGTGAAGATAGGGAAGGAAGCATTTGGAGGTTTGAAGGGCAAGAAGGTAAGAATCAGATGTGTAGGAGGTGAATAAGTGGACCAGGGAGGTGCAATCACTAGCAGGGTAGCACTTAGGATGCACTTGAGCCGAAACCGGTTTGGCTCAGTGGATAGAGTGTCGGCCTGCGGACTGAAAGGTCCCGGGTTCCATTCCGGTCAAGGGCATATACCTGGGTTGCGGGCACATCCCCAGTAGGAGGTGTGCAAGAGGCAGCTGATGGATGATTCTCACTCCTCAATGTTCCTAACTCTCTATCCCTCTCCTTCCTTCTCTGTAAAAAATCAATATTAAAAAAAAAAAAACTCTAATAAAAATCTAAGGAAGAGATGGCAGTAGTTTGAACTAAAGATGGTGGAAGAATCGACAACGGGGTGAGCATTAAGGACATATGACCATGGCTGATTGAGAGAATAGACTAAGGGACAAGATGACAATTAGATTTCTGACTTGGCAGCTGAATAAGTGTCAAAGGAGGAGAAACCAGCTTAGAAGCAAGTTAACGTAGGTGTTCCCAACCATGTCACATGCCTTTCTCCATTGCTAGCATAACTGCCCATCTCTCATTCACCCATCCTTCACGGAAATCTACTGTTGACACTCCTGCTCTCTCTGAGCCTGCTGTGTTCACACTGCTCACCTCCTTCCCGTCTAACAGAGCTTCTTTGTGGACACCAGGGAGATAGGACAAGAGTATGGCCACTGGCTCTGTGCATACCTCACCAGAGTTCTTGTACTGTAACTTCTTCCCCGTCCTCCTAACCGGACCATGAGCTCCTCAGGGAGAGGAAACCTGTCGTACTTGTATTCCAGTACCTAGCATGACTCTGGCACAGAGAGAACTCCAAACGCACGTTGGTTGCATGAGTAGAGAAGAATGAGTGCCTGCCTCTTGGAAGACTTCCCTCAATGTTAATTGATACTTTTAGGGCGATGACATCATACATGTTTTTAAATGAGTGTTTTTGGTGTGAGCTTTTGCCTATCATATTATAAATTAAGGGACCGTCTCCTTTGTAGTATCTGGTTCTTGACAAAAGTGAAGCAAAGTTTTCCTTACCTTTTCCTCTTCCATGTCTGTGGTACCTAATTCCGACCCCACCTCCCACAAAAACACACCCTAACCCTCAGAAATCCTTAAGCTTTCTCCCAAGAAAAAAACAAAACAAACCTTTTTATAAACCTCTCATTGGTAAAGTTATAAAGCACTCATGAGGTTTAATGCCAACAGGTTACTTCCCGTACAAGGTATCCCCAAATATGTATCCTGCCAGAAGACCCATTTAAGATCCTATTAACCAAAGGAGCTTTTAAGTGACACTCTTGTCCATGAAATCACCAAAAAAGGAAAAAGGTAGAAAAATCCCTTCTATTAAGGCGTGCAGGCTTTTATATTCTGCCTCCCTCCAAATCAACCACCTTGGGCGCTCTGACAGTCAATGAGCGCTGCCTTCCACACAAAACGGGCTGGTCCCAAACCATTCCCCTCTCCCGAGGACCCAGGAAAAGACCAACTCTCCAATCCCCGCTCCCTCCGCCCCACCCTCTCGGGACCACAAAGCTCACGCACCCTGCAGCGCTGCCAGGATCCCCACGATGCCGGTCCCCGCGCCCAGTTCGATCACCTTCTTGCCTCGGAAATCCACCTTGTGGTTTTCGAAATAGTTGCACAGGCTCAGAGCCTATGAGAGAGAAAAAAAAAAAAAAAAAAAAAAGACTGTCGCGGGGAACGCTCCATATGGCAAAGCCAGAGTCCGGGTCTGGACCTCCCGCGGGCCCGCGCCCAGCGCCGCCCGCGCCTCACCGAATCCCACACGCGCGCGGCCACCCCGAGGCGCGACCCGAAGGTCTGCGTGATGCTCAGCACGTGCCCGCAGAAGGAGAAGCGGCTCCGCTCCGAGTACGAGTCGGCGAAGAGCCCGACCTCCCGCGGGAACACCGACTCGGGCTCGGAGGCAGGATCTGGACGGGGGTCCGCCATCGGGTCCAGAGAGCTGGGGACGCCGTCGCCGGCCCGGGGATCCCCGGCCCGCGGCGGGGTGGGGGTGGCGGTACCTGATTCCGACCCCACCTCCCACAAAACACAGCCACGTCGGCTGCCCCGCGGCACCGAGCCCCGCCTCCGGTGTTCGCCCTCCCTCCTGCAGTCTGACTTCCTGGACGTGGAACGAGGAGCAGCCCTCCCACTCGGGGCCCCAGCCCACAGCCGACGGGGCGCACCGCAGACCACGCCGGTCAGACCGGGCGGTCCGGTCCGGGGCCCGGGGCCAGGGGGGCGGCGCGAGGACTAATTCCACCGTAGACGTGGGGGGACCTGACCCCTTTTACCTGCGGGGCGCACGGCTTCCCGCAACCGGGGTGGTAACCAGAGCAGGCGGACGCGGGCTAAGGAAGGAGGCCGGCTGCGGGTCTGACCCGCAGCCCGTCACAGACCGGAGGTGCCGAGACGCCGGGCGGCACGGATCCCCTCGGGCCCGCCCGCCAAGCCCGGGGCTGTCTCTTGGGTCTTTAAGGGGCGGGGTCTGCGCGGACGTGTCTTCTACGTCATCACCGCGCGCCGCGGGCCGCGGGCCGCGGGCCCCACGTGGGTGCAGTGGAGACACTCGGGCTGGGGATCATGGCGGGAGCCGAGGCTGGGGACGCGGCCGGAGCCCAGGCCCCGCAGCCGCAGAAGCGCTACTATCGGCAGCGTGCCCACTCCAACCCCATGGCGGACCACACGCTGCGCTAGTGAGTGTGCGGGGCGGGGGCGGGGTGGGACTCAGAACGGCCCCAAGCCGCCGCGGAGAGCGACAGTGCTGGGAGGACCCGGAGGATGGGCTGGGTGACGTCAGCTTTGGGGGTGGACAGGGTGGAGTGGGCGGTGGGCGGGGTGCGGGTTGGAGGGGGTGTGGCTTTCTGGTCAGGTCTGCAGGTGCAAGTCTGGCAGGGGAAATTGTTGCTGAGATGAGGGATGGCGGCAGAATGCCTTTTTTTTTTTTTTTTTTTTTTTACAGAGGGGAAGAGAGAGGGATAGAGAGTTAAAAACATCGATGAGAGAGAAACATCGATCAGCTGCCTCTCGCACCCCTTTCCCCCCACTGGGGACATGCCTGCAACCAAGGTACATGTCCCCTATCTGAATCAAACCCGGGATCTTTCAGTTCGCAGGCCGACGCTCTATCCACTGAGCCAAACCGGTTTAGGCCAGAATGCCTTTTACATCTTAAGGTTTTGTTTGTCGGATTTAGTAAAAAGACAAACACCCAATCCGTCCTGCATCTCACTCCATCCTCTTCACACAAAGCACGTAAGCAAAATAAGATCCCAGTGCTTCCAGGAAGCCAGTCTCCTAGAGAAGGGGAACTTGTGCCCAACCAGAGTCATCAACCCCTAGATAGGGAGATGGGCTGGTCTCATGATAGGCCTATGACTCACAGGGTGGTTTCCACTGTATCTCCTAGAAGCCACAGGACCTACTGTTACAGAATTGTTTAGAAACCCTCCCGTCTACTTCCCACCCTTACCCATTCACACACGCACATGTGGTGACGCTGCTGCAAGAGCATGGCCAGCCTTCTCACGTTTCTCACGTCTTCTCTCCAATAGCCCTGTGAAGCCAGAGGAGATGGATTGGTCTGAGTTATATCCAGAATTCTTTGCTCCACTGACTCAAAATCAGAGCCACGACGACCCAAAGGACAAGAAAGAAAAGAGAGCTCAAGCCCAAGTGGAATTTGCAGACATAGGCTGTGGCTATGGTGGCCTGTTAGGTAACACTCTGTCTGGCCCTTTCTCTGGGTAAGGAAAGGCAATGCCTAGATTTTGCCACCTCAGCAGATTTGGTGGGGGCCGTAGTTGGCCTTTCCCCTTCGGACCAGACTGTGACATCAGTGTGGAAAGTCTCCACTTTCCCTCCACTCTGGGCCTGTGGCCTTTGCCCTGGAGAAGGGAGGTGGCTGCCTCAAATGCATCTTAAAACTTGGGTTGTCCTGTCTGGCCTTGCCCCTGGCCCCAGTCACCACGTGAGCCATTTCACCTGCCAAGTGCCGGGTCAGTGAGCTGGTCAGCACAAGCGTCAGAGTTTAGCCACTGTGGCCAGTGATCCTGAACTGTCTTTCTCAGGGATTCCATCACTCCCCCCTCCCTCACCAGAGCTCATTCCTTCTGCTCCACTCTCTGTTTTTTAGTTCCCCTAGTATTATTTTTATTGCCCCCATACATGCTTGCTAAGCTACTTTTCTATTTTTAAAAAATACATATTTTTATTGATTTCAGAGAGAAAGGGAGAGAGAGAGAAACATGGATGATGAGAGAGAATCATTGATTGGCTGTCTCCTGCACGCCCCCTACTGGGGATGGAGCCCACAACTGGGTATGTGTCCTGGACTGGAATCGAACCCAGGACCCTTCAGTCCCCAGGCTATTGCTGTATCTCCACTGAGCAAAACCACTTGTCTATTTTTAGATCTTCCCATAGAGATAATGACATGACAAAGTGGAAGAGCATGGTACTTGGTGACAGAAAACTTTGGTTCCAGTTCCAGTTTTGTCTCTTCTTCGCTGTATGACCTTGGACATTTCTTATCCTCCGTTTCCTCATATTCACAATTATCACAGAGTTCTAAGAGGGTTAAACAAGAGAATGTGTGAACATACTAAAGCACTTGCAAATATACATGTATTCACAGACCCTCCAGCTTCCAGTCCTGGTAACAATTTTAATATCTCCCCAGCCCTCTACTCCAGTATAATACCATCCATATAGAACTCTCTGTCCACATTTGCCATTCCAGATATTGGTAGTTTCAGACTGACGTTTCCTTTCCTGTATTGACTCCTTTGAAGTTCTTGTAGTATGAGATTGATGATTCCATTCCTATTCCTGTGACCAGTGGAACTGTCACCGCTGTTCCCAGACACACTGATCCTGGGTCTGGAGATCCGGGTAAAGGTCTCAGACTATGTACAGGATCGGATTCGAGCTCTACGAGCAGCTCCTGGAGGTGGCTTCCAGAACATCGCCTGTCTCCGTAGCAACGCCATGAAACACCTTCCTAACTTCTTCTACAAGGGCCAGGTGGGGAGGGGCCCTGGTGGGTTTGGCTGATGGAAAGGTGGGACATGGAGGCCAGGCTCTCACAACCCAGTTTGTGCGTGTCTGTCTCACAGCTGGCAAAGATGTTCTTCCTCTTCCCTGACCCACATTTCAAGCGGACGAAGCACAAGTGGCGAATCATCAGTCCCACACTACTGGCAGAATATGCCTACGTGCTGAGAGTTGGGGTGAGTTGGGACTGGGAGGAAGGGCTGGGTGAGTGTCCTATTCAGGGACCTTCTGAGAACTCAGTGGGGCCCTAGCCGGTTTGGCTCAGTGGATCGTGTCAGTCTTAAGGACTGAAGGGTCCTGGGTTCCATTCTGGTCCATGGCACATGCCCTGGTTGTGGGCTTGATCCCCGGTAGGGGGCGTGAAAGAGGCAGCCAATCTGATTCTCATCATTGATGTTTCTATCTCTCTCTCTCCCTCTCCCTTCTCCTCTGAAATCAATAAAAAGAAATAAATAAAAAGAATTCAGTAAGAATGCAGCCCATCATCTTGCTGCTCATTTGCATACAGTCCCCCTGATTTTGCCTGTGCAGGGGCTGGTATATACTATAACTGATGTGCTGGAGCTACACGAATGGATGTGTACCCATTTTGAAGGGCACCCCCTCTTTGAGCGTGTGCCTCTGGAGGAGCTGGTAAGTTGGGGGCCAAAGGGAAATTGTGAAGATACAGACCCTTTCCAGACTGTTATAGTCTTTGAACTCAGCTTAGTGCCAGGGGAATGGGATGGGAGTCTCAGGGACAGGGGTGGTCAAGGACTTATTAAACCCTTCTCCCAGAGTGAAGACCCTATTGTGGGACATTTGGGTACCTCAACTGAGGAGGGAAAGAAAGTTCTACGCAATGGAGGAAAGAATTTCCCCGCCATCTTCCGAAGAATACAGGATCCCACCCTCCAGGTGGTGACCCCGAGTCCTACCCCTCCTGGTCACTGACTGCGGCTTACCTCGCTTCATCTGGACTCCATCTTCAGGAACGAGAAAGAACATCAACTTCCTGAACCTTCCCAGCTGAGACTGCTGGGGCTTTGAGGCAACAATCTCTCAAAGAAGTTTTCACTACTACCCTTGCCTCTTACTTTCCTGCCCCTCCATTGCCAACAGAAAGTAGAAGAAGCTGACTGGGAAGGTTAGAAGACCTTGAACCAGTAGGGATATTTGGGAGGGATGGGGTCTTGTTCCTCCTTAGCACTTCCTTCTCCCTCTGGGATCTCTTCTCAGCTGGAGTGAGGAATACAATTCTCCAGTGTCCATCTAAACAGCCTGCTAAGTTCAAATCACCTGTCCACTGTGTGTACTTTGTAGTCCTGGAGTTAACATATGTGGGCACATGACCATGCTGCTGTTTCTCAGGGCAGGTGAGAGTATGTGTCATGTGTCTCCTCCCAGCGTCTCCCTGCCTAAGACTTGATCTGGGGGATTTATGCTGCCTTTATTGTGACTATTTCTGAAGAGTCCCAGGGAGGGTAAGGGGTTGGAGACCCGCTCTTGTTTCATACTGACCTTCCATTCCAGAATTTCTGGGCTGACTGGCTGACATAAAAGGACCGCTCTCCCCAAGGAACAAAGATGAAGGCTCCTTAACCCATTTTACCCCATTAACTCACCTGCCATCTGCCCAGCGTCCAGTACAGGGGGTGGGGGAGATGTGGTGCAAGAAAATTCTGCTCATACAGAGAAGGAGCAGCCTGATGAGCCAAGAATATGAGGACAGCTATGGCTGTGCCTCTTCCCTGCTTGCTTCCTTTCCAGGAAGAGCTGGAGGGTGGGGAATTCCTGAGAATGGGCTAAGGGGCCTGTCTGTGGGGAAGTGGTGGGAATATCAGGGACTGACTATATCTTGGTCATCAAAGTTTAACGAAACAGCCTTTCCCAGGAAGAGATCTTCAGGTTATGGGACTAGGGCACCAGCCCAGGAGGAGCAACTGAGGCAGACCTCCCCTCCCAAGAGGGTCATTGCGACATGACCCAAGGGAGCTGCATAGGCAGCTTCAGCCCCTCCTACTGTTCCTAGGTGCTAATCCCTACACGGACCACTGGGGAGAGGATTGGCTGAGTGGCTTGGAGAGGGGGCGTCTCCACTACGTTCCCCAAGGGTTAAAAAGGGGTGCAGGCAAGATGCTAGCAAGTGCTGTATCTCCCGAACCAGACCATGACCCAGACCCTCAGGCTCACCTCCAGGGTGTTGCATCGTGCCCGCTGTGTTTCTAAGCTGGGTGCCTCACTGGGCTCCAGCGGCTCTGGCTCAGCGCCTCGGAGCTTGGCAGACATCCCAGGCCCCTCCACGCCGGGTTTTCTTGCCGAACTTTTCTGCAAGGGCGGGCTGTCGCGCCTACACGAGCTGCAGGTAGATTGGGACTCTGTTCTGGGGACTCGGTGCTGGGGAAACAGACTAGCGCAGACCGTAGGAGGGAAGGCCAGTGAGAACGGATGCCCATGGATTAGAGAAAGACAAGTTGGGATTTGGGGCTTTGGCTCAAGCAGCACGGAGTCCATCCTGACACCTAGCATTCAAAAAGCGCCTTCTCGCAGAGCTAAGTCTGGAAGTCGGTAGGTCCAGGATAAGTGGGCAGGAGGCAGAAACGCACAGGCTCTTACCCGGGCATTCAGCGTGTTGGGCTTAAAGCTACCTGCGCTCCTATGCTTTGTGCTCTGGTCCTGAACTGGAGAGTCCGCGTGTGAACCTTTAAGGATTTTTCTGGTGCCCAAAGAGCAGTGCTGAAAGTCTAAGCAAAGTTCTTACAACTTTGCCCATCACACTCAGACTTTCTAGGGATGGGAAGGGGGGGGGGGGAGGAAGGAGGAGGGTTTTTTAGCATTAGGTCCATGTGCCAGCTGGGAGCTCCCCCTTCCAAAGCCTAGCCACATTAGGTCCATGGGCCACGCTGCGAGTCCCCTTGCCCCTTCTCCAGTGTCGCTGCGCCGTTCCCCCAGGTGCAGGGCGCCGCGCGCTTCGGCCCGGTGTGGCTGGCCAGCTTCGGGACGGTGCGCACCGTGTACCTGGCGGCCCCTGCGCTCATCGAGCAGCTGCTGCGACAGGAGGGGCCCAGGCCCGAGCGCTGCAGCTTCTCCCCGTGGGCTGAGCACCGGCGCCAGCGCCAGCGGGCTTGCGGACTGCTCACTGCGTGAGTCCTCTCTGGCCCAGAGCCGGGAAACCCCACTGCTCCCCTCTCCTGTGGAGGGTCTGGAGACAGTCTGAGGGGAGGGACGGCCGTTTTCCCCCAGACTGCCAAATGGGGATTTTCACACAGAGTGTTTCTCCAGCTCAGGTAGAGCCCGGCCCTCGTCCCACACCCCCCTCCTCTTGGTCCTTTCTGAGAGCAGAATCCTGGGTACCGGCAAAAGGGGCTAGGGTACCAGGATCCAGATGTGGTATATAAGATTCTGTGACTCAGGTTACCCAGGAACCCAAGCCATCTCTGGGGCAGGAAATGAGTAAGGAGGAAGGGGATGAATAGCAGACGCAATCCCGCTCCCAGCCACCCGAGCGGAACGCGCTCCTCCACCGCAGCCCGCAGCGCTGGACAGCCTGCACACACCCACGTCCGCCCTGATGCGCCCCCTCTCCGCACCCCCACAGGGAAGGCGAAGAGTGGCAGAGGCTCCGCAGCCTGCTGGCCCCGCTCCTCCTCCGGCCTCGGGCAGCTGCCCGCTACGCCGGGACCCTGGACGCCGTGGTCCTTGACCTCGTGCGGCGACTGCGGCGCCAACGGGGACGTGGCACTGGGTCGCCTGCCCTGGTTCGCGATGTAGCGGGAGAGTTTTACAAGTTTGGACTAGAAGGTGAGTACCAGGACAGCTGTGGCCAGCTTAGGAGGAACCCCCGGAAGGGTGTGTGTGGGGTGGAGGTGGGGGAGTCACCCCGTGTCCTGACAGCGCCCCCTCCTGGCCAGGCATAGCAGCCGTGCTGCTGGGTTCGCGCCTGGGCTGCCTGGAGACCAAAGTGCCTCCAGACACTGAGACCTTCATCCGCGCGGTGGGATCCGTGTTCGTGTCCACGCTATTGACCATGGCGATGCCCAGCTGGCTGCACCGCCTCGTGCCGGGACCCTGGGCCCGCCTCTGCCAAGACTGGGACCAGATGTTTGCATTTGGTAAGGCCCAGGCGCGAAGTGGGGATGGGAGGACATAGAACCGCCCAGGGGCGGTGAAGCATCCCTGCGCCTTCTCCCCGCGCAGCCCAGAAGCACGTGGAGCGGCGAGAGGCCGAAGCAGCCAGGAGGAGCCGGGGAAGGCCTGAGCAGGACGTGGAATCTGGGGCGCACCTGACCTACTTCCTGTTCCAGGAAGAGTTGCCTGCCGCGTCCATCCTGGGGAATGTGACGGAGCTGCTGCTGGCCGGCGTGGACACGGTAGCGTTCTCCCTCCGTGCTGTGGACCCCACTTAATCCTTAAGCTTGGCCTCCCCAGTCTCAATCCAGCTGCAGAGGGTTCACTGTGGCCCTCTAGAACAGCTTGGGTTGGCACTTCCTGGGCTCCAGACAGCGTCATATTCTGTGGCTATATCTATTTCCCTACCATATCTCCCTATGCTGGTTTCTGCTCTTATTGCCTCCAATGCTCTCACCTATCCTCTCAGGTGTCCAACACGCTCTCCTGGGCTTTATATGAACTCTCTCGGCACCCCGAAGTCCAGACGGCTCTCCATTCCGAGATCACCGCTGCCTTGGGCAAGGGGTCCAATGCCCACTCCTCAGCCACTGTTCTGTCCCAGCTGCCCCTGCTGAAGGCTGTCCTCAAGGAAGTGCTAAGGTGAGAGGGCAGGAGAGAAAGAGCTGGAGAAAATGCTGGGGAAGGACTGGGAAAGCAGACAGAAGACGGGAGCGGGGAGAAAGCGGAGGAAAATGGTACCTACTCCTGGCCAAGAATGGGTTTGGAAGTTGCGGGCATGAGAGGGAGGCTAATGGCCCCAGCCTTACCTTCTTGTCTTTCCTTGTGCTCTGCCACCCAGACTGTACCCCGTAGTACCTGGGAATTCCCGTGTTCCTGATAAAGACATTCGTGTGGGTGATTATATCATTCCCAAAAATGTGAGTAGAGCCTATGGGCCAATTTTGCTAAGCCATCCCTCGCTATCTTGGCCCTGATCTTATCCTCAACTCTCCATAAGCCCTTCAAACCCTCCCCTTGGCCTGAATGCTTCTCTCTGGGACATAATGGGACAGAGGAAAAATCCTTTCAAAAGCAGCACAGAAAATTTTCCCATTACCTACCAGAGCCTGCCTTCATCCCAGTCCATATCGCCTTTTCTCCTTGTCCCTCCTTGCCTTCCTGGGGCCGAATTGACAAGTTCGTGTTCCTCCCTCACCAGACGCTGGTCACTCTGTGTCATTATGCCACTTCAAGAGACCCTGCCCAGTTCCCAGAGCCAAATGCTTTTCGCCCAGCGCGCTGGCTGGGGGAAGGCCCAGCCCCCCACCCATTCGCCTGTCTTCCCTTTGGCTTCGGCAAGCGCAGCTGCATGGGGAGACGCCTGGCAGAGCTGGAGCTGCAAATGGCTTTGGCCCAGGTGAGTGATCTAGACCTTCTGCAGACGAGAGAGACCCTAACTATCTAAAGCTGTGAGCTCTTCTCCTGATAAGCATAGGAAAACATGTAAGACTTAATATTTTAAATGCGTCAATCTCATTACAGTCCTGGAAAGTGAGTGAGGGAATGTGGACTATCTATTTCCCTACCATAGTCCCTTATCCTGATTAACCAAGGAGTTCACTACCAACCTTGACCATTCTAACACAAACAGTGCCCGTGACCAAACCAGCCCACCATTGTAGACCCCTCCCATAATGATAGCTTTCTTCCTCACTTTTCAGATCTTGACTCACTTTGAGGTACGGCCTGAGCCAGGCGCTGCCCCAATCAGACCCATGACCCGGACTGTCCTGGTACCTGAGAGGAGCATCAACCTACAGTTTGTGGACAGATAGTTTTGTGAAGGAGGCTGTTACCACCTTTTCTCTCATCATAGGGGTTTATTAGGCACAAGACCAAGACCTGTGTATTTCCCCTGAGACCTGTCTATCTCATCACACTAGTCAGAAAGATCATAGCAAAGGGTTTGAGGCAGTCCTGGCCAAGGTGTGGAGTATGCATGTGGCCTGACCCAGCAGGCCTGGAGAAAACCATAGCCCCTCTGCCTGCTCAGCCCTTTTCCTGATCATATCACATGCATCCTTCAAGGGCCAACTCAGACTTTTAACTAATAATGCTGGGTGACCTGAGGAAGAATTCCACCACCGTCCTTTGGGGGCTCCACAGTGTTCACGGATGCTGCTGACCAAGCTCTTTGCATGACATGAGCTAAGTAATTGTGCATCTGGTCTGCACCTGGTCTTCCTTGCATGTGAGCTCTTTGAGAGAAAGGATGAGATCTTATTCCATTTTTTTATACCCCTGCCAGGGCCTGTCCCTGGGTGACACACAAATTCTCAGACTGAATCTGGACCCTGTGGCAGAAGGGGGTAGCAGTTTACCAGGCTCTGCCTACCTCGTTCCTTCCTCATCTTGCCTCTAGAAAGGCGAGTCTGCCTTTGCCTGGTTTATGATTTTTAAAAAACTATCCTTGCCTCTCTGGTCACTATTAAGTTGGCTTGACTTAGTTCCCAGACAAAGACATCTCTGCATCTATCCCTGTATATGCCTTTTACATATTGATATTTTTAAATATTCATAGTTTTGAAATAAAGTTTAAAAAAAAATGTTCCCTCCTTGATTTTTTACTTATTTCTCTCCCACTCTCACTTCCTACAAGACCTGGAGGCAAGACCCTCACCCAAATCCCTGACCTTGGTTTCTCAGGCCTTGGGACTAGCTCCATAGCATGGGAGGTCCAGACACCTGGAAGAGAGGTTTGCACCACAAACCCAGACACGTTTCTGTCTGGAGTGGGAACAGCCAAGTCTGGCTCCCTGGAAGAAGGTATGAGGGTGGTGGTGAAAGGTAATCACAAGGGCAAGCTGTAAAAAAGGGTTAGGAGCTAGGGATTTGCAGAGATGGCCAGAGGCGGCTGACTCTTTGGTAGAAATGTTTATGGAACCTGAACTGAAGGACATCCTAGAATGGCCACTCTCACCTCTCTGGAAAAATTGTTCCAAGGTCTTTTCCTTTGGAGAAAGACAGGAATACAGCCCGAGAAGTGAAGTCAGACAGGATGAAAGCTCAGTGTGGGGGTGGCCAGAAGCCCTGGGGCACCAAGGCAGAAAGGGGCTGGGCAGAGGGAGCCTGTTTCCCTGGGTCAGCACTCTCTGGCCCCCCAGAAGTTGGGCACAGCCCTCCCCTTGTGATGTACACAGATGAACTCATCTTCCATATAAATAAATCTCTCAGCACACTCCCCGCAGCTCCCTCTGAGGGTAGCCTAGATTACCCTCCCCATGCCAGGACTTGTCCCCCTTCCTCCTGCTCCCTCCACTCCCCATTCCAATGAGCTAGATGGAGATGGAGATTTCGCTTCACACTTCCTCCTCCTCCCACCATCTCAGTCCCTTGCCCTAGACATGGCTCCCTGACCACAGGAACTTCATTAACCACCAAGCCTTCTGGGGAGTATCTATTTATGTAAAATCTACACAGGAGCAGGTTGTACCCAAGGTTCAGTGCAGAGACCAAGGTTTATGTACCTGTACTGTCCCTTCTCTCAACTCCTGTACTACACTCGATCCCCATCCCCATTCCCCTATCACTGAACTCAACCCAAACTTAAGTGACCTGATTTTTAGCAGACTTGAGCTTTGAAAGAATAAAGCCCCAATTCCTCTCAGACCTTTCCCCCTGAACTTAGTGATGTGGGCTCTGACACCCACGGCTCCATTGGGCAAGTTGGACTACTCACTTGAGGAGGGCAACAGCTCCCATGACCCCTTTTCTGGATAAGATCCTCTTTAAGTTAGAAAAGGGAAGGATAGGGGACAGTACTGATTGCTGGTCCCAAACCAATACCAGAACATCTAGTGGTACTGAAAGGAAGAGGATTATATTGTCTCACTTGGCCTGGTTTTAGGACCCAGTGTCCAAATGGAGACAGTGTGTTTGTGTGCCTATGATCTTAGGTTTAAATTTCTGTGTGGGCCATCACGGGGGCAGCCCAGGCTTGGCACAGGAAACCCCAACTGTGTGATACCTACCTGAACCCTATCTGCCATCATAGGCACTAGTCACTCTAATTTGCTGTCTCCCATCTGATAGTTGGTCCCCACCAGCTATCTGGTGACTAGCAAATCAGTAAAGCCTGGCTCTTCTGTCTGCCCAAGTAAGGAATGTGGAGGTTTACTTCTCTGGAAAAACAATTTTCCACTGGAATGTGGGGGATGAGAGAGCGGGATATAGCTCAGCTTCAGTTCCCTCTCCATGTTGATTCCTGGAGGTGATACACTTCCCACAAGTCCAGGTGACTGGTATCTATACCTCCAGGCAAGGCTGGGTGCTAGCACCATGGACAGCAGCAAAGACCCCTTTTGGAGAGGGGGTAGGAGATAGCCAATACCCAGGCAAGGATATGTGACCTTTAGCAGATAAGCATTTTCCCCAAAACATCCCCAGGGAGCATACAGAGCAGACCTTCTCTGAGAGAAGGACTAATAATAGGAAAGGCCTCTGGATCTGACTTTAGCAAAGTGTGAAGTAATTAATTTAATTGCTGATGAGTAGTTCACTTAAAAGATACCATCATTCATAGAACACACAGCTCCAAGAACTCAGGAGAAAGGGCTGAGACGTCAGGCTGACCCACATTTTAAGCAGTCCTTCCCAAATTTTCTCTCTAGACAAGTGTCCTCTACCCTGCTGTCTCCAAGCACAATACTTCCAGGTAATACCACTAGCTGAGGCACACCAGGACCAGACCTATAAGCTGGAGACTCATATCATGGAAGGATTCTGTCCATCTCACTCCAAATAAGTCCGAATTCCCTTCACACCACTTCTCTGGGTGAGCACAGTGCCTGAGAAGGACTAAGAATCCAAATGATCCCCAGAGCAAGAAGGAGAGCTCCAGCCTTTCTCTGCCCTCTGTAGGGCATTGAAGGAGCTCTCATTCTTACAAATAACCACCATCCTTCACATTTGCAATGTCTAGTTTCCCTCATATTTACATATCTATGACACTCAACACACATTCCCAAGGCTCTGTGCAACTCCAGATAAAAAACACACTTTGAAAGTTGTTAACCAGCTCCTATTTGAAATAAATGGACCATCATCTACAGTATAAATCTTTTTATGCCATCACTGATTTTCTTCGCAATGGCATTCAACCTGTCCCTTCTTCTTATTCTTTTAAATATATTTTTATTTATTTCAGAGAGGAAGGGAGAGGAAGAGAGAAATAGAAACATCAATGATGAGAGAGAATCATTGAACAGCTGCCTTCTGAAAGCCCCACAATGGGGATCGAGTCAGCAACCTGGGCATATGCCCTGACCGGGAATCGAATCGTGACCTCCTGGTTCATAGGTCGATGCTCAACCACTGAGTCATGTCGGATGGGTGCAACCAGCCCCTTCTTTATCCTCATTCCAACCCTATGAGGTAGACAGGAAAACCACAGTGGAGAGATTTTTTTTGTAAATCACAAACTTGGACATGGTAGGTCCACCCTTTAGATACCTCTGAGCATTGCCATCTAGCAGCCAACATGAATTATTCACCAGCAAGTGGGAGTTATACCTCCAACTCAGAGCCCACTGCTGCATTTGGGATTTGTAACCTCTGCAGAGAAACCTCCCCACACCTCCCGACCCTCCAGAGAAGCCCCAGATGAGAAAGGAGTCTCCATGTGCATATAAATGATTCTTTATGCCCTCCCCCCATGCAATGGGGGGCAGAGCAGGGGAAGCCCCCCCGCCCTCATGCAGGGAACGGGAGGTCAATGTATACTAGTCTTATTGCCAGCTGCCCTGTGGCCATGGGGTGGGGTGTGGGGGGGTCTACAGCCCCTTTCTTCTGGCATTGGTTCCCCCTCACCAAGTCAGCATGGTAGAGCTGAGGGGCTGGAGGGCCTAGGAGCTGAGGTAAGGACGGTTCTCTGGGGAAGAAAAGCTGTTCTCCCCACATGCCCATTGGCTGCCCCAGGATGAGTGTGGGGCATTGTCAGTGGGGGCTGGAATGTCATCCACGTGCATCTACCCAGTGGGCAGAAGCCAGACAATGTCTCCAGCTTGAGGCTGCCCACAGAGACCTTCAGCGGTGGGAGCAGTGTGCCCCAAACATCTGGTCCGGGCGGTACCTCCCGCAGTCATGATAGCTCCTCTCTGGCCGATGCACTGACTCAAGATCCCAGCTCCTGGAGTTCAGTTCAGACTGTGGTGACCCTCATGACAACCTCTCGGCCGGAATGGGAGCTGGAACGCGCGTCCGGTGGCCGAAGCTGTCCAAGGAGGTGCAGGATTGTGTAACCACAGCGCTGAGGCAAGAGCGTCCGCATGCGCTGGGCAGCCGGGGGGCGGCTGTTGGCCCCAGAGGGAGGGCTTGTCCGTGAGGTCCTGGGGCCCGGCTTCCCTGCCGTCCCTCCCCCTGCATCTCCTCCTACGTCCTTGGTCTTGTCATAGTTCAGGACCTTCCACTGCTGGTTCACTGCCTGCCAGCGTTTGAAGATGCGGTAGACAGAGGAGCCTTCGTGGACAATGAGTCCTAAGCAAGAGGGAGAAGATATCCAGGGTCAACTGCTGCTCAGACCCAGGCGAGAGGTGCTTAAGCAAACATTTTTCAGAGTGAGGAGATAGGGTTGCAAAAGACCTGGAGAAGCTGGGAAGGGAGGGGCACCAAGATAGCCCTGAAGGCTCTCAATGGTTGAAAATGTGGCCATGAGGCTGAAGGAATGGGGAGGGAAAGTGAAGTGTATGAGTGTGAGGAAGTTGCCCCTCGGGTTAAAGGGAGAGAGGTGCCCTCACCTATGCAGACGACATCCATGAAGCCATACATGCCGTAGCAGATCTGAAACAGCAGATCCTGTCGTTGCCACTTGGCTGAAGGGCTGAGTGAGGACCAGATGAGCCAGGAGATGCTGGCGACGAGGAAGAGAGAGCCCAGGACTATGGCGGCAATCTGGACCTTCTCAATGACTGTCAGGGAGATGGCTTGCCACTGTGTGGGAGAAAGGGTTCCAAAAAGTCACAGAAAGAGATGGAGGGCCGGGTGATGGTTTAGCCCTGAAAAGCAGGATGCTCCAGGAGTCTTCCTGAAACCCTCCTGGCAGGACGAACATCTGTCTCCTCTGTGCCCCGATCAAACCTAGGCTGTGGCCTTGCTCAAGGTATTTGAAACCATGGGTCTGTCTTAGTTTAGAAAGGCAGGATGAGGCAAGTGCTCTGAAGCCAGACCATGTAGGTTTGAATTCCAAATTCTAACGCCATCAGTTCCTGGCTGAGTAACCTTGGGCAAGTATTCAAATCTCTTTGTGCATCGATCTTTAGGATGTGGATAATGGTATATAACTAATAGGATTATTATAATGACCAGAAGTTAATACACACCACCCTAGCTGGTTTTGCTCAGTGGATAGAGCATCGGCCTGGGGACGCAAGGGTCCAGGTTCGATTCTGGTCAAGGGCACATCCCCAGTAGAGGGTGTGCAGGAGGCGGCTGATCGATATTTCTCTCATCGATGTTTCTAACTTTCTATCCCTCTCCCTTCCTCTCTATAAAAAAATTCAATAACATATATATATTTTTAAAAAGTTAATACACACCAAGAGCTTGACACAAAGAAAACACTACATATTTGCTATTGCAATTGATATTATTATCTTTTTCTTTCTTGTTGTCCCACTGCATAGAACAGTGTCTGGAATAAAGGTGGCACTGAATAAAGTCTTTGTAAATAAATGAAGAAAGGGAGGACTTACAGAAAGACAGGAAATTGTGGGGAGGGGTAAACAAATGGATGCAATAGGCTCCCGGGGGTTCCTGACTCTGAATGCTGCAAGGCCCTTGCTCCAACCCGAGAGTCTCGTCCTTGCACCTCACCTGCAGTGGGTTCTTGGTGCTGATGGCCAGGACCTGATACTTGAAGTAGCAGAGCTCACAGCTCCAGGAGCCCCTCTCGCTAATCCAGCGGATGAGGCAGGGCTGGTGCGTGCAGCGCACGGAGCCGTCACAGCGGCAGGGGCTCAGGAGCTCCCCCTGGAGGAAGAGTGAGGAGAGTGATGTTAGCTATCGCCACCGGGACCCACTTCTCTCCGCTCTGGGGGAGAAAACCCTCCTGTCCAGACCTGTCATTCTCCCACCTTAGAAGAGCTCAGGCCTTTCACCCCAAACAGGCCAAGAGGCTAAGGCTGCAGGACAAAGAAAAAAGTTAGAGCTCCAGGTAAACTTCCCTGACCAAATGGATGAGGAAGAAAAGGGATCGGAGAGGAGGTGGGGAACTGGGTCTTCTCTTTGCCCAGAATTTGGAGAGGGTGGTCTTTTAAGGAGTTCCCACTGGAAGGCTACCCCTTAGGATCTGAAGGGTGAGGGTTAGAGCTTCAGAGCCATGCCTTCCTCCCGGCTCCATCCCTGTAAAGTATTTCACAGGTGACGTCCTCTGTTTGCAAGTAACAAAAGGGAGAAGGCATTCTGGGGGGTGGGAGTAGAAGGTGTTCCCTTTTAATCCAGGAGTAATGTCTCACCGCACAGAGACATCCCCTGCACTATCCCGAGACAACTTTGTCCACAACATTTACACAAAGAGGACTCTCTGGAATGAGATGGAAAGTTGTAGCACGGGAAGTGAAGGAAAGTGCCCCACGGAGAGAGAAAGCCTGAAAGAGGCGAGGGCGCCGCTGGGCCCTCCCTTCCAGGTGGGAACAAGCGCTCCCCTCGGCCACCTCCTCAGCCCACAAAGACCCCGGGGGGAAGGGGGGGGAAAGGATGGGGGAGAAGATGGGGAAGAGGATGGGGAGAAAGGCAGTCCCCGCTCACGGGTGAGGGATGTGGAGCCTGGCCAGGAGAAAGACCCACCCCTTCCTGGGGACCCCTGCTCGCCCTCCACCTCAAACGGACGCTCTGGGCGTCTCCAGCCAGCCCCCCAACCTCCCCCTATTCCCACTGGGGTCCTGGGTCCCGCCCCACCTCCCAGGCCCCGCCCCCCCCACCCCGCTCGCGGGCTCCCCGGGCGCCCCAGGTGGGCGCCCCCACCCCGCCCGGCCCCGCCCCGCCCCGCGCGCGCCCGGGCCTGACCTGCTCGGGGCCCTGGAAGCAGATCCGGCACTGGGGGGTCCGCAGGCCGCTGTCCAGGCTGCTGCTGAGCGACAGGGCGTCCAGCGCGCCCGGGGGCGGCGGCGGCGCGGGCGGCGGCGGGGGCCCGGCCCGCGGCTCCTTGTCGCCCGCCAGGCCCCGCGCGCGCGGCCCGGGCCCGTAGTACTCCTCCTCGTCGCCGGCGCCGCCGTCCCGGGCCGCGCAGCCGGCGAAGGGCGCCCAGCCGCAGCCGCCCCCGCCCCCCCGGGGCTGCGGCTCGGCGCGGGGCCGCCCCCCGCCCGCCAGCACCAGCAGCTTCAGCTCGTTCAGGAACATGCGGAGCCGCGACTTGAGCATCGTCCGGGCGCCGCGGGGCGGGGGGCGGCGCGCGGGGGGCTCGGGGCGGCGCGGGGAGGGGAGGGCAGGGCCGGGGCCGGGGCGCGCGCCGGGGAGCCCAGCCCCGCCGGGGTCCTCGGGGCCCGGGGACGCCGTTCACGGCCGCCACCGCCGGGGCTTCGCGGCTGGCGGCGCCGGGAGGGCGGGCGGCCCGGGGGCGGCGGGGCGCGCGGCCATGGCCCGGGCGGGGGGCGGGGAGGGGGCTCAGGGCGCCGCGCCCCGCGGGTCCGGGTCCGGAGCGGGCCGGGCCCCCGGGGTTACGCGCCCCGATCCTCCTGCGGCGGGGCCGCCCCCCATCGCCGTGCTCCCGGCCCCAGTCCCGCCTCGGCTCCCGGCTCCGGCTCGGCTCGGCCCGTGCGCTCGGCGGTGGCAAATGGCGGCTCCTTCCGGCGGCGGCGGCGGCGGCGGAGACCCCCCCACCCCCGGAGCGGCGGCGGGAGGGGCGGGCGGGGCGGGCGCGGGGAGCCGGTGAGGAATGGAGGGAGGGGCGGGGAGGGGGAGAGAGAGAAGTGGCCGCGGCTGCGCATCCCCGCCCTGCCCGGCTGGAGCAGGTGTCCCTGGGGGGGTGGGGGGGGCGAGGAGGGGAGTGTGTGCAGCCCTGGGGAGGATGGAAGGAGGGGAGTGTCCGAGGAAGGAGAGTATGCACACGGGTAGGAGAATAGGTGTGTGAAGGGTGAGGGTGGAGGGGAGTGGGTGCTCAAAGACGCAGGTGCACCAGAGGGGGAGAGGCTTGTGCAAAATGGGAGTGTGCAGAGAGGAGGCTGTGAAAGGGGTCTGCGCTCTGAGGGAGGGAAGTGAGCGAGAGAGAGACTCAAGCAGTGAACACTTACACAATGGACTGAAAGGTGTGCATGGTATGGGACTGTGGAAGAGGCGAGGGAGGGTGTAATGGCTGGAATCCGGTTGCATGAGAAAAGAAATGTGTGATTGTAATGTGTGAGGTAGGTGAGTGAGCAAGGGAGATAGGAGTGCTAAAGGGATGAGAGTGTCTTTCCTGGCTTTCTCCTTCCCTTGCCACCACACACACACACACACACACACACACACACACGCACACACAGCTCTTTGCTTATAGGGGGGCCTTGACCCTGAGAACCAGTTCTGTCCCCTTACTAGGTCTGCTTTACACTTCCAGCCTCCCTCTCCTCCCTTTTACAACGCTGAGGGAAAAGGGATTCCAGAGGAGCCCATTGGGGTCAAACACATTGCGAAAAAATTAATTAGTAAGAGAGTAATTAATAGAAGGGAGGGTATGGAATCAGGGACAGACTGCCAAACCAAGGCTCCTCCATAGAAAGTGACTGAGGAGAGAAATGCTCTTAGGAAGCATTCAAACGCATTGGATGGGTGGATAAATGAATGAATCAGAAAAGGGCTGGAACCCAAGCCAACATAGAGGATGACTTCTTTTTTAAATTTAATTTACGGGGGTGATATTGGTTCACAAAACCATTCAGGTTTTAAGTGTACAACTCAACAAAACATCATCTGCACACCGCATCATGTGCCAAAGCAAAGTCTCTTTCAGTCTCCACTTATGCCCGTTTTGCCCACCTCGACCTATTCCTCCCCCCACTTTCCCTCTGGCTATCACCACACGGGGTGTGTGTGTGTGTGTGTGTGTGTGTGTGTGTGTATGTGTATGTGACTTCTAAAGACCGTGAGCTGTGGTGGGCTTATGTGGAAGGCGAGGCTGAGATAGACTCCGCTAGGGTAGGAAGTTTGGCACACATTCAGGTAGCATTTCTGAAGGCTTACAAATCAACCAATTCTGACAAGATAGCCAAGGAAACATTCACCTCACAAGCCCCATGGCCAGTTCAGACCTTGAGGTTTTTCTTTTTTTTTAAAAAAAAAAATTTATTTATTGATGAGAGAGAGACATCAAATTGTTGTTCCACTTATTTATGGATTCATTGGTTGCTTCTTATGTTCCCTGACTGGGGATCCAACCCACAACCTCGGTGTATCAGGAAATGCTCCAACCAATTGAGTTATCCCGCCGGGGCTTGAGGTTTACTAGTCCTAGCTGCCCTTACCAGCGAGGGCTCAGACTTACTGTCAGAATGCAGAGGGGGAATCTCTGCTGACATAGCTTCCGTTTTGCCCTGGAGCATGCTTTATATTCTTCTCAAGCCTGAACTCTTACATCCTCAGCCAGATGGTTAAAGAGAATAGAAGTTAGGGTAAAAGGAATGAGAAATAGAGTAATAAAATGGTTTTATTTTATTTTTATTTATTTTAAATATATATATATATTTATAAAATATATTTTATTGATTTTTTTACAGAGAGGAAGGGAGAGAGATAGAGAGCTAGAAACGTCGATGAGAGAGAAACATCGACCAGTTGCCTCTTGCACACCCCCTACAGGGGATGTGCCCGCAACCAAGGTACATGCCCTTGACCGGAATCGAACCTGGGACCCTTCAGTCCACAGACCGACGCTCTATCCACTGAGCCAAACCGGTTTCAGCTTATTTTTTAGAGACTAGTTTATGAATTTTTAGAGAGGAAAGGAGAAGAGAGAAACATCAGTGTGAGAGTTTAACATAGATTGACTACCTCCTGCACGCCCCCTACTGGAGATCAAGCCTGCAACCAACCTGGGCATGTGCCCTACCTGATCTGCAATCAACCAGCAACCTTTCTGTGCAGGGAGGGTGCCCAGTCAACTGAGCTACACTGGCCAGGGCTGGTTTCAGATTTTTTTATTTATTTATTTTTTTAAAAATATATTTTATTGATTTTATACAGAGAGGAAGGGAGAGAGATAGAGGGTTAGAAACATCGATGAGAGTCATCGATCAGCTGCCTCTTGCACACCCCCTACTGAGGATATGCCCGCAACCAAGGCACATGCCCTTGACCGGAATCGAACCCGGGACCCGTCAGTCCCCAAGCCGACGCTCTATCCATTGAGCCAAACCAGTCCCGGCTGGTTTCAGATTTTAGACAAGTTGTTACACATGAGACACTGATTCCTTCCTTCCCTTACTCCCATCCCCGCAAAGGGTTGGGAGATAAGGAAGTTGGAGTCAGTAAATCGTGGGAAGCCAGAGAGAAACCTGCCCCTTGTCTACTTCTCTGTGAGCAAAGGCCATTTGGAAAAGGTTTGTGTTCAGGTATAGGGGCAAGGGCTAAGAAAATTTGCACTGGAGGAAAGGAGCACAATAATGCCATATAATGAGCCACAGGTTTGCAGAAGAGCACAAGCCAGTCCCATGTAATGTGATGGTCTGAGGTAGTGGCTGTGGTAATTTACTGCAATGCTCCCTCATATATATATAAATATATATAAATATATATATATATATATTTATATATATATTTATATATATATATATTCTATGTATGACGTATATCATACACATACACACATATATCACAATATCTTAGTGTTGAAATGAACCTATCTCCCAATCATTGGAAACTTCTCTGCCAGAAGGCATGTGGTGGAAATTGGAAAGTGGAGAGGGTATTGCCCCTCTCCCTATTGGATTACTGTATTAATGTGCCTTTATCAATCCTTTCATCTAGTTTTGCCCTCACATTGGCACTGTCTACTCCCTATTTTGTGTGCACCCTGTTGGCTACATATTTACAGATAATTTTTTTAAAATATACTTTTTATTAATTTCAGAGAGGAAGGGAGAGATAGAAACATCAACGATGCTCCCGCCCCTCCCCCGCTCCCCCCACTGGGGATCGAGCACGCTCCCTTGGCGGGAATCAAACCTGGAACTCCTCAGTGCGCAGGCCAACGCTCTATCCACTGAGCCAAACCTGCTAGGCTTTGCAGATAGTCTTATCACTACTTAAAAGGGCTTGTGACTGAGACACCAAAAAAACAAACAGACCCCAAAACAACCCCACCTCCCCACGGGAAGCAAGCACTCAGTGAAAACTTGTTGAATGAATGAGTGAATGGAACAAAGACACAAGTGAGACTACGTTCTCCCACGGCAGTGGAGCAGAAAGGCCAGGGCACCACCTCCCGTCCCCCGACTCCTGCGCCCCTCCCCCAGACGGAGAAACCAGGAGTGAGACCGGAGAAGGCCCGCAGCCCGCAGCTGGGATCTGGGTGGCCCAGGTTGCCATGGCACCGGCTGGGACTCCACCCTCTCCCTTCTCTCCCCCCCCCCCCCCCCCCAACCTCCACCTCCACCCCACCCCGCTTGGGTAGTGGCAACTGGTCACGTGCTCTGCCGGGTAACCACACCTCTGCTCCTCAGAGCAATAGCCTGCGGTCACGTGGGATAGCAACAGATCACGTGGTCGCCGTCGTCCCTCCTCCCCATCCTCCTCGCCGCCCCCCAACCGGGCGAGGCCACTCGCGGCCCCTCTGCGCACGGGTGGCTGGTCACGTGCCCCGCACGTCCGGCGCTCGCCCCTCCCCCCGGGTTTCCGCGCGCCTCTGGCAGCCGGTCACATGGTGAGGGGGGGGGGAGCGGGCGGGGGAGAGGGGTCCGCTCTAGCCGGCGGCCTGTGTCTGCGGTCGGGCCCGCGCGGTCCAGCTGCTCCGGGCCCAGCTCGGGTGTATGGCTCCGCGGGAACCGGCTCCTGGGCCCCGATAACGGTCCGCCCCGCAGTCCCCGGCGCGGGAAGAAGTAAGAGCAGCCCCTTCCCGGGGAGGGAGACCGTTCTCAGGCTTCCAGGCGGGCTCGTTCCGGAGGGGTCACTGGAGGGGGAGGGACGTGGGCCGGGGCGGAATCTGGTCCTTTGTAAGGGGTCGTGGGAGGTGCAGTGTTAGGGCTGGGGTGTAGGATCTTGGATGCAGGGGGTGTGTCGTGTGGGCTCTTCCTTTGTGGCCGGCGCGATGGCCCCAAAGGAAGAGAGATTTTTTTTTTAATTATTATTATTTTTTTAATTCTAGGGCCTCACGTGGCTGAAGGGGTTGGGGCTGGAGTCATTGTATTACCTGAGGGGCGGGCCTGGCCTCTCGGAAGACTGGGAAGGGGAGGGGTGCTGGTGGTGTGTCTTTGTGATGTATTTTTTTTTTCCTTTTTCTGGAGTTACTTTGTTGCTGTATGCTTAGGCCTTTCGAGGGGATTCGGTGGTAGGAGTCTCTGTGATTGTAGGGTCTTCTCTGATCCGAGAATGGCTACCCTTCGGTATGAGCCAGTGGCTGAGATTGGTGTTGGTGCCTACGGGACGGTGTACAAGGCCCGTGATCCACACAGTGGCCACTTTGTGGCCCTCAAGAGCGTGAGAGTCCCCAATGGAGGTGGTGGCGGAGGGGGCCTTCCCATCAGCACAGTTCGCGAGGTGGCCTTACTGAGGCGGCTGGAGGCTTTTGAGCATCCCAACGTTGTCCGGTGAGGAGGAGGGTTGGGAGTGGATAATAAAGGGGGAATGTGGGGTGTGGTGGTCTGGAGAGAGGTGAGGATCCCGAGGAAATAGAATAGGGAAGGTTATGTTGAGGCCAAAAGGGATTGATCCATGAGTAACCCACCGTTTGTTCTGGCCAGGCTGATGGATGTCTGTGCCACCTCCCGAACTGACCGGGAGACCAGAGTGACCCTGGTGTTTGAGCATGTGGACCAAGACCTACGGACGTATCTGGACAAGGCACCCCCACCAGGCTTGCCAGTGGAGACCATCAAGGTGCGTGGGGTGGGCAGACGACGAGAGAGGTACATTGGGGCCCCAGCCGTTGTGGTTTCAGGTATGGCGCCTAGTTTCCAGTTGCTCTGTTACCTCCCTCTTCCAAACCAGGATCTGATGTGCCAGTTTCTAAGAGGCCTGGATTTTCTTCATGCCAATTGCATTGTTCATCGAGACCTGAAGCCAGAGAATATTCTGGTGACAAGTGGCGGGACAGTCAAGCTGGCCGACTTTGGCCTGGCCAGAATCTACAGCTACCAGATGGCACTTACACCTGTGGTCAGTAGAAAGATGTTAGGCAAAATGGGTTCTGGTTGGGAGGTAGGAAAGTGCCCAATAGCAGTCGAGAAGTCATGTGTTTTGTGCTTTATGGTAACCCATAGGGCCCTGTCCACTCTCCTAATTCCCATTAGGTTGTTACGCTCTGGTACCGTGCTCCGGAAGTTCTTCTGCAGTCTGCATACGCAACACCTGTGGACCTGTGGAGTGTTGGCTGCATCTTTGCAGAGATGTTTCGTCGAAAGTAAGGGACCCAAGGATCCTGAACTGTTTTGAACTTCCCAAATCTCTTAAAAATCATCTCCATATCTTGCCCATGCTTTCACTTGAGTTCTACTGACCACTTTGTCTGTAACTAGAAGCTCTGAAATGGAATTAGGAACTTATTATCCCTTTAGTTTCCATACCCTCTGTTTGACCCACTTAAGCAGTAACCATTCTGCTACCACATCCTGGAAAATGATGTTGTGTCCCTTCTTGCCTTAGGCCTCTCTTCTGCGGAAACTCTGAAGCTGACCAGTTGGGCAAAATCTTTGAGTAAGTGACTGGCAAGGGGAAAAACATGTTCGTTCTGGTAGCATTTGGCTCTGCCCCAGGGGTGGAGCCTGGGAGGACCTCCCTGACCAGAGTCTTCCTATTCCCCATAGCCTGATTGGGCTGCCTCCAGAGGAGGATTGGCCCCGAGATGTGTCTCTACCCCGAGGAGCCTTCCCCCCCAGAGGGCCCTGCCCCGTGCAGTCGGTGATACCGGAGATGGATAAGTCTGGAGCACAGCTTTTGCTGGTACTGGGTTTGAGCAAGGGAATGGGGTGAGATTGGGGTGAAAAATGTAGTCATAGAAAAGGGACCCAAACCATTGCGGTTCCTGAGACTCGGTTGTTGGATGGCTAGTCTTTTGCTACTGTGACTGGCCATCCACAAAAAGGAATGTAGAAAAGAGCCCATCCTAGTATTGTTGAGGGTGAGCAAAAGTCATTTTTTGTTTTTGCTTTTTCCCTTCACGACTTTCGGACCTTTGTCTCCCCTCTCAGGAGATGCTGACTTTTAACCCACACAAGCGGATCTCTGCCTTCCGAGCCCTGCAGCACCCTTATCTACAAAAGGAAGACGGTAACCCAGAGTGAGCGATGGAGTAGCTGCAACAGAACCAAGAGAAGCTGTCGTTTACCTTCCTTTGAACACTAGAGTGCAGAGCCTCCCACCGAGAAGGCGCTCTGTGTCTTTTTATCTGAGGCTGTGGAGACACTTCCTCCAACTTTTTACAGAGGATATCTTGCTGGCTGCCTTAATGACATTCCCCTCTCGTTCCTCCTCTGGGGATTATCCTTCTCCTGCCCTCCTGCTTCCTTATACCAAGGAGTGTGTCCCTTTTCTCCCCTTCCTTACCTTGATATTGGGACCCTTTTTTATATGGGGGGGGGGGGGGGGCACAAAACAAGGAAATAAGGTCTTTTTTTTCTTTTTAATGTTTCTTCCTTTGATTGGCTTTGCCATTTGGGGATTTGGAAAAACCACTTGGCAGGTAGATTCTCCTTAACCTACATAGTCAGTGGAGCCCCTCAACTGGTAAGAGAAGACAAGGCAGGCATTTGCTGCTTTGAATTGGAGTTTAAATGGCTTTTATTTTTATATTCATTGACCTTCCTCCATATTCATTGACCTTCCTCCAAAACGGTCCTGTTATTACAAGAAAAAATTCTTGCTGGTTCTCTCTCTGGCTCTGTCTTTGGTTTCCCCTTGGAGCCAGGCCAGGATGTATTGTGGTGGTCTGGCATGTGGAAGGGAGAAGAGGGGAAACAGCCAGGAATGATTCCAATCCCATACCATCTCATGCACTCCCAGGAGCTTCCCATATCCACTCAGGGAAAGAAGAGGCTTCTCTGTATTCCTCATAGTCTTGTCAAGGCAGAGCGCCTGGCTATTCAGTCACCTTTAGGGGAGGGCAAAGGGCCTTTCCTCTTTCTCAAACAAAAAAGGTCACTGACCCTGGGTTTTCCCTAAGGGAGGAAGAGAAAGCTTAGGGAGAACAGAAGAGAAGTCAAAAGGATCCAAAGTCTCAGAGAAAGGCACTGGGGTTGGCACGAGGATCCTTCTGATTCCGAAATCTCATTGCCAGCCAGACACCAAGGATCTGTAGAAGCAAAGGGAGAAAGATAAGTACCAATTCTGAATCTCGGGCTGACTTACAGATGTAGAGAAAGGGTGCACATGAGAGAACTGGAGAACGTTACCTCCGTAAAGCTAAAGAAGAGTCCAACACCCCCCAGGATTTTTAGGGCTTCATCTGAATGTTTAAGAAACTTTTCACCACACATCTGGCACGTGGGTCTCCGGCTCTTGCAGACCTAGGATAAAAAGTGTGTGGAGGATGCAGAGTTGCTAAGAGATGCCCTGTCCCAACACCTATGATAAGTGACACTAGAAATGTACCAGTTTTGATCAGTATCTGACAGACTGAAATCCCATTTAACTAGTTCTCTATAGCTTTTGGATCCAAACCTACTTCCAACACAGCAGCTCACAGCCCCAATACAAAAGAGCTACTAGAGGCAATTCTATTCAAACTAAAACCTACCCATTGAGGCACTGTCCTTCCCCAGTTTTCCTACCCACCCTTCCCCGCCAACTCACTGCAGTGCAAAAAGCATAATCTTGTTGATACATGGTGGTGAGGTTGAATAAGCCACAACAATCAAAACTTCTTTCCAGTTCATCCCGAGTCTTGTTGCTCATGACCCACCAAGAAGCATTGATGACATCTGTCTGGAGGTGGAGGATATATAGGCAGAGGGAAATTATTTAATGCTGCTTACCTTAAGATTCTCCCTACATTTTGATCTCAGTTCAAGTACCTCAATTTACCTACTCCAGCAAAGGGAGTCGACATCAGGCTGTGTGTGTGTGTAGGAGTGTATCAGTTATACAGGCCCAATGATATATATCCACCTAAGATTTTCTTACATCCTCATGGGAAATTAGCCAGACATCCTAGGGAAGCAAATGGCTCGAGTCTGGAAGTGTAGATCTAAGAATGATCTTTGGGGCAAGACTGTTAGGAGTTAGAGGTTAGGGAAGAATGCAAGTGCTTGAAAGTTTGCTTACCTGTTTGCTTCGGTTAATGGCCAGGCATGACCAAGAGATTCCAAATTGGAAAACGAAGACCAAACCAAGGATGATCATGTACTGAGAGGAAGAGTTATGGAAAAAAAAAAAAGTCCTAGATTCCTTTATGTTCCACGACTAACAATATGATTTCATCTATTCATAGAACTTATACAACCATGTCGGTTGAAAGCAAAATCATCAGCCCCAGTTTCATAGAGCAGAGCAAAGAGACATGCCCCCCCCAGATCCCTGAGGTCTGATTTTTTCCTAGCCCACTCAGCCCTCCCAAGAGTTCTAAGTGCCCCGTCACTTTGGGTCAGGATACAAAGAACAGCAGAACTTGGTGGTGGTTAATAGCACCGATCAGTCCAGCCACTGCGATGAGCAGGAGGAAGACTCCCACAGCAATGACTCCTCCGATGATATGGATGCTGGACACCAGACCCAGGCCCTTACCCCAAGCAGCCACTCCGATGAGCAATAAGCCTACCAGCTACGAGAAACAGAAAGCAGGTTACAGATCAGAACTCTAGCGTGCAGCACAGCCAAAGGCCTGACAGGGCACCCGGGACTACAAGGAGAGGGGGTGCTATGGGAATCCGTAACATCTCTGGGCACTCCTACCCTAGGTCAGAATGCTGGGATGGAGTGGGGGTGGGGGCTTGCAGGATAGTAATCTATGAATATAAAAACCGAACCTTTCGCTTCATCCATCACTTCTATTTTGGGAGAAACTGAATTCACAAAAAGGAGGGAGAGGTCTTTGTACCCACAACCCCTAGTTCATTCCCCCACCCCCAAACCAACCCTCCGATCACCGGAAGTCTCCCCTCTACCCGCGGAAGTCCCCAGGAATTCCCTCTTCGCCGGAAGTTCCTGGGAACCTTCCTGGAACACCCAGTACACCCCTCTACCCACCGGAAGTCCCCTGAATAACCTCCCCACTCGACTCTCCACCTAGGAGCTTTCCCCACCTCCAAAACCTCACCATGTAAACCACGTTGAGCGCGCACAGTGCATTCTTGGAGCAGGCAAAGCCACCGCAAACCATCTCCCCAGCTTTGGGGACCCAAGCGGTCCCAAGGACTTAGGGAGAGGGTCTTGGGGACAGTCTTCCCGGACCCCGACAGCTTCTGTCTCTTTAAATCTAGTCCACCCAAACCCAATTCTCTGCGCCTGCACCGTCCCACCCCTGCCTCTGGATTGGAGAGACTCAGGGCTAAAGCAGCACGTCGACGGCCTGAATGCCAATCAATCTGCATTGCGTTACGGACCCGCCTCCCGCCCCTCCTTTAGGTTCTTTATAGGATGAAACTTAAGAGTGGAGGCAGGGCCTGTGAAGATTCGCCCAGAGATCGGTGCCTAAACTTGGAATCCCCGGATTGAAAGTGAAGCTTTCCCTCGCCGCAGCTGGAAGAGGCTGATCCCTGGGAGGAGTTTTCGGAGAAACTCCGGCGGCGAAGAGAGAGAAGACAGGACTGCCCGGGCTAGGCGCAAGGGCTCCTCCCTTGTCCTGCAGTGATCTCACGATGATGCCATTGTTTGTTGTTATTGCATCACACCCGGGAACACCCAGAGGAGCAAAATATTGAGTTATTTAGCCCAACCACAGAGGTCCCGGTTTGGGCACAGCCACACCCAGCAAATCCTTACTGATTTGCAAGCATGTCCACTGGTACACATGTCCCGTTCCATATCCCCGTCCCCCTAACGGGTGTGAATATACTCGATATTAAAAATTCAAAACAGCAGCCTTAGTCAGTGCACTACTGTATGTGACAAAGTCACAGACATGGGTGTACCTGACGCCTTCAGAACACATGCCTGGTCTAGAGCTTGCAAAAAAACGACGAAGGGAGGGGTCTGGAATATGAATAAATCTGAGAATAAGGAAGAGTCGCACATTTTCACAGTGGATGGTTGGTCAACATGTTTATTATTGAACAAATGCTTGGACACGCTGCCATTTTTATGGGAATGGGAAAAGAGGAAGAAGCAGTCTTAGTAGGAATACAAATGAAAAACCTCCCTTCAACCCCAATGATTTAAGGATGTGTGTGTTTGGATTCAATGACTGCAGAAGCAGTATATAGTCTTACTGCTGGTCAGACTGCATGGTTCCAATTTTCCAGTCACTAACTGTGTAATCTTTGGCCAATTAGTTAAGCTTTCTGTGCCTGTTTCCTCATCTGTAAAACGTAGATAAATAACAATACACCTACCTCTTGAGTTGTTGTGAGGACTGAATGAGTTAATATATGTAAAATGCTAGGAACAGTACCTGACACATAGCAAATACTAAGGGTTAGTTACTGTTCAGATAACTTTACAGGTTCCAGTGGGTAATCTCAACCTCAGTTTCCTTATCTCCAGCTGCAGAAATATTCTTATAGTTACAATCCCCTATCTTTTGTAAATTGATATCATGAAGATATGCAGAAGAACAGGCATTTAGCAGGGGCAGAAAAGTTGGAGTCTTGAAACAAAGTAATTAGATCAAACCATCCACCATTTCTCCCCTCATCCACCTTGCACTTTGTTCTGTTCTTGAATTCTTCATCTATGCTCTTCTTTTTTCTGGTCCTAAACCAAGAGCAAGACAATGGCATTAGGGTTAAGGGGGATGGTGTGCTAAAGGAGTATCCGAATTAGAAGACCTAGAGCCACCTCTTTGTTTCACTTTCTACTGGCCTCTCTGAGCTTACATTTTTTTTTCTTTTTTAAAAATACATATTTTATTGATTTTTTGCAGAGAGGAAGAGAAAGGGATAGAGAGTTAGAAACATCAATGAGAGAGAAACATCAATCAGCTGCCTCCTGCACACCCCCTACTGGGGATGTGCCCGCAACCAAGATACATGCCGGAATCAAACCTGGGACCCTTATGGGGTAGCCCAACGCTCTATCCACTGAGCAAACCAGCCAGGGCTGAGTTTCCGTTTTCTTTGCTGAATACTAATCCTACCCCTTGGGCCTGTTATGAACATGATATATATGAAGGTACGGTTGTTAACTATTGTGTTATAGACAAGTTAATTATTAGGGAAGTGACTGAACATGGAGCATGGTGGTTTTGCCTGGTCATAGGTTACGGTCCTTCTCCTTAACCTGTTTTCCCCATAACTGCTTAACGTTTTTAACCAAGAGGTGGTTGCAGTGGGTAGCTGACTGAGGAAGGGTTACATTGCAAGAGGTAAGGATGTAAGCTCTTTATTTATTTTTAAATATTTTTTATTGATTTTTCTCAGAGAGGAAGGGAGAGGGATAGACAGAAACATCGGTGAGGGAGAGCCATCGATCAGCCGCCTCCTACACACACCCTACTGGGGATGTGCCCACAACCAACGTACATGCCCTTGACGGGAATCGAGCCCGGGACCCTTCAGTCCACAGGCAGACGCTCTATCCACTGAGCCAAACCAGCTTTGGCAGGATGTAAGCTCTTTAGATGTGTAGAGTGGGTGGTGATTACAACTATAAACTGGAATACAGGGCTCTAAGAGTGACAGTCTAAGTGTGTATGGATTCCTGCAAGCTTGAGACTGACACAAATCTGTAGGTCACCAAGAGTTTAGGACTGCACCTGGGACCTGGCTTGCCACATTCTCCCAGCACCAACACCCATTTAATTAGCCACCTCCCACAGGAGGCCCTAGGGTGCTTGGGTGCTTATTAAAAGTTTCTCCATTTACCTGACAGGCGCATCTTAGCAGAGGCTGGCTGGCAGAGCTGATGAGCCAACACTAGAGGGAGTGGGAGGTGCAGGAGGTAGTGCTGTCCCAGGCTGTGGGTTTGAAAGTCACCAGTCAGGAAGTGAGGCCGACAGACGGAAGGGCGGGCAGGGGCGGGGAGTTGTGGGGCACAGCAGAAGGGGCCTTCTGGTGTTTGGGGGCCGTGGGGCCATGGGCTTCAGGGCCAGAGGCTGCTGTTAGCCTGGCAAGGCAGGTTTGGGTAACATGCATGCCCAAAGGCAGCTGGCTATCGCTGCAGTGAGAGCAGAAGTCAAACGACATGAGGTAGCCAAGCAGGCTCTCAGCCGCCTCAGGAAACTGGCGGAGAGGGTGGGCGACTCAGAACTTCGTGACAGCATCCAGGCCTCACTGAACAGCATACGAGGTAAGAGAAGGGTGAGCTCCCACCTTGAGGGTATCGGGGACCAGAAGGGGCATAGAAGAGTTTAATGGGTCCTACATCATTTCCCAGTAAGCCATTTCCTAGCAGTCCCCAAGATGGAGCTGGGATTTAGGGGACGAATAGACTTGGAAAAGACAGAAAAAGACATGGGAGGTGTCTTTCTTCCTCTTTCCTCAACTCGGAGCCTTCTCCTAGGGGATCAAAACACAGGTCACTGCTGGGCTGACCTTCTTGGAAATGGAGAAGTGGTGAGCCTGGGGTAGGCTCGGACCTTGCCTGGGGAATCAGTGGCAGGAAGCAGTCTGGGGCAGGAGGTTCTGGGACTGGCTAATGTGTTCATTCCCAGGACCCACGAGGGATCAGAGGGATCAGTGACCTCTTGTTCTCCAGCTGTACAGACAAACACACACACCAGTGCGTACACACATTATCATGACCGCACAGAGAATCTCAGGCTCCCAGGCACACATTAACATTCACGCAGCATGCTCTGCACAGCCGAGGTGCAGAGAAATGCCCCAGGACTCCTCTGGGTCCCCTCTCTTCCCCATGCTCCTGTTCCTCTCTTCCCCCACACACCTTCCGCTCTACCTTCTGAGTGTCCTTAGCACAAGTGATGACAATGCAGGAAGGAAGTGCTGCCATGGCAACACCATCCGCCACATCCTCCTGCCCACCCGGCTTCAACGCTGTGGTGGGGCCCTGGCAGGAAGGGCTCATCCATCCATGATGGCACCGGAGGTTTCTCTGGACCCTTCTTGTCTCATTGCCTCCGAGGTGGCAGAGAGCTAACAAAAGCGGGCTGCTCTGCTCAGGAAAGGTGTCTGGGAGAAGCACATCCTCCATATCGTGGTGTCTTCCAGCCTCTCCATTTTTAGCCGATACTTGCGGGTGGCAGATGGGGGCAGTAAAGAAGTGCCAGGAGTGCCAGATCTCTCTGCCGGTAAAGGCCGCCAGAGCACAACTTTGGGAAGGAACAGTTTGGTTCGGGTTCCGGAGGGAACAGTCTGATAATACCCTCCCTGTTGCCCTTCTGACGCTGGTGCCTCCTGTCCCCCACCCTTTGCCAAGAACTACAGCTGACACCTTCCCTGCAGCGCTAATTGTTGGAAAGGCAGACCTAGGAGAAGTGGCCCCACGGGGCCTCCTAGGGAGGAACTCCAAGCCCCATTCCTGTGGATAAAAAGGGGGGAGAGGACATGTCTAGGGCAGGTAGAGGCCTCTGCTTAGCTCTGGAGGACAGAGTGAGGAGGGGGAGAGGATGGAATCTCTGAGAAGACTCCACTTTTCGCAAGTGATTTGTTCCACTCTCCCCAAGAGCCAGGTTTCTGTGCCCTTTAAGGGGACACCTCAAGGAAAACTGAGGCCACTGATGGAAAGAAGAAAAAAAAAAAAAATAAGCCGGAATCAACAAATCTCCTTCACTGTCTTTCAGAAAAAAACCACTGAAGGGTCTCCTGTCCTGGGAATGGTGTTTTCATGACGCTGCCAGGGCAGGGTCCGGGGAGGCTGCGGATCTCCAGGCAGGCCGGCTGAGGGGTTGGGTACAGGTCTAGGGGGAAACAAAGGGTATCCAGCATCCCCCTTCCGCCCTCCACCCTCCACCCCTACCAGGCCGCGCGCCCCACGGCTCCTGCTCCAAGAGCCGCCCACGACAGCACTATTATAGTCTCGCCTGCGTCAGGAGGATGGGACGCCAAATTAGGGGGAACGCTGATACTCCCCGAGTCCAAGGGTGGGTTCACCGAGGCTGGCGGGAGGCCTCCCCTAACTCCCACCCCAGCCTTCGGGGGTCTCCATCTCGGCTCCCCAGAGGCCTAACCCCTTGATCCTCCTCCCGGGCTTGAGGACAGTGAGCCTTGCACTGCAGGGTCCCTAGAGAGTGGGAGCTACAGGAACTGAGGGGGGCTCCTTATATTCGGGGGCGCTACATAACCCACATGTGGGTAACTAGTTGTGATGGTGGTGCCTCCATGAACCCCAAATCACATGGCAGTCTCCCCCCACCCCCCACCATGTACGCGGATCCCTCCTCTCGGCTTATCCCCGCTGTTTCTGAGGCACTCTTGGAGCTGGGGTTGCTATGGAGACGGGATGCATTTTAGTATGGTGGGGGGGTGTCAGTCTGTAGACATATTCCTTCTCCTTCCACCTCCAGCGGCAGCCTCTGGTTCCCATTTCTGCCCGGGCTGTTCGGAGCCCCCAGGCCTCCCCCTGCGGGAGGCACCCTCCCCTCCTCCCCGTTCTGCTAAGTTCCATGTTTGTCCCCGTCCCCAGGGGACACTTTTCAAGTTCACTTTGGGACAGTTGTGCTCAAAACGTGGCCCCGTCGATGCATTGCCAGAGTTGGGAGTGCAGGTGGGCGAGAGGGCTGGGTTATGGGGAAGGAACGCGTGCAAGGGCCTGGGGGGAGACAGGGGATCCTGGGAACAGCATTTCGGGGTCCTCCACCTTTCTGCATCAGCTTCCCCAGAATTTTGCTCCGTTTCCGGGGCGGACTGTTCCCTCTTGGGCTGATTTTTACCCCTAGTCCCTACACGCCGCACCCCACAGCCGCGCTCCCTTGCTGTGCTGAGCTGGGGAGGGGGCTGGCGTGCTGGAGTGGGTGAGTCCAGGTCCCGGGGAATCCAGCCCAGGGTTTGGGAGGAAGATCCAGTCCTGGGTTTCACGCCGCCTTCGCAGACAGCCGCGCCGGTGGAGGGGAGGTGGGGGAGCGATGGGGGGGCGGGGGCTGCCTCCTCCTCAATGTGAGGGGAGCGCCCGGACACAGCGCGCATCCGGACCCAGCCGAGCCCCGGCGAGCCCCCCGGACCCTGCGCCCGGACCTCACGCCCCTCCCCTCCCAGACCCCGCACCCGCGGGTGCCCACCCCTCCGGCTTCCCCCCTTCCTCCCCCGCCGGCGACCGTACCTCCATCCCCAGCATCCTCCCTGCGCCCCTGCGAATCCCCCGCACGACCAGCCCCATTTAGCTCCCCACCCTCTCAGGGACCCCCTTCCGACCCTCCCCCGCAGCCCCTGCCCCCCGAGTCCCCCTTCCCCGCCTCTGCCTCCCCCGCACCCATTCCTCTCCTCCCCAAGCCTCAGGTCCCCCTGTCCCTCCCTCTCCCCTCTTTGCCCCCGCTCCTGTCTTCCCCGCCCTCCCCGCCCATTCAGCGCCCCCACCCAGGCCGGGGTGCACGGCCCGGCGCGCCTCCCTGGAGCAGCACCCAGGTCCCGGGGCTCCGACGGGGTGGGGGCGCAGGGCGGGGAGCATGGGGAGGGGGCGCCCCGTGTGATGGGCGGGGGGCGCAGGCGGAGGCGGCGGAGGCGGCGGCGACAGCGGAGCCGGGCCGGGGGCTCAGCGGGGTCCGGGGGCTGCGGGCGGCAAGCAGGGCGGCCCCATGGCCGGGCCCCCCTGAGGCGGTCCAGGGGAGCCCCCTCCCCTCCCCAGCTCGGGGGTCTCGGGGCCCCATGAGCCGGGGCGCGGGCGCGCTGCAGCGCCGGACAACGACCTACCTCATCTCGCTGACCCTGGTCAAGCTCGAGTCGGTGCCGCCGCCGCCGCCTTCCCCGTCCGCGGCCGCAGCAGCCGGCGCCCCCGGGACCAGGGGCGCGGAGCCCGGGGAGCCGGGCAGCCCCCGCGGCTCGGAGGAGCCGGGCAAGAAGCGGCACGAGCGCCTCTTCCACCGGCAGGATGCGCTGTGGATCAGCACGAGCAGCGCGGGCGCGGGGGCCGCCGAGGGCGCCGAGACCCCCGCGCTGTCCCCGGCCCCGGCCAGTCCCGCCCGCCCCGTCTCCCCGGCTCCCGGCCGCCGCCTCTCCCTCTGGGCCGCCCCCCCGGGGCCCCTGCTTTCCGGGGGGCTGAGCCCGGACCCCAAGCCCGGGGCAGCTCCCGCCTCCTCCCGGCGCCCCCTGCTCAGCAGCCCGAGCTGGGGGGGCCCAGAGCCCGAAGGCCGGACGGGCGGCGGCGTCCCCGGCTCGTCCTCCCCGCACCCGGGCACGGGCAGCCGGCGGCTGAAGGTGGCGCCGCCTCCGCCGGCTCCCAAGCCTTGCAAGACCGTGACCACGAGTGGCGCCAAAGCCGGCGGCGGGGGCAAGGGCGCAGGGAGCCGCCTGTCATGGCCCGAGAGCGAGGGCAAGCCCAGGGTCAAGGGGTCAAAGAGCAGCGCCGGGCCGGGAGCTGCAGCCGCTGCTGCTGCGGCCGCAGGGGCGGGAGGAGCGGCAGCCGCGGCCTCTGGAGGGGTCGGAGCTGGGTCCGGAGCCCGAGGGAAGCTGTCCCCCCGGAAAGGCAAGAGCAAGACCTTGGACAACAGCGACTTGCACCCAGGACCACCTGCCGGCTCTCCTCCGCCGCTGTCCATCCCGGCGCCCTCGGCTCCAGCCCCTGCTCTCACCGTCGCCGCGATGCCAGCGGGGCCTGCACCTCCAAACACGCTGGAGCCCCCAGCTCCGGGGCTGAAACGCGGCCGGGAAGGGGGCCGAGCATCCACTCGGGATCGCAAGATGCTCAAGTTTATCAGCGGCATCTTCACCAAGAGCACAGGGGGGCCTCCCGGTACCGGGCCCCCCGCAGGACCCCCGGGCCTGCCCTCTGGCAGCGGGTCCCGGGAGCTGCTGGGCACCGAGCTCCGCACCTCCCCTAGTGAGTAGGACGAGTCTGGAGCCCGGAGGGGGGGCGCCTGCAGGAGGCTCAGCCTGGGCTAGGGGAGCCGGTGCAGGACTGGCCTGGGGAAGGGGGGGGGGGAGGGAGGAGGAACCAGGCTGACCTCTCTGCCAAGGACTGGGGTGAGGATTAACGCGAGGTCCTCACAGGGCAGAGGAGCCCCATAGTGGGGCGTGAGAAATGACTTGATTTCAGGGGGAGTTAGAAAGCCTCAGAGCTTTCTGGGGAAATGGTACCCCTGGTCAGAATGACTGTTGGGAATTGCTCAAGCTCTAGGCCCTACTTCCAGCCCCCTGGAAACAGGACTGTGCCTTGGCCCAGAGGGATATGGAAGGGGAAGGGGATTAGGAAGCCTCGGTTTCCCCTGAGCACTGGGGGCAGGTGGCATGAGAGTGACCTTGCAGGCAGCTGCTGGCCCTGGGCTGGGAGCAGGCTGGCGGGGCAGCAGGAAGGGACTGTTTCTTTCCCTGCAGGTGGATTGGGAAGGCAGGGGAGCTGGGGACTGGATCGTGGGGAACAGGAACACTTGCAGTGAAGTGAGAGGGGGCGGAAGGAAGCTCACTTGCCCCAGGCCCCAGCCTCATTGAAACCCCCAGGGGCGTGACCAGGAGTGACTCAGGGGGGACCTGCTGCGAAGGCAATTCTTCCCCCCTGGAGACTTGGGAGGGGGTGTCTTTAGTTCTTATCTTTTTCCTCCTGGAAGAGAGGCGAGGGACTCGTGGTTTAGCTCACCCTCCTGGAGGGGAGCAGGTCGGGGAGCGGGGGCGGCTCCCGGGGTTTGGCTCCGGAGCGGGTGGGAGCAGATGGCTCCGGATCCCAGAGTTCCCGCCGCAGCTGCGGCGCCCCGGGAACGTCCGGCCGGTGTCAGGCGCGGGGGCTGGACCCGGCGGGCGGAAGGAGCATCCTGCCTCCTCCCACTCCTCCGGGCCTGTGGCTGCTCTCCGCCAGGGAGTGGAGCCCTTGCCCACGTTTCTTTGGGAGCACGCTTGTGGGAACGGTTATGGGGGAAGGGGGCATCGAAAACCCAGGCACCGTTCCTTGGGCTGTGAGGAGGGGTCAGGGCCTTTAGCCATTGACCTTGAAAAAGGGAAGGCATATCCCTCACCTCAGTTTCTCTCCTGTGAAATGGAGATTGAGGAAGATCTGCTCCCTTCTATGCCCCAGCCCCGCCTCCTAGGGTCGGCAAGGGAGTCAGACAGGCCTTTGGGCAGGAGACCGTCTTAAATTCTTCCAGAGGAAAGGACCCACCGCTGTCAGGGCCCGGTCTCAAGGTCTGGGGCAGGGACTTACAGTTTGGGGATGTGTTTTAAGGGAGATGCCAAGTGAAGTATTTTCGTCTTGCTGACTCCGTTGCTAAGCAACCACTGAGCGGCAGCAACAGCTGTGCGGAGAGCTGGCTAGGATGGGAGGACTGGGGACCACTCTCACACCCAGCCTTTCCACGCAGCTTCCCAGCCCAGGCAGGGTTCAGAGGGTTAAGAAAAGCTGCAGGAGGAGGAGTGGCTGCGGGTTGGAAGCCCTCCTGAGCCTGGAGCATCCCCTCTTATGGCTCCTTTCCCATTGCAGAGGCCGTGGTCAACAGCCAGGAATGGACTCTGAGCCGCTCCATTCCTGAACTGCGCCTGGTAGGTACCTGGTCCCCTTGTCTGCAGGAAGGCTGACCTCCTGTTCCCTGCACTCTCAACTCTCTCTCCTTCATCTCCTCCTCCCTCTCTCTCTGTGAGAAAAGGGAATCGTTTTTTTTTTTTTTTTTTTTTTTTTTTAGTTCTCCTGAGAGTCTACTTTCATGGCACCTTCTTGAGCCTACATTCTCACAACTTTTTCTCTAGTCTCTTTCCCCCTATTTATCCATGGTTATTTTTCAGGCTTCTCCTCACTTCTGGCATCTCTCCTATGGTCCTTCATGTTCTATTGCCTAGAATTGGGTAAAATTTTTCAACCAACCAGTGCCTAGACTATGACATGCTCTCTCTCCCCTCCCTATACACACAACTATTATGTTTTCTAAATAGCAGAACATACACACACACACACACACACACACACACACACACACACCACGGTACTGAGCTGCTGAGATTACTCAGCTTTTGGGGATTATTTCTTGCCATTCTCCTGGCCTGATCTTCCCAGATGCACTCCTGACTGTCATCCAGGCCCTGAGGGACCCTCCCTGGATGATCTAACACTGCCAGTCTCTTCAAGTTCTCCAGACCCAAGCATACTGCCACCTCCAAACTTCCATAATCTCTGCTCTACAACCTTGTCTGCAGGGTGTACTGGGCGATGCCAGGAGTGGGAAGTCATCGCTCATCCATCGGTTCCTGACTGGTTCCTACCAGGTGCTGGAGAAGACAGAGAGTGAGTTCTTAGGAGCCATAGTAAACTAAGGATTGGGGCCAGGGATCCAGGATTAACGACTAGGCAGTGTGGGAATGGAGACCAGAGGGAAGGATGAGGACATGACAGCTAAAATAGAGGGATGATGGGGTGGCCTGGTGACCTGTGACCCCTGACCTATCACTTCCAACCTTTCTGCACAGGTGAGCAGCACAAGAAAGAGATGTTGGTGGATGGACAGACTCATCTGGTGTTGATCCGAGAGGAAGCTGGGGCACCTGATGCCAAGGTGAGGGTGAGGTATGGGGTGGGCACTGGCCAGGGGAGTGGGCTCTGGTTTCCCAGGTCTAACTGGGAACAGCGTCGAAAGAAGTGGGCTTGTTTGACCCTCTCTTTGTCCCCTCATCCCCCGAAAGTTCTCAGGCTGGGCAGATGCTGTGATCCTGGTCTTCAGCCTGGAGGATGAGAACAGTTTCCAGGCCGTGAGCCGTCTCCACGGGCAGCTGAGCTCCCTTCGGGGGGAGGGGCGAGGAGGTCTGGCACTGGCGTTGGTGGGGACACAAGGTAAAGAGGGGCTGGGAAGGCACCACTGATGGCTACGGGGCATTGCCCTGCATACAAGAGACCTTGGGGAGGTACAGAAATAGCCACATGGATTCTAGTTACCTCTGGGAGGAGCCTGATCTCCAGATAAGGGAGCCATTAAACCAGCACGAACTGCCCAGGACCTGAGCAGAGAGAAGGAGGCCCTCCCGGGAGGGAAGGGACAGCTATCGTAGCATCTCCATCCTCCGAGATGTCGCCTGTCTTGTGTTCTGATGCTCTCACTTCCCGATGCCATCACCATGGGAAACAGAGCTCAGTCCCTAGTGCTGATGGGAAGCCTTTTCCACTCTCCCTTGCTGCAGCTGGGTCAGGCTGACACCTTTCAAAGGAACATATTTAAAACAAAGAGAAGCCACAAATGAAATGATGTAGATAATACAGAGGGCAGAAAACCTTTTAAAGAGGTGATTCAGATGCTCAGCTTCTTCCACGGCCACCTGTGTGAGGCCGGCAGGGCGGTCTGGGTGCCCGTCCAGCAGGTGCCTGCTTCCACCTGTCGCTTGCCTCCAGGTTTCCCGGGGCAGAGCGAGCAGGCCACCTGCTACGCACGGCTATTCAGCCTTTTCCTAGTTCACATGCCAAGCATCCTCTCTTTCAGTTCAGGGTGCATTGGATTTGCAGTTCAGGGTGCATTGGATTTGCAGTTCAGGGTGCATTGGATTTGCAGGACAGGGTGATTGTCACTTGTGAGCCTCAACCATTTTATATATATATTTATTGATTTTTCACAGAGAGGAAGAGAGAGGGATAGAGTTAGAAACATAGATGAGAAAGAATCATCGATCAGCTGCCTCTTTTAAAAAAATATATTTTTTATTGATTTTGTACAGAGAGGAAGGGAGAGACATAGTTAGAAACACTGATGAGAGAGAGTCATCGATCAACTGCCTCTTGCACACCCCCTACTGGGGATGTGCCCGCAACCAAGGTACATGCCCTTGCCCGGAATCGAACCCGGGACCTTTCAGTCCGCAGGCCGACGCTCTATCCACTGAGCCAAACCTGTCCCGGCGAGCCGCAACCATTTTAGATCTTGTCAGGAAGCTCCACCCGACTCTGAAGTGTTTTCTGAAGACAGATACAGAGTGCCCTCAGCCTGCTCATAATGCAGCTGGGCATCTGAGCCCGGGCCAGAACTTAAAGAAGGCCATGCACTCTGTTCCACCGGCCACAGGAGGGAGACTCTTTCACACCCTGTCCCTGGTGGGTCCAGCCTGGGCCTGGAGCCCCAGGGAAAGGGAAGCAGGACACATGGGGAAGGGCCTTGATCCCGCTTCTCTCCGGTGCCCTCAGACAGGATCAGTGCTTCTTCCCCCCGGGTCGTGGGCGATGCTCGTGCCAGAGCGCTGTGCGCAGACATGAAACGCTGCAGCTACTACGAGACGTGTGCGACCTATGGGCTCAATGTGGACCGCGTCTTCCAGGAGGGTGAGTGGGGTCATCCCAGCAAACGTGGGAAACGGGCCTGAGGCCGGGATCCTCTTAGAGGGTGCGCATCCAGGCCTCTCTCTGTGTAGGTCATTATAGGCAGGTCATTAGCCTGTGGGAGGCAGGGGGCATCAGGGAGGTCAGAGAAGTCTTGCTTAACAGCCACAGGTCTTTCTGGACTGGAGGAGCTGGAAGGTTCCATGTGGCACGGCCACGCTGATAAGGAATGTGGGGCCTATGTTATCTCATGGGGGTGTCTCAAAACTGGGCACCGAAGGGGGTTCTTGGGTATCTGCCCTGCTCACATCTCCTTCCCCTCCCCGTTCCAGTGGCCCAGAAGGTGGTGACCTTACGCAAACAGCAACAGCTCCTGGCTGCCTGCAAATCGCTGCCTAGCTCCCCAAGCCACTCAGCTGCTTCCACTCCCGTAGCTGGGCAGGTGAGTTGGGGGGTTCAGGGTCCACAGAAGGGCTGGTAAGGATCTGAGTGTCTGGTGATCCAAGGATAGGTTCAGAGTGCCCAAGGAGGCTGTGTGTGTGTGTGTGGGGGGGGGGGGGAGGGGATGGAGGTGGGGATGGTAGAGACACCATTTGTAAAAGTGCATTGGACTAGAAAACCACATGGTTTCAAACATCGTTTGCAATGTCCTTGAGCAAGTCACCTAAACCTCCCAAGGTTATTAGGAAAATTATTTGGCAAAAACTTGTGAAGTCAACTCTGTAAATCGAAAGCACTATGACTATGCTAGTGAGGAGTTTGCTTAATAATGCTAATACACATCAATGGTGATGAGATCAAGGGATTCCTTGGGTTCCTCATAACCAGCTGTAACTGAAGCTTGGTGGGATGGGAGCATCTCAGCTATTTTGACTTTTCCAGGCTAGTAACGGGGGCCACACTAGCGACTACTCTTCTTCCCTCCCGTCCTCACCCAACGTGGGTCACCGCGAGCTCCGAGCTGAGGCAGTGGCCGTGGCTGGACTGAGCACCCCAGGGTCCCTGCACCGGGCAGCCAAGCGCAGGACCAGCCTTTTTGCGGTATTGGATATGCTGACCCCTTCCTCTGTTCCCCCGTTACCTGCCCGTCTTCCCTGGTCCCTAGACTCCTCTTTTGGGCCCTTTATTCATCTGTCTTTCCTGTCCTTCCATCAGTGTATCCCCTCCACCCAGCCTCTAACTCTGCCAATAACCATTCCAGAATCGCCGGGGCAGCGACTCTGAAAAGCGGAGCTTGGACAGTCGGGGAGAGACAACGGGGAGTGGGCGAGCCATTCCCATTAAGCAGGTGGGTGGTCCAGGGGCGGAGGGCAGGCCGGAGGTAGCTGGTCCTACCTGGGCTCGCCTACATGTCTTTCTCTATCCCACAGAGCTTCCTACTAAAGCGGAGCGGCAATTCCTTGAACAAAGAGTGGAAGAAGAAATACGTGACCCTGTCCAGTAACGGCTTCCTACTCTACCACCCCAGCATTAACGTGAGTGGCAGAGGCTGGCCGGCCCCAGGGCTGGCCTTAGACGCCTTGCAGCTCCACGAGTCTGCGCCTCTGACAAACACTAATATTTCTGGGAAGCTCGTCTGGTTCTCTTAGGTTTAGCAAGCATGTTGAAGGTTAGGTACCTCCCAGGTGCCATCCCGGGGGAGAAGCGGTAACGTTCAGCCTAGGGAGAGCATGGAGAAAGGGCCTCCACCTGGCCTGCCGCTCAGGGAATGCTTTCTGGGGGAGACAAGGCTGAGCAAATGCTGGGCTCATCCCCTGGAAGCTCATCTCAGCCCACTGAGCTCTACGAGCCCTCCCCCCTTTATATACTACATTTTTATTGATTTCAGAGAGAAAGGGAGAGGCAGAGACAGAAACATCAATAATGAGAGTGAATCATTGGCTGTCTCCTGCACGCCCCCTACTGCGGATTGAGCCCAAAACCCAGGCATGTGCCCTGACTGGGAATTGAACCGTAGCATACTGGATCATAGGTCAATATTCAACCACTGAGCCATGCTGGCCAGGATTTTTTTCTTTTCTTTAAAAATTAAAAAAAAAATATATATTTTTTATTGATTTTTTTACAGAGAGAAAGGGAGAGAGGGATAGAGAGCTAGAAACATTGATGAGAGAGAAACATCAATCAGCTGCCTCCTGCACCCTGCCCTCCCCCCCCCACTGGGATGTGCCCGAAACCAAGGTACATGCCCTTGACCGGAATCAAACCTGGGACCTTTCAGTCTGCAGGTTGACGCTCTATCCACTGAGCCAAACCGGTTTCGGCTAAAAAATTATTTTAAAAAAATTTTTTTTACGAGCCCCCCTTCCCCCACTTGATTCCTTCTCTACTCCCCACTATTGGTTGCTTCCCAGCATCACCAAGGAACCCAGCCTTCCCTATCTTCTCAACCCCTGCTCCCCTCCAGGACTACATCCATAGTACCCACGGCAAGGAGATGGACTTGCTACGGACAACAGTCAAAGTCCCTGGCAAGCGGCCCCCACGAGCCATCTCTGCTTTCGGCCCCTCAGCCAGCATCAATGGGCTCGTCAAGGACATGAGCACCGTCCAGATGGGTGAAGGCCCTGGTGAGTGGGGCTCATGATGGAGGAGCCAGGGCTAGGGGAAAGGAGGGGCAGTAGGGAAGTAGGGACTGGATTCGTGAGAAGGCGGGTGATAATGATGTACCACGAAGGCATGGGCCCAGAGCCTGAGTGGCTCACTGAGGTTTTATATTCTTCTCCCTCCAACAGAAGCCACCACTCCCACGCCAAGCTCAAGCTCCAGCCCCAGTTCCCTGCAGCCACCATCAGACCAGACATCCAAGCACTTGCTGAAGCCAGACCGGAATTTGGCCCGAGCCCTCAGCACTGGTCAGTGAGAACCCATCTTCCATCCACTCTCTTCCAGGTCCGGATGGGATGTGGGTGGGAAGTGAAATTGGGGCAGACGCGTGGAGACTGGAATCCAGTGCATGAATGCATACATTAAGCATCTACTGGATACAGGCACCAAGCTCAGCATTATTGTGTTCATCATGATGTTTAAGACAAGTGGGTTCTACAAAAAAAAGGAAAAAATCAATAAAATATATTTAAAAAAAAGAAAAGAAAAAGAAAAAGACAAGTGGGTTCTAGTGCTAAATTGCCTGAACTTGAATCCTGGCTTGCCACTGGGTCAAGTTACTTGATCTCTCCATGACTCAGTTTCCTCTCTATAAAATGGAGATAACAGTTTCTACCTGAAAGGGTTGCTTTAAGGCTTAAAAAAACTGAGAACATTGTCCAGCACATGGTCAGCATTCAGTGCTCGGAATGTTCATTAAGATATATATATCTTAATTTATTTAAAATAGCAAGTAACATTGTAACAAGTAACCCTTACTACAACCTTGTCAGGTCAAGATTATTATCCCCATTTTAGGGATGAAGAAACTGAGACTCAGAAGATTAAGTGACTTACTCAAGGTCTCAAGGCCAGTAAGTGGCAGAGCCAGGATCTGAGTACAGGTCTGACTCTAAACCACTCATCTGCCCACTTCCTCAGTTATAATCAAGAGGGACCTCCTGGAGAGGGACTGTTGAAAGGAGGGGGAGGAGGCAGGCTATGATGAAGTCAGGAAATCTGTGGAGGGGCAACTGAGGCAGCTGTGTCTCCCTTCCTAAGACTGTACCCCATCTGGAGACCTGAGCCTGAGTCGGGAACCCCCTCCTTCTCCCATGGTGAAGAAGCAGAGGAGGAAAAAATTGACAACACCGTCCAAGACGGAAGGCTCTGCTGGACAGGCTGAAGGTGAGGCCTTGATGGGGGGTTGCACTCCCACTGCGGACCCTCACCCCTAACTCCAGATCCCTGGCCCAGTTCCTGCAAGAGGAGGAGAAGGGTCTGAGCTGAGTGCTTGACTATCATTACCACTTTGCACATAATTTAGTGAAAAAAATGAATGGACACCCCTCAGCCCTTGTCCTTCCTCTTGCTGCCCAGTCAGTGCCTTTTACCCCAGCAGTCCCCAGCACCCCATGATCAATGACCCCTCTCCTAATGACCCTCTACTTCCCCTTCCTGCCCTCAACTCTGTTTACCACCTCAGCTCCTGCCCCCAGAGCCCCATGGCCCCCAGGGACTCAGCCTCTGATCTCCATGACCCCCTTGGACTCCTCAGCTCCTGACCATCCAGCCCTTGCTCCCAGTAACCTCCTGTGATCGTCAAGCTCCCCTGACAGCTCTTGACCCCAGTGAAGCCCCCAAATATTCAAGACTTCTCAACCCCAGGCCCCCTCACCACCCTAGGCCTGTACCCTTTCCCCATGTTTACTCAGATCCTGACCATCCCTTCCCCTCCAGAGTCCCGGCTCCTCATTGACCATGATAACCGGTCCCCACCGCCCCTGCTCTCTGCTGGGTGCTCAGACCCAGGCTCCAGATCTGCCTGCTCTCATGGCTCTTGGCTTCCGCTCTACTCTGCTCCGGGGCCACTGACTTTAGTTCTGCTTTCTCTCCCACCTGTCTGTCCTGCTTTGTCTCTGGCACTCTGTCACTCTCTCTCCATCTCTCCATCTACCTCGTTCTCTCTTTCTTGGTCTTTTTCTCTGTTCTGCTCTCTCTTCTATCTCTATATCCTTCGCTTCGGGAAACCAGCCAAGCGCAAAATGTGGAAACTAAAATCCTTTGGTAGTTTAAGAAATATTTATAAAGCAGGTAACAAGCGGGGAGCTGGGAGGGGCGCTCAGCTGGGGTGCAGAGGGGTGGGGGTGCCCCTGCCTTCCCCTGCATGTGCTCGGGCTTCCTGCTCCCCCCCCCCAACTCTGCTTCCCCAGCCCTTCTGCCCACTCCCAGGGGCTTGGGATGGACATCGGGGGGAAGGTTTGGAGAAGGCAGCTCCTGCTTGAACTCTCTCCCTCATGACCCCGTCCCATCCCCCCACCCAGAGGAAAACTTCGAGTTCTTGATCGTGTCCAGCACTGGTCAGACGTGGCACTTTGAGGCCGCCAGTTTTGAGGAGCGGGATGCCTGGGTCCAGGCAATCGAGAGTCAGATCCTAGCCAGCCTGCAATGCTGTGAGAGCAGCAAGGTCAAGGTAATAGGGGTGAAAGGTTTGGGGGGGAAAGCAGAGGTGAGTGTCTGAGGAGTCTGGAGAAGGGTTCCGAGGGAGAATCAGTAATAATAATCCCAGCCGTTTCCCCAGCTGCGCACAGACAGCCAAAGCGAAGCCGTGGCTATCCAGGCGATCCGGAACGCCAAGGGGAACTCCATCTGCGTGGACTGCGGGGCTCCCAGTGAGCGCAAGGGGGCAGCGGAGGGGCCCGGGAGGGAGTGTGGTTCGCTGGCGTTGGCGGTTTCGGGGCGGGTGCCCGTGTTTGCTCTCGGGGAGCCAACGTCTCCCTCCGTCGCCAGACCCCACGTGGGCCAGTTTGAACCTGGGCGCGCTCATCTGCATCGAGTGCTCGGGCATCCACCGGAACCTGGGCACGCACCTGTCCCGCGTGCGCTCGCTGGATCTGGACGACTGGCCCCGGGAGCTGACCCTGGTGCTGACGGCGATTGGCAACGACATGGCGAACCGCGTGTGGGAGAGCAACACGCGGGGCCGAGCCAAACCCACGCGGGACTCCTCGCGGTATGTGCGAGGGAACAGATTGGGGGGAGCTCCCTTAGAGGGTCCCCAGGAGGGGGAGGGGGTCCCGAGAGTCCTTCCCATGGATCCCGGTCTTGCAGGGAGGAGCGTGAGTCCTGGATTCGCGCCAAGTACGAGCAGCTGCTGTTCCTGGCGCCGCTGGGCGCTCCGGAGGAGCCGCTGGGCCGCCAGCTGTGGGCCGCCGTGCAGGCCCAGGACGTGGCCGCCGTCCTCCTGCTTCTGGCCCACGCGCGACACGGGCCGCTGGACACCAGCGTCGAGGACCCGCAGCTTCGCTCCCCGCTGCACCTGGCGGCCGAGCTGGCCCACGTGGTCATCACGCAGCTGCTGGTGTGGGTACGTGCGTGGCGGGGGGTGGGGATGGGGAGGTGAAGGGGCCTTGGAGGGCTCCGCTCGCTCGGAAACAGCCCGGCAGGGGGCGCCTGGCCCCCTCCTGGGGACCCTGGAAGAGGGTCTGGAAGCCCTGGGGAGCGGCGTGCAGGCGGCCCCGGGGCTGCGCGGTGACCGGCCATTCCGCCCGCAGTACGGCGCCGACGTGGCCGCCCGGGACGCGCAGGGCCGCACCGCGCTGTTCTACGCCCGCCAGGCCGGGAGCCAGCTGTGCGCCGACATCCTCCTGCAGCACGGCTGCCCCGGCGAGGGCGGCAGCGCGGCCGCCGCGCCCGGCATCCTCGCCACGCCCAGCCCCCGCCGCCGCAGCAGCGCCGCCAGCTTGGGCCGCGTCGACGCCCCCGTCGCGCTGGTATAGTTGCCCGGCGGGAGAGACACCCCCACGGGCCGCCGGGCACGACCGCACCGGGTGGACCGCTGGACAGATGCATCCACTCACGACTCCAGTCCGTCCCCGACGCCCTGTGAGAGCACTTCTTCCCCCCACGAAGGCACAGCCCTCACGCCCCTTCCCCCCCAGAAGACACAAACTCACCTCCCTCTCCCCCACGAGGCATGGAGACCCCGCCCAACACGCCCCCCTCCTCTCCCTCCACTGTTTGCACCCTCGGATTGCTCTGGGTCTACCCGTTTGGTGTTTGAGGAAGGGGAGCCCGCGCTTCCCCTGCCCCTGGGCCAGCGATGCCCACTCGCGCCCCCTAAGGGCGGGGGGGGGGAACGATCCCGTCCTGCCTGTGCTTGACAATCCCAAGGCCTGGAGCACATCCCCAGGCTGGCTCCTGGGGCCACGCCGCCGCGCCGGAGGGAGGGCTTCATTCGGGGAGGGCTGGCCCCGGGACTTGGGGCCAATAAGGGACCCCACCCCTTCCATGCTAATCTCACTGCCCAGTGAAGGGGAAGGGCAGCGAGGGGCAGGACCCCTGCTGCCCACGAGGGGTAGGGGGGTCCCCAACCCTTTCCGTGAAAGGGACCATGAGGAGTGGAAATCCAGACGTCCCCCTAAAGCCACCCATGGATGGAAGCTAAAGGGCTGGGGGAGCCACGGCCTGGGTCCCTCCTCATTAACTATCTGAGGAGGGAAGAGGGATGGAGCAGGAGCAGGCTAAGGGGGCTGGGTAGCAGCCTTGTAATTTATTGCTTTGTTCCCCAACAAGGGGACAGGGGTGGGCAGGGGATTGGGGAGGGTATTTCAGGGTAGGGAATGCCAAGGGTGGGAAGAGGGTGGGGTAGGGTGGGGGTGCTCTTGGGTTGTGAGTGTCTGTGACCGTGACTGCGTACCTGTGACTGTGCAGCGCCCGTGGTGATCTGGGGTAGGGGGCACCCCTACAATGGGACCCCTGTCCCACTATTTTTCATATACAGCCCCTCCCTCCCACTGGAGCTTCTCCAGACCCATCCCTCCACCCCACGATCCCTCCCAGCCAGGGTAAGAAGGTGTGAGGCGGCTGGGAGGGTTTCCGGGCCCGCTGCCCTATCCCCAGAAAATGGGCGGTGGGGTGGACTTACCTGGCCCAGCCCCGCCTCCCTCAGTCAACCCAGGTCCTCTGTGTCAGTGGTTTCGGTCTTTTTTTTTTTTTTTTTTTTCTGGCTAAAATATTTTGCAAAGGACCAGGTCATTGGGAAGGGGAGGGGGCATTGCCCCCATCTCCTCAGACAGGTGGTGTGAATCTTCTTCAACAGCAATTAAAGAGGAAATGATTTTGTCTAGGGGGTGCGCTGCTGGTCTGTTCTTGAAGTGGGTCAGGGAACAGCCTTGGGCGGGGGGGGGAGGGGCTGGAGGGGGGAGAGGGCCACCCGTAGAGGGTGCCTCCTGCTGTGGCTGGTGGCAGGGTATTCTCAGTCTCTAAGGGCACCGAGGTGATAGGTCAGATACGCCGTCATGTACTACAGTTTTGAGTTCATGTAGAAGAAGGAGACAGGCAAGTCAGAGCACAGTGGGGATCCAGGGAGCAGAGAAGTGACTCTCAAGGTGACCCTGGTTCTGGTCAAGGAGTTAGGGCGTGGAGTTTAGAGGAGAGGAAGGGAGTGGGGGCTGCTTAGAGAAGAGAGGATGGGGCAGTTTTGGTTCAGAGCAGGAACTTTGGAGTCAGATCTAATTTTGAAACTGGGCCCTCCACGTCACGGCCAGGTTGCCTTGGTTAGGTTTACCCGAGTGGTATGTCTTGGGCACCTGGTAAGGGATCTAGGGCCAGTCCGTGGAAGACTGTCCCAGGCTAGCCTGCTCACCTTGAGCACCTGGTACTGGAAGTAGAACTTATTACACTTGGATTTTTCTCTTGGCCAAGAGGGAAGAGGGACAAGATCTCCTGACTGCAGAGTCCCTGATGTCCATGAAATCCATGCCCAGTCGATGCAGACATTTGCCCACTTCCACCTCATCCACAGGACCAGTGAGGCCATAGCATCCCATGGCCAGTGCTGCCTCCAATCGCTGCAGCACTTGCTTAGCATGTAGCCAGTTCAGCTGTTCATTCTTCATGTGCAGCCCAAGTGTTTGCCCTGGGAGAGGGCTGGGTGGGGTGGTATCGGGCTAGCAGCCAACACAGGCTTGGCACAGCCACCCACGTGTTGTCATCCACCTTGACGGACCCGTCAACGGCCCATTGTCTTCTGGTAGAGTTGGTGCCGGCTCTCAGCTGCAGGGGAGCCACCAAGTTAATTAGATGTGGTTACAGCAATGGGCCCAGGTTCCATCCACATGGAGGCCCTGGTTCTGCAGCTGCTTGGAGTAATCCAATCAAGGACAGCATGCTTGGTTGAAAAGATGGGTTCAGGGTGCAGTGCATTGAAAATGCAGATGCCGTTGTGTGATTTGGGAAGGCAAAGGGAGAGGAAGAGGGGCCAGGGGCAAAGAAGACTCAACTGGAAGACTCAACTCTCTTGCAACTCAGAGACCCTGGATTCTCCACTTCCTCTCCTTTCCTTCTTGGTGGCAAAGGCTTACTCCCTTCCCCAGAAGCTCCGCAGTGACAGAGTATGGGAAGGAGACAGGGACCCTGGAGAGGATGGGATCACTACAGGGAATCACAGGCCAGGGGTAAGTTTCATATCCAGCCAGTGAAAGGTAGAGTGTCTGCAACTCCCCAGCAAACCCAACACTGAGTAATCCACAGGATTCTTTCTTCATGGGCTGTGTCTTGGTCTGGATGGAGATGTAAAGGGTGGTAGTGAACAACATGCATGGCCTCCATGTGATGTCAGGATAGGACTCTAGAAGGGGACTCCCTGTGTGGCTGAAGGAGAGCTGATACCCATGCCACCATCCCAGCTTGCCTCGGGTGTCCTCACCTCAATTCTTACTGCCATCTGCCCCCCCCCCCCCCCATCCTCTCCACCCCATCTGGTTGCCATCTGCCACACACCCTGCTCCACTCCCCTTTAGTTTACGCTAGCACAGCTGGGGCAGACCAACCTCCTCCGTGGAATTTTCACCACCAGCCAAAGGAAAGGAAAAGAATTTATTATCAGAAGTACAAAATGATTTCATCTGATGAGGATTCTAGAACTCTGTTTTCTGATAAAACTCCATCCTCACCAAACCAGTAACCCTCCTGCCCCAGCTTCTCCCTACCTCCCATCCTAAAAGATTCTATTGTGACTAATGATCCATTTTTGGATTCCTTCTAAGGCTCTTGCCTCCATCCAATCTCTTCTGCACTTACTGTGGATCAGAGACTAGGCTAAGAGCATGACACATACTGTCTCATTCAATCCTCAAAACCATCCTACCAGGCCAGTAGAATTATCCATAATTTACCCTTGAGCTCTTGAAAAGTCAGATATCTTGTTCAAGGCTCCACTGATTGTAAGCGGGGTGAGGATTTGAACCCAGCATGCTGACTACAGTTGCCTGATTTTGCACAAGTGAAGCATCCTTCTCTTCAAGATACACAAATGGGTCTGGGGAAGCAGGGTTTTATACATCTACCCATTACATTTCTAAGTATAACGATTTAGGTGTAACGCGTGCAATAAGCACACAACAAGACGAGGGTCAGTCTCACATAATCTCCTTCAACGATAATGAATCTCACTTTCCATTTTTGGAGACCTGGGAGTTCATGCCCTCTAGCTGTTGTCTTACCTTGTGAGTGAGTGGTCAGTGGAGAGTCTTCACAGTGGAGAACAGCAGAAAGGCTGTTCACCGCAGAGATGGAGAGAAAGGTGAGGTTGGGTGAATCCACATCTGCACTTGGCAATGAGGACGAGGTGGAGACACCTCCCCAGGCCCACCTACCCCTGGCAAATAGGAAACCAGCAGCCCTTTCTCTGGGCATGGCCAAAGGTAGAGGTCTGTTCTGGGGGATGGTGAGTGGTGTGGCCAGGTGGGGATGGGCTGTGGCTGGCAAACAGGAACTGCAGTGTGCAACAGGGAGGGTTCAGCAGAAGGGGAAGCCGCGTGGGGGCTGACCCTGCAGAGTGCATTTGCCTTTCAGGAAGTAAAGGGGGAGAAGAGAAGGAACAGAAATGGACAGATGAGGAAAAGGAGGGAATGGCAGGACTGTAGGCGTTTGAGTCCTGGCCAGGCCGCTGGGGGGCCTGCTATCTGCCCTGGCCGCCCCTGGAATCCAGGCCCCGCTGATAGCACCTGGGAGGAGTGGAGCGAGAGGAGGATGTGACCTTGAACTCTACCTAGAGGACAGCACCAAGCCTCCTCCTTACTCGAGCCCCACCCCTCACCTATCCAGCCCCAGCTCTTCCCTCCACACAGAGAAAGAGAAGATTGATGGAGTAATGGTCCAGTTTTTTATTTAGAAACCTGATTGTTCAAGAACATGATGGGCGGGCCTGTACCCCACCCTTTTCACTGGATTGTATCAGAGGTGGTGGGCAACTTTTTTTCCCATTTCTCAGCAACAGAGGAAGGTGCAACTCAGATTGTAGGGAACAGTGTGGAAGGGAAAGGAGCAGGAAATCCCAAGCCAATCCAAAGGAAGGGGGTAGGTGACTCCCAACAGCAGCAGGGGCAGGGTGGGGCCTGTCTCTGAGGGCCTGCTACACAGCACAGGCTTCATGCTCCCCCTGCTCTACTCTGCTCAAAAGATCTCTAGGGAGGCAGAGGATGGGGGTGGGGGGGGGTGGGAGTGGAGAGAGGGACAGGGACCAGCTGTGGGGAGGAGCCTGGGAGAGCAACACTCACAGGCCTAGGGAGGCCTTCAGGGAAGCTCTCAGCAGTAGCAGCAGCACTCACCCCATGGCCCCTCCACACCCTGGCTGGGGCCTGGAAGTCCACAGCTCAGCGCTACTCTGCGGTTTTGCCTTCAGGGTCCCAGGGGGTAGGAGGTGGGGGAGGCAGTGGGGCCAGCTGAGGAAGACTCTGGACTCCTTGGTGAACTGATGGTAGTAGCGGTCTCAGAAGTCAAATTCATCCAGGTCCCCCGTGCCCTCCCCGCCTCCAGAGCCCCACACCCTGCGGTAATTGCTCTCCAGTTCTTTCTGTCGCTGCCGTTCCTTCTGCGCCTCTTCGGCTCCCTGTACCTGGTAAGGGAGGGGGAAACAGGGTGAGCTGCAGGATCCAGAACCAGCAGCATGGGGAGGGCAGGAACGGGGCACACACACTTCTCACGGGTCTCTTGCCAAGGGCCCAAACGCCCAGCTGCCTGGACCACAGCCTTACAGACGAGGAGACTGAAGCTCAGAAAGTGGCAAGGCTGGGATGTGCCTGTGTTACTCAGCCATGCTCTCCACACCCTGGCGCACTAGAGGAGGGGGCGGGCTGGAGGCCCAGGACTTGGAGATGGGATGCCTCTCACCAAGATATTGAAGAAAATCTCCTTAAGGTTTTTCGTGTCCTCATCCGTCAGCCAGCGTGTATCCTCTTCCGTCCCTTCAGACCCTGGCCGGACAATTTTGATCTCGATTTTCCCTGAAAAGAAGCAGGACGGGCAGTGAGAGGAGAGGAGTGGGGGAACTTCAGTGTAGGTCCTCTGCCCCCTTCCCTCCCCTCCCCCCACCCAGGGCCCCAGCTGCCAGGCTTCCAGTCCACCTTGACCCAGCCCCTGTTTCCAGCAGCAAACCCTTCCAACAGCACGTCAGCCAGCCCCGCCCCCAGGGCCCACCTTCGGCTGTGAGTCCCTCCCTCTCCAGCAGCTCTGTCACCAGCCCCTCGATTTGTTTCAGCTGTGGGTTTTCCCGTTTCATCTCGAGGACTGTCGGATCCTGATTGGGGCCTCCGTGACGGAGCTTGGTGACCCGGACCCGGACTCTGTGCTCGGGATCCTCCTCTTAGAGGGGGAGACACACAGGGAGACACAAAGCAGAGCTGTGACTCCAGGGTTAGGGGCTGCTGTGGTCACTTCTTCCCAAGCCACCAATTGGTTTTGGCAGTTATTCCACCTCAAACGTGTATATGAGCCAAATATGAGCCCAAAATAAATTAGGCCCCCCACCCATTCCAGCCTGCAAGCTCCCTCTGCCACTTGCAGCTCCCTTCTTCCATCCAGACCCAATAATTCTGCTCCTCACCTACAGTTCCTTCTCAAAAATCAAAAAGGTTTTGTTTAAAGAAGCAAGGCACGCCGAAACCGGTTTGGCTCAGTGGGTAGAGCGTCGGCCTGTGGACTGAAAGGTCCCAGGTTCGATTCCGGTCAGGGGGCATGTACGTTGGTTGCGGGCACATCCCCGGTAGGAGATGTGCAGGAGGCAGCTGGTCGATGTTTCTCTCATCGATGTTTCTAGCTCTCTATTCCTCTTCCTTCCTCTCTGTAAAAAAATCAATAAAATATATATAAAAAAAACAAAAATAAAGAAGCAAGGCACACTCTCCCTCTGGAGAGCTTGCCGGTGCCTTCCCGCCTCACCTTCTTCCTCCCAGTGGCATTTCTCCCGCCTTTCCCTCTCCTAAGCTCCAAGCAGCCTTCTTTTGCTTCTGTAACTTGTTTCCTGAGCTCATGCAGCCCAGGGCTCATTTCTGCCACCTCTGTAACCTCCCAATAAACTTTCTCTTATAATTTGAACAACAACAAAGAAACAACAGGTTGGAAAGCTGTGGTTTGCTACTCCCCATGTTGGTGCTCAAATTGCTTATAGAGAAAGTAAGATGGAAGGTTTGAAACTCAAACATTCCACTTGGGGTGTCTGATCTCCACAACCATAGAACCCCATGGAATGGACACAAGGCGGGGGTGAAGAAGAAAGAATAACTTCAAGTCTGCCCAGGCAATTGGCTTATGAGCGGCTGGCTGCTTATTCACAGCTTGCCAGCTGGGGTCTCTCCTGGTGCAAAGTCCTAACTGGTGAAAGGCTGCCTCCTGCACAGATGTGTGGCTTTCAGCTCACGGGCGCACTGTCACCCAGTTAAGATCTGCTGATCACCCAGCACGTGTTGGTGAAAGTGCTAAGCACTGCGCATATGGAAGCCATCAGAAATAAGACATGCTCCGGAAGCTGCTTTCCAAAGGGTGAATAGGAGGTAACCGGGCGAAGGGACGGAGGTGGCAGGAAGAAGGCAGGAAGGAGAACAGTGTTTCAGAAACAGGGAAGAGAGCGAGCAACCTCGGGAGGGAGAGAACGTGTGGCCTTCCTGCACACACCGGCTGAGGGATAAAGACAAGGGGCTTGGCCTCCTGGGTGACAGCTCTCACCTGCTGGTCGGAAGGAGGGGGGAGGCTTCCTGGGGACAACCTTCCTTTTCCTGTGCTTCTTCAGCTCCGGATTCTGCTTTTCCTCCAGCCTTTTGATGAGTTTGTTGAGAGTGGCTGTCAGGACCAACATAGACCGATCCCGGTCTGACTCCCTCTTCAGCCCATCTGGGTCCAGCTCCTTCTCCGTCTGGAAAGCCCCAGGGGGGGTGGAGAGTCAAAGAGCAGTAAAAGGGGTCCATGCCCCACAGGAGAGTCCTGTCTAAGACTCATCCCTCTCTCCGATCCCCCTTCCCCACCGTTCCCTACTTTTTTTTTTTTTTTTTTTTTAAATATGTTTTATTGATTTTTTTACAGAGAAGAAAGGAGAGGGATAGAAAGTTAGAAACATCAATGAGAGAGAAACATCGACCAGCCGCCTCCTGCACACCCCACACCGGGGATGTGCCTGCAACCAAGGTACATGCCCTTGATCGGAATTGAACCTGGGACCTTACAGTCCGCAGACTGACGCTCTATCTACTGATCCAAATCGGTTTCGGCTGTCCCCACTTTTAATTAAATAAACAGCGATCATTTCACAGAGCCCTGTCCCGGGCCCCAGGCTATGCCAAGTGCTAACCTTGGTTCTCTTTCAGCCCCGCGGCCTGCCTTGCCCGCAGGAGCAGACACGGCAGAAGCACACGAGGAAGAGCCGTGCTCACCTCCTGGATGATGCTCGCCAGCTCCCGCTCTATGCGGGCCTTCACCTCTGACCGCAGCCGCTCTCGGTCTGAAGGGAGCAGTATCCCTTCCAGCTCCTTCTCAAATTCTCCCAGTAACTGCCTTTCGTCGTCGTTTTCATCTTCCTCCTCGTCCTCCTCCTCTTCCGCCTCGTTCTGATGTTCTGTGTCACCCTTTTCCTTCACCTCTGGTTCCCTTGGAGGGACTTCTGCAGCATCTTCTTCAGGCTGCTCTTGGCCTGCATTTGGCTTCACCTAGGGACCAAGAGAAGAAGGCAGGCGGTTGGGTGGGGTTTTAGTAGAGACCGTGGTGGGGGACACGGAGTGGCTGGGGTGTGGCGGGGGACTGGAGAGGAGTAAGGCAGGGAGTGGGTCTGTGTGGCCTGGCTCAGGCTGAGGGCAGGTGGTTCTCCAAAGACTCCCCCCAGGGAGGCAGGTCCCACCCCGCCCTTAAGCAGGGCCCATACCTTTTTTGCTCCACCTTTCAGCTCCTCTATCAACCGGATCAAGTCCGCGGGACTCCGGATGACTTTGACCTGCACATTGTTCTGAAAATCTGAGATGGAAAAAATAGGAATGAACCCGTTGTATTCTAAATCCTATTTTGGCCTCCTAAGGAGAAGAGTTGTGGTGACCAAGGAGGAACATGGACCCGATCTCCAAGAAGAACTGGTCAGAGAGATAAGGGGCCAACATAGCACAGGTGTAAGGTGGCCTCACAGGTGAGAGAAGGATGCTTACAAGTTGCTAAGGCCCCCGCTCTTTCACATACGGATGAGGCCCTTCTGGCAACCACCCCAGTTTTCAGGACTCCCGAAGGCATTCTGGGGCCAAGTGCTTCTCTTCCCTGGATCCTGTTCTCCATTAGGTTTACCCAGTTTCCGGCATTCTACTATGAACTACGGATTCATTCCCATTGAATCTCACAGCAGCCCTCTAAAGTGGGAGTATTATCTGCATCAGGGGTGAGGAAACAGGTTAAGAAAAATTACCCAAGATTACAAAGTCAGTAAGTAGTGGAACCACTGTGCCTGCTACCTCCATAGAAGAGAACTATTGTTTACAGAGGACATTTCTGTAAAGAGGAATTCCCTGCTGGCCTGGCTGCCCAACTTCCCTCCCAGTGTCTACCTTTACCCTCACCGCGATCCCTGCCCACCAGAAAATACATTCAAACAGTAAAAGAGACATGGAGGTTTACCCACCACTGGGAGAGCCTGGAGCTGGATCTGCTGGCTCAATGTTTGGTTCCCGCTCCTGATGAGAAGAGTCAGAGTCAAATATGCAAACCTATTTATACTCTTTTAAAAAAAATACATATTTTTATTGATGAGACAGAATCATTGACTGGCTGCCTCCTGCACGGCCCCACACTGGGGAGTAATCCCACAACCTGAGCATATGCCCTAACTGGAAATTTTTTTTTAGTATAATATGTATTTTATTTATTTATTTATTTATTTATTTATTTATTTAATTTTATTTAATTTAATTTTATTATTTTTTAAAATATATTTTATTGATTTTGTACAGAGAGGAAGGGAGAGAGATAGAAAGCCAGAAACATCGATGAGAGAGAGTCATCGATCAGCTGCCTCCTGCACACCCCCTATTGGGGATATGCCCACAACCAAGGTACATGCCTTTGACCGGAATCGAACCCGGGACCCTTCAGTCCCCAAGCCGATGCTCTATCCATTGAGCCAAACCGGTCCGGGCTATTTTATTTTTAAAATCAATCTTTATTGTTCATATTATTACAAAGGTTCCTTATTTCTTCCCCCCCACCAGGTTCCCACCCCACCCTCCGCCCCCTCCCAAACCCCCATTGTCCTCATCCATAGGTGCACAGTTTATTTTCAGTCTCTTCCCGCATTTACCACTCCCCCTTTCCCGGAGAACTGCCTGACTGGAAATTTAACCGTGATCTCCTGGTTCACAGGTCAAGCTCAACCACTGAACCGTGCCAGCCGTTCTGTTTATGCCCTTAAGGCAACGGTTCTGGGTTATATCCTTGCATCCCTGGACAGATGCAGGTCATCTCATAAAGACCTCAGCTTGAGAGACCCTCCATCCCAAAGCTCAGTTCAACTTCATCAGAGAAATGACAAGGAAGCTGTCTCTCACCTCAACCTGTGCCTCCTCCCCTCCTTGGACTTGGTCCTCTGACTCATGAATCATCTTCCAAAAATCTGATTCCTTACTGTCATCCTTGGTTGGCCTTGCAACTGGGACAGAGAGAACAGGGAGGAAACAGAAAGTAGGGGAGAAATGGAAGGGAACAAATAGAATGAGGACATTCCCTCTTCCATGACCAAGGGAGAAGGGCCCACACACTTTTTCACCCCACACTGAAGTCAGTCCAGAACAACAAGACTGGGGAGGAGAGAAATGGAGACAAATTTCACGGGACAGGTGAAGCAAGGTCCTACCTGGTTTCTTTATGGGTATCGCCCCAGGTGTGGTCTCACTCCACATTTCAGAGTCCAGATCTTGAAGCTCTTCTATCATTTTATCTCCATACTGCTTTGAGTCTACCGAGAAACAGCACATGGGCAGGACAGGGACACATTCCTCGGGGCGCTTCGTACTTTATCTTCTGCTTATCCCTCCCCAGGTCTCTCCTTCCTTTCTCCATCACTCACCAGCTTGCCTCTGAATGTAGGCCATGTACTCCTCAGGCTGCAGGGCAGGGTGACAGAGAATGGCTTGGGGAGCAGCACTGGGCGGGGGCCGGAGGAGGGGGTGGGGGCAGAGCCGAGGAGTCCGAATGGTCAACACGTAGGAGCAGGACAAGGGCTCATCCACACGATCGATATAGTCCCCGGAAATGCCAGCCCCCTCGTCACAGATGAACTAACGAGACAGAGAGGGCAAATAACCAGTAATCACCACCAATAATCTCCTTTAGTTCTTGGGAATTTGTATCCAGAACTGCTACAATATATTACCTCCAATGTCCAATTTTCCACAAAAAATTATGGAGCATGCAAAGAAAGAGATGTAGAGTTAAAGAAGATGTCAGAAGCATAAGGCTTGTCTGGAGAGAATGCAGCCAATCACCACCATCCATCATATGGCAAAGGCTTTATGGCTCTACCTGTTTTGGCTCAGTGGATAGAGTGTCGACTACAAGTTGAAGGGTCCCAGGTTCAATTCTGGTCAGGGGCACATGCCCAGGTTGCAGGCTCAATCCCCAGTAGGGGGCATGCAGGAGGCAGCTAATTAATGATTCTCACTCATCACTGATATTTCTATCTCTCTCCCTCTCCCTTTCTCTGTGGAATCAATAGAAATATATTAAAAAATAAAAATAAAAAGTAATAAACAGCATTGGCTATTGTGACTTGGTTAGTGAATCATCCCGTGGACCTAGAAGTTGCAGGCTCAATCCCCAGTAGGAGGCAGCCGATCTATGTTTCTCTCTTCCTTCTCGCTCTAAAAAATGAAGTCCTGGCTGGGAAGCTCGTTTGGTTAGAGCATCAGCCCAATACATCAAAGTTGTGGGTTAGATCTCTCAGCAGGGCATAAATACTAAATGGAACAACAAACCAATGCTTCTCTCTCTCTCTCATCAATAAATAAATAATCAAGAAAAACAGCAATGCTCCTCAAACTCTTTCCAAAAAATAGAAGAGAAGGGAATACTTCCCGACTCGTTCAGTAAATCCAATATAACCCTGATACCATATCCAGACAAAGCTATCATAAGAAAAGGAAGTCACAGGATAAAATATTTTATGAATACAGATCTTCCACAAGTCCTCAAGTAATACTAGTTAACTGAATTCAGCTACATGTATAAAGGATTACACACCATGACCAAGAAGGATTTATTCTAGGAGTAAAAGGTTGGGAAAACATAAAAAAAATTTAATTATGTAATTAAAACTCCCTATCAATAGAATATAGGACAAAAACCACATGTTCAGCCCTAACCGGTTTGGCTTAGTGGATAGAGAGTCAGCCTGCAGACTCAAGGGTCCCGGGTTCTATTCTGGTCAAGGGCATGTACCTTGGTTGTGGGCACATCCTCAGGAGGGAGTGTGCAAGAGGCAGCTGATTGATGTTTCTCTCTCATCGATGTTTCTAACACTATATACCTCTCCCTTCCTCTCTGTAAAGAATCAATAAAAATATCTTTTTAAAAACCACATGTTCATCTCAGTGGACATAGAAAAAGCATTTGACAAAATTTAATACCTCTTCATGACCAAAACAACAAACTAGAAATAGAAAGGGACTTCATTAACCTGATAAAAGGCATCTATTAAAAATCCACAGCTAACACACTTCATGGTGAAAAACTTATCAGTTTCCACTAAAATCAGGAAGAAGATAGGATGTCTGCTTGTGTCACTTGTATTCAAAGTTGTACTGGAGCTTCTGATCAGGGCAATTAGACAATAAAATGAAATGCAAGGCAACTAAGTTGGGAGGGAAAACGACCTTTATTTACAGATGAAATATCTCGTGTACAGGTAATCCAAAGAAATTCACTAAAAAAAAGTATTAGAACTGATAAATAGTTCCATAAGGTTGCAGGATAGAGGAATCAATTGTACTGTATTTCTACATCCCTGCAATGCACAACCCCCAAAAAGAAAATAATTATATTTGCAATAGCATCGAAAGAATAAAGTAATTGGGAATAAATGTAGCAAAATAAAGTATAAACTTATACTCTGAAAACTATAAAACATTGTTGAAAGAAATTAAAGACTTAAATAAATTGAAAGACATCCAAGTTCATAAATTATAAGACTTAATATATGTATTTTTTTAAATATGAAGGTTCTTTTTAAAAAATATATTTTATTGATTTTTTTACAGAGAGGAAGGGAGAGGGACAGAGAGCCAGAAACATCGATGAAAGAGAAACATCGATCAGCTGCCTCCTGCACACCTCCCACAGGAATGTGCCCGCAACCAAGGTACGTGCCCTTGATCGGAATCGAATCCAGGACCTTTAGTCCGCAGGCCAACACTCTATCCACTGAGCCAAACTGGTTTCGGCTGAAGGTTCTTTTTAAAAAATATATATCTTATTGTTTTTTTACAGAGAGGAGGGGAGAGGGATAGAGAGTTAGAAACATAGATCAGTTGCCTCCTGCACACCTCCTTCTGGAGATGTGCCTGAAAGCAAGGTACATGCTCTTGACCACAGAACCTGGGACCCAAGACTCCACTGGCTGATACTCTATCCACTGAGCCAAATAGGTTAGGGCTCAAGAATTAATATTGTTAAGATGGTAATACTGGCAGGGTAGCTCAGGTGGTTACGGTGTTATCTCAATACACCCAGGTTTCGGGTTTGATCCCTAATCAGAAGATATATAAGAATGAATGAATAAATAAACCAATTTATTCAATCAACCAATGAATGAATAAATAAGTGGGACAAATCAATGTTTCTCCCTAAAAATTTTTTTTGAAAGGATGACAATACTCCCCAAATTGATTTTTAGAGTGAATGCAATCTCCATCAAAATTAAAATTTTGCCTTGTTTGCAGAAATTAACAAACTAATCCTAAAATTCATATGAAAATTCAAGGGATTCTAATCTAAATAGTCAAAACAATTTCAGCACAGTGAGGTTTGTTGCACATCAGCAGCACTTCAAGCTCCTTGATGCTGTGGACCAGGAACTTCTGAAAGTCACTGGGCAGCATGTACTTTCTTTTCACACACACACACACACACACACACACACACACACACACACACACATATATATTTATTTATATTGATTTCAAAGATGAAGGGAGAGAGAAATAGAAACATCAGTGATGAGAGATAATCATTGACTGGCTGCCTCCCGCATGCCCCCTACTGGGAATGAACTAGAAACACCAATCAGAAAGGATATATGCACCCCTATGTTCATAGCACAATTTACCAAAGCTAAGATTTGGAAACAGCCTAGGTGCCCGTCAGCAGATGATTGGATCAGAAAACTATGGCACATCTAAACAATGGAATACTATGCTGCCATAAAAAGAAGGAATTCTTATCATTTGCAGCAACCTGGATGGAATTGGAGAACATCATGCTGAGTGAAATAAGCCAGTCAATGAAAGAGAAACACCACATGACCTCACTCATTTATGGATAATAAAGAACATTATAAACCAATGAACAAAAAGATAGAGAGACAGTAAGTCAACAAACAGACTGTCAACTAACAGCGGAAAGGTTAGGGAGAGGTGGGGGAGATAAGAGATCAACCGAAGGACTTGTATGCATGCATATAAGCATAACCAATGGATGCAAAACTCTGGAGGGTGAGGGCATGTATGGGAGTGGGGAGTGGCAATGGTAAGATATGTACACATATAATACCTAAGTTAAAAAAAAGAGGAAAAAAAATTAGCTCTATGTGATAGCAATAATGAGATTTGCTGGTTCAGAGGCCAGAAAAAGGGCCAGTAGGACAGAAACACAATGAGTATTTTTATCTCCAGGCCAGACGTCATCCCTAACTTCAGAGTACCAGAGCCAACTATCAACAGGATATCACCACTAGGATGTCTTATAGGCAACTTGGCCTTCAAACCTAGCTTCCTCCTCCAAACCTGTCCTTTCCACTTTACTAAATGACAATTCTTTTTATTTATATATTTTATTGATTTTTTACAGAGAGGAAGAGAGAGGGATAGAGAGTTAGAAACATCGATGAGAGAGGATCCAAGATGGCTGCTCGGGTAGACATCTAGCCGCGGCAGCACACAACAATTTCAATGGAATACAACTAAAATGTAGAGTGGACATTGCCCAGAGCTACAGGTAGTCGACTGACTGAAATTTCTACAACAAGAAGGAAAGAGAAAACCAGAAAGAAAATCAGAGGAGCTGAAAAAAAGCCTAAGGTACGGAGACATGCTGCGCGCGCGTGCCCGCCCACACGCGCGCGCACGGAGAGGTCGCAGCCGGAGAGGAGGAGAGGGCGGGGAGCCGCCTTTCCTTCCCTAGCAGGAAGGAAATAAAACCCCCAGCCTGGGCTGAACCCCCGAACCGGCAGCGCTGAGCCCCCCGAACCAGCAGCGCTGAGCCCCAGTTATGGGCCAGACCCTGGGGACCCAGGCCCCGGTGGGAGGAGACGGGGCAGTGAGGCGGAAAAACGGCGAAAAGCAGGGCCCAGCGAGTCACGCGCAATGCGAGCGCAGAGGACTGAATGCTGACTCTGATGCTGGGTTGCCCTAGCCGGAAGAAACAAGGCCTCCGGCGGCGGTGGTGAGCCTCAGTCCGGACTGCTCCGAACCCCAGTTCTGGGCTAATCCCTGGGGACCCAGGCTCAGGCAGAGAGAGACGGGGCTGTGAGGTGGAGTCCGGGGAGAGCGGCGAAAGGCCGGGCCCCCGGGACTCGCACAAACTGCGCGCAGAGGACAGTCTGTGGGACTCGCGCAAACTGCTCGCAGAGGACAGTCTGTTGACTCTGATGCTGGACTTCTCTAGCGGGAAGGAGAAAAAAAAAAGCTCTAGGCTGGGGGAACGCGGAGGGGAGCGGAAGCCCCTGCCGGACTCCAGCCAACCGGGCACCAGCAAGAAGGTGGGCCACGGGGCCCCTGTGGGCGTGGGTGCCCCTGAGCCTTTGACCACTGAGCTCGGGCAATGGAGCCAAGGCCGGTGGCTGCTTCCTGGGCGGCGCCGTCCCGGCAACAGGCTGAAGCAGCGTAGGAGCCTGCGGAGAACAAAGGGGTGCCACAGGCCAACCTGCTGAGCTCCCAGGACAAGGAGGAAGAAACCAAAGAAGTTCTCAATGTGAAGAAATCAAGTGAGAGCAAAAAATAGTAAAATTACTTGAGAAAGAATACAAAGAAGATCTTGAAAAATCAAAGACTAAGTCAGAACTCAACTCACCAGCCAACATTGCAACATCAATGCGTTTTAAAAAGAAAAAAAAAAGGACAGAATGTTGGAACAGCGACGGCCAGGCCTAGAGTGGCCAGGCACAAGGCAGTGGCAGCCAGACCCAGAGCAGCAACGGCCAGGCCCCAGAACAACAGCAGCCAGAACCAGAGCATCAACAGCCAGCACTGGAGTAGCCAGACCTGGGGCAGTGGCAGCCAGGCATGAGGCGGAGGCGGCCAAGCCCAGGATGGCCAGTCCAGGAACACCCAGACCCGGAGTGGCCGGGCCCGGAGAAGCCGGGCCCAGAGCAGCCGGGGTGGGAGCAGCCAGACCCAGAACAGCAGTAGCCAAGCCCAGAGCATCCAGGTCGGGAGTGGCCAGGCTCGGAGCGGCCGGGCCCGGGGCAGCCGGGCCCAGAGCAGCCGGGTCAGGTGCGGCCAGGCCCGGAGCAGCGGCTGCCAGGCTGGGAGCGGCCAGGCCCGGGGGAGCAGGCGGGGCTGGTGCGGCCAGGCCCGGAGCAGCGGCTGCCAGGCTGGGAGCGGCCAGGCCCGGGGGAGCAGGCGGGTCGGGTGCGGCCAGGCCCGGAGCAGCGGCTGCCGGGCTGGGAGCGGCCAGGCCCGGGGGAGCAGCCGGGTGGGGAGCAGCCGGGTTGGGTGCGGCCAGGCCCGGAGCAGCGGCTGCCAGGCTGGGAGCGGCCAGGCCCGGGGGAGCAGGCGGGTCGGGTGCGGCCAGGCCCGGAGCAGCGGCTGCCAGGCTGGGAGCGGCCAGGCCCGGGGGAGCAGGCGGGTCGGGTGCGGCCAGGCCCGGAGCAGCGGCTGCCAGGCTGGGAGCGGCCAGGCCCGGGGGAGCAGGCGGGTCGGGTGCGGCCAGGCCCGGAGCAGCGGCTGCCAGGCTGGGAGCGGCCAGGCCCGGGGGAGCAGGCGGGGCGGGTGCGGCCAGGCCCGGAGCAGCGGCTGCCAGGCTGGGAGCGGCCAGGCCCGGGGGAGCAGGCGGGGCGGGTGCGGCCAGGCCCGGAGCAGCGGCTGCCAGGCTGGGAGCGGCCAGGCCCGGGGGAGCAGGCGGGGCTGGTGCGGCCAGGCCCGGAGCAGCGGCTGCCAGGCTGGGAGCGGCCAGGCCCGGGGGAGCAGGCGGGGCTGGTGCGGCCAGGCCCGGAGCAGCGGCTGCCAGGCTGGGAGCGGCCAGGCCCGGGGGAGCAGGCGGGGCTGGTGCGGCCAGGCCCGGAGCAGCGGCTGCCAGGCTGGGAGCGGCCAGGCCCGGGGGAGCAGGCGGGGCGGGTGCGGCCAGGCCCGGAGCAGCGGCTGCCAGGCTGGGAGCGGCCATGCCCGGGGGAGCAGGCGGGTCGGGTGCGGCCAGGCCCGGAGCAGCGGCTGCCGGGCTGGGAGCGGCCAGGCCCGGGGGAGCAGCCGGGTGGGGAGCAGCCGGGTCGGGTGCGGCCAGGCCCGGAGCAGCGGCTGCCAGGCTGGGAGCGGCCAGGCCCGGGGGAGCAGGCGGGTCGGGTGCGGCCAGGCCCGGAGCAGCGGCTGCCAGGCTGGGAGCGGCCAGGCCCGGGGGAGCAGGCGGGTCGGGTGCGGCCAGGCCCGGAGCAGCGGCTGCCAGGCTGGGAGCGGCCAGGCCCGGGGGAGCAGGCGGGTCGGGTGCGGCCAGGCCCGGAGCAGCGGCTGCCAGGCTGGGAGCGGCCAGGCCCGGGGGAGCAGGCGGGTCGGGTGCGGCCAGGCCCGGAGCAGCGGCTGCCAGGCTGGGAGCGGCCAGGCCCGGGGGAGCAGGCGGGGCGGGTGCGGCCAGGCCCGGAGCAGCGGCTGCCAGGCTGGGAGCGGCCAGGCCCGGGGGAGCAGGCGGGGCGGGTGCGGCCAGGCCCAGAGCAGCGGCTGCCAGGCTGGGAGCGGCCAGGCCCGGGGGAGCAGGCGGGGCTGGTGCGGCCAGGCCCGGAGCAGCGGCTGCCAGGCTGGGAGCGGCCAGGCCCGGAGCAGCAGCAGCCAAGTCCAGAGCAACTAGGTCGGGAGCGGCAGGGACCAGACCCGGAGCAGCTGGTTGTGGAATGAACCAGAGCAACAGAGGCCAGGCCCTGAGCAGCCAGGCCCAGAACAGCTCGCTCCTTGCCTGCCCCTGCCCCACGGCTGCTTCTCAGACATGGCTGGAAACTTTCGTGGGAACTTGAGGGTCTGCTGAATCAAGTGATGAAGGCTTAGATCTGGATGTGTTGAGTTAGTTTAGGACTGGGGTGTTGATCTGTGAGTGCCTTGGGTGGGGCCTGGATGAGGCTGGTGGACCTATTGGGAAATGTCTTTTGTGTGAAGTGTATCATTGGGCATGTGGAGGTATTATTGATATGAGAAAATGCTAAGTAACTGATTTACTATCTGAAAAGGGATTTACTATTGGGGAAATTGAGGGAAGAAGAGACTGAACATAAACTGCACCTATGGATGAGGACAATGGGGGATGGGGAGGGGGCAGAGGGTGGGGTGGGAACCTGGTGGAGGGGGGAAGAAATGAGGAACCTTTGTAATAATATGAACAATAAAGATTGATTTAAAAAATTAAAAAAAATAAATAAATAAATAAAAAATAAATAAAAAAAATAAAATGCACTGAAGAAAAAAAAGAAAAAAAAAAAAAAAAAGAAACATCGATGAGAGAGGATCAGCTGCCTCTTGCACACCCCCTACTGGGGATGTGCCAGCAACCAAGGTACATGCCCTTGACCGGAATCGAACCCGGGACCTTTCAGTCCGCAGGCCAACACTCTATCCACTGAGCCAAACTGGTTTCGGCCTAAATGACAATTCTATTTACCCAGCTGCTTAAGCTAAAAACCCTGGAGTCATATTTGATTCTACCCCACATCCAATTTATCAACAAATCTTATTGGCTCTCCCTTCAAAATATATTCAGAATCCAACTGCTTTCTGCTAACTCCACTGCTACCACGTCAATGTGAGTTGAAATATTTGGACCTTACCCTTTCATGCCCCTGACCGGAATCGAACCTGGGACCTTTCAGTCTGCAGACCGACACTCTACCACTGAGCCAAACCAGTTTCGGCTGGACCTCACCCTTTAAACAAGGCACAATCATCAAAGGTTTTCCATCTGGGCAGAGAAGTGACAGATGCCTATAGTGGTGTGCTGGGTGTACTCACACCAGTTCACAAGAGCCACTGGGAAATTTTTAGGAATGTTGCAAAACAGTCGACATCATGGTGATAGCGTGAATTGAGCCATGGTGGGGATATTTATACTATGGATAGTGACAAACATTATAAATCAGGGCTCCCCTCTTTACCCTTTTACCCTATACCCTGGTAACTGACCGTTCAAAATTTACCAGCACACAATTGCATCTGAAAATCTGCGTTACAGAAAGATAGTTCTTGTATCATGTGGCTCTCTACAGATGTGTTTGTGAATACATATTAGAATCACCTAAGAAACTTTCCCCACCATATATATATCTGCCTGCCTGCACTCACGAACTAGATCAGGAACACTTACTTAGAGGCTACTGGTAGTTATGCAGGTAAGAAATGAAGGTACAACCATAGCAAAAAAGAGGAGAGTTGAGATAAATCTAGAATAGAATGAATGGGCTTTGGTATTTACTCTGAGAACTAAACTCCTTTTCTTCACATCACTCCTCGGTTTGTAATCACACTCATTCCTATGATTTTTTAAAAATTGATTTCAGATAAAAGAAGGGAGAACTAGAGAAGAAATATCAATGATGAAAGAGAATCATTGTTCGGCTGCCTCCTGCATACCCACTGGGGATTAAGCATGTGTCCCCACCAGAGACCGGGAATCGAACCGTGACCTCCTAGTTCATGAGTCAATGCTCAACCACTGAGCCACACTGGCAGGACTCTGTGATTCCTTTAACATGCGTCTTCCTTTCCAGACTATGCATTCCATGAGGGCAGGGGCTGCATGTTTGCCCACAATGTATCCCCAGAGCAGAGCCCAATACCTACGCCAGCAGGACCTCATGGAAGAGTCATTAAATGAAGAAAGGACAGAAGTGAAGAAAGAAGAGTCAATAACGACACTCAAGTTTCTAGCTTAGGTGACAGAGAGGAGAAACATGCACAAAAGAGGGGAGGATTTGGGAAATGTGGACTAGAAGTACTTCTGAATCTCCAGGCAGTGACATCCAGCTGATTGCTGGAAATATGAGTCTTAAACTTAGGCCTGGGGGCCTGGGAAAGACCCTCTTGACAATAAAATGCAGTCTTGTATTCTTCCATTAGAATCTGAATTGTCACCGAGGAAGCCTCAACTTCCCTCTTTCAAGACTCACCCGAACTTCAGCCTCCCGGGGCCTCCCGTTGAGGTCGCACTGGGACCCATTGCCGTAGGTCTGGCTGTGGTAGCGTTTCAGGCGATGCTGCTTGGAGGCCTGGGGAGAACATCAGGCAGGAGAGAGAGGATGTGAGGCAGAGGGAGGGGAGGAAGAATGGCCACCAAGCGCTAAGAAACATGGCAGCTAATCCTGATCCTCCGCTTCTTGTCAGGGCTTTTAGTCCGAAGCCAGCAACCCTTCCCTCCCAGTCCCACACTCCTGCCACCTTGGCTGTTTCGTCATCCCAGTCGAAGGCTGATTGGTAGTAGCCCAGATAGAGGACTTCACCTTTGATCTCTGAGTCTGCAAGAGAAAGAGAAACCACAGTGAATCGCAGTTACTCTTTTCTAAGAAGACTAGCAGGGGAGGGGCCTGGGGAGGCAGGTCACCTTCCATGATGGGTTGCTGAGGGCTTAGGGGAAATGTGGGTGTGAGTCACCTTCCATGTGGTACTGTTGGATGTGGCGTCCATAACAGAATTCATATGTCCACCAGTCCTTGGTCTGGCAATTGAAAAACAAACAAAAAACACACCAATCATGGAGTTGGAGTACAGACGTCTCTTCTTAGATCAATCCTGGCACCAAGACATATAACCTCTCAGCCACTTCTCATCTCCCTTTGCTTCCACACTCAATTCGCCAGATTCTCAGAGTGGAAGGAGGGCTGTTTTACTCTGTGACTCAAAGAGATACCTCTACAGTCTGTTTTTACCCTGGCCAGTGTGGCGCAGTGCACAGAAAGGTTTCCAGTTTAAGTCAGGCTCAGGGCACATCCCCAGAAGGGGGCATGCAGGAGACAACCAAATGAAGTTTCCCTTTTACATCCCCAATATTTCTCTCTCTCTCTAAAAATTTTGAAAAAAAAAAATTTTTTTTTTAAGAGTCCATTTTCCACCTGTGGGCTTTCTACACCTCCCCTCTAAAAATCTTTTTTTTTTTTTTTTTTTTTTGTACTACATAAAAGTAAGAAATCATGGTATTCTTGAAGCACTCATACCAGGGAAACATAAATTGTTAATGGAACTTCTACAGCATTTCTTGTGCTATTCTAGTCACTGTGGATACAGTTATGAACAAGATACAGTCTCTGACCTCATGGACTTACATTCTAATGCTTGGACTCAAACCAAAAAAAAATAAACTGATGATTCAGTTACTAAGATGATTTCAGATCATGCAAAGTGCCGTAGGGAAAATAAAATAGGACACCAGGCAGAGTGATAAGGCAGCGAGTGACTTCACCCAGAAGGCTTCTCGGGGGGAGCGCTCCTCTTACCCGGCACTGACCTGCTTTAGGCACCGCAATCTTGGCTTAACCCTTATGCTGAGACCTATCCTGACCCTCCTCTACATTCAGCATCAGTGGTTGCAAGATTCTTTCCTGTCTGCACAACATGTCAACTCCTTCAATGGCCTTTTTCAAAAAATATATTTTTATTGATTTCAGAGAGGAAGGCAGAGGGAGAGAGAAACATCAATGATAAGAGAGAATCATTGATCCGCTGCCTCCTGCACACCCCCGTTTGGGATGGAGCCCACAACCCGGGCATGTGCCCTGAACTGGGAAAAGAACTGTGATCTCCTGGCTCATAGGTCGATGCTCAACCATTGAGCCACGCCAGCTCTGCTCCAATGACCTTCTTACCTCTGACAGGTCCTCCTCCTCCCACCTGACTCACTGACATTGACAGCTAGTTTCCCAAGCCCTCACTCCACCCGCCCGTCCCCTTTACCTTCAGCAGGCAAGGAGCATCTTTCATTGGGCTCAACAATTCAGGGATCCCAGGTCCTTGGTAAGCAGGCGTCTCCTCCTCCCTCTCCCGCTGGAAGTGAATGGCTCCAGCTGGCAGGCGACATTCATAGCGCTGCTTGTACTTAGAGGAAACAATCACCACGTCCGAAGCTTGGCTCTGGGGTAGAAGTGAGGGACAGCCGGGGAGACAGGGAGGCAAAGAGAGGCTGGGGTCAGTGAGGACATTGAGAGCCCTCTTCGCATCCTGGGGGAAAGCGCAGCCAAAACAGAACCAGCCACAAGTCCTCCAGATGTGCCCGCCGCGCGAGGGGAGAGGGTCCTCCCACTTGTCCAGGGTGTTTCCAGGAGGAACTAGGACCCAGGCTGACAGCGGGAAGCCCGGCCCTCCCAGGGAAGGGGTCTCAGTCTGCGATTCTCCGCCCCCCACCGACTCTTCCCGATCCCCCTTAGGCTGCGCCCGCCGCGGACTGCACAACAGCCTTTCTTCCTCCACTTTGTCCCCGGCCCCTGGCCCCGGCCCCTCGCCGCTCTACACCTCCTCACCTGCCCTCCCATAACGGGCAGCGGCAGGATCTCGATCCCATAGCGCATCTCACTCAGCTCCTCCAGGTTCAGGCTCCCGACACCATCGGTGAGGCCTGCGGGGAACAGGAACCCCAAGAGCAGCGGCCCCAACAGCCTGGACAGCAGCGATTCTGCCGCCATCTTTCGCCCCTCTTCTCATCCAGAGCTCCTTCCGCCCTGAACCTGGCAGGAGCCTCACACGTCTATTAGCATCCCAAAGTCTCATTGGCTAGATGTGCTGTCCCTCTCACGTTCCCTCGTCCCATTGGTAAGCGTGGCCCCGACGGCTAGCAAAACCACTCTCTGCGCGTGATTGGTCCGAGACGTCAGCCAATCATCGACGAGGTCAGACTCCCTCCCACCCTCTCCCCGTTGCAGAGAGGCGTGGTCTCTGCCCGGTGTCCTCGCCCAGCTGTCACTTGCATCTCTTAGTACTTTTTTAGTCGTTTCTTGAATTTTATCCGACCCTCGCCAAGCGGAGGATTGATGCCAATGGGTGGGTGCACCCAACGCCCCTGAAAGATAATACTTATGCAAAACAAACTATTACATAAAAGCATTTCTCTTTTCGTATACACTGAGTGGGCAGATTTTTTAAAATATATATATATTTTATTGATTTTTTTACAGAGAGAAAGGGAGAGGGATAGAAAGTCAGAAACATAGATGAGAGAGAAACATCGATCAGCATCCTCTTGCACACTCTCTACTGGGGATGTGCCCGCAACCAAGGTACATGCCCTTGACTGTAATCAAACCCGGGACCCTTGAGTCTGCAGGCGGAGGCTCCATCCACTGAGCCAAACCGGTTTTGGCTGAGTGGCCAGATTTTTATGACCACCTGACGTGTGTAGGCAAATTAGCCATACACTGCATTGTATGGGATATGGAAGTTGAAGGCCTGTTAGAACACTTTTGCTGTCTGCAGTTCCAAGATAAAAACGTCTCCAATTCACACAGGAACACAAGGATTGGATAGTGGAGCACTGGAAAAAAGTCATGTGTCCGATGAATCACGTTTCCAGTTGCATCATGCAGATGGTAGAGTGAGAATTTCGTGGGAACAGCATGAAAAGCAAGCACCCCACATGCATGAGAACAACCCTTCAAGCTGGTGGGGGCAGTGTTATGGCTTGGGGCATGTTTTCCTGGCATGATTTGGGCCCTTTAATTCCTGTGGAACAACGTCTGAATAGCACAACATACCTAAGTATCATTGCTTATCAAGTTCATCCTATCATGTTGATGGCGTATCCCAATGGAGATGGCTTCTTCCAACAAGACAATGCGCCATGCCACGGTGCTTGTATTTTGCAGGAGTGGTTTCAAGAACATGAGGGAGACTTTACCCTACTTAGATGGCTCCCACAATCACCAGATCTCAATCCAATTGAGCATTTGTGGGACGAAGTTAAAAGAGCCATCAGGCAGCTGGTTCCACAGCCATCAAATCTCTCAGAACTGGACAATGCTATTCATCAGGCATGGTGTCAGATTCCTGACATCACCTTTCAATATCTCTTGGAGCCAATGCCAAGAATCGCCACAGAATTGAAGGCAAAAGGTGGCCCAACAAAGTACTAATGGGGTGGTTATAATAATCTGGCCACTCAGGGTATACATACAACTTTAAGGCCATCTGGTAACTGTCAAAACCTTTCTACACAATTATGTCTGTATACTATGTTGTCCTCCAATAAAATTATAAATAAACAGTGGGGGTTTTCGTTAAAGACAGAAGGTGTGTGTGTGTGTGCACAAATTACCCTCTAGGCCATATAAAAACAAAGAGAAGGGGAAAGGAGACAACAGCAGCAACATTTTAGAAGCTAAAAAGGAAGTGGTTTAGCAAACCTGAGAAATTGATTCCTAACCAAAGGTAAACAAGAGCATGATTATACCTTTGAAAAACTCTGTGGAAGCTGACCAGCCCCAATCCCGAAGATTTTCTCCTCAGGGTTCTCTCAACAAAATAGATGAAGGAATCCTACAATTAAGCCCTTGTTCTACATTCCCAGCCATCCTCACACAGTCTTTCCAATAAGCTTTTTAATGTTTTCACTCTTTTTTTTAAAAAAATATTTTATTGACTTTTTTATAGAGAGGAATAGAGAGTTAGAAACATCAATGAGAAAGAATCATCAATCAGCTGCCTTTTGCACACTCCCTACTGACTGGGGATGTGCCCACAACAAAGGTACATGCCCTTACCGGAATCAAACCAGGGACCCTTCAGTCCGCAGGCCTACGCTCTGTCCACTGAGCCAAACCGGTTTCAGCGAACGTCCTCACTCTTTTTTTTTTTTTTTTTTTTAATATATTTTATTGATTTTGTACAGAGAGGAAGGGAGAGAGATAGTTAGAAACATCGATGAGAGAGAGTCAGTGATCAGCTGCCTCTTGCACACCCCCTACTGGGGATGTGCCCGCAACCAAGGTACATGCCCTTGACCGGAATTGAACCCGGGACCCTTCAGTCTCGAAGCCGACGCTCTATCCATTGACCCAAACTGGTCTCGGCACGTCCTCACTCTTAAATGGAAGCAGACAGCCAAGGATCATTAGACATTTGAGGAAAGTCTTTTTGTTTTATTTTAATTTTGTGGTTGTTGTTAATCCTCACCGGAGGATTTCTTTCTTTCTTTCTTTCTTTCTTTCTTTCTTTCTTTCTTTCTTTCTTTCTTTCTTTCTTTCTTTCTTTCTTTCTTTCTTTCTTCTTTCTTTCTTTCTTTCTTTCTTTCTTTCTTTCTTTCTTTCTTTCTTTCTTTCTTTCTTTCTTTCTTTTTTTGAGAATGGAGGAGAGAGGGAAAAACAGAGAAATACCGATGGCCTGCCGTTGGCCAGAATCAAACCCAGGACCCTTTGGTTTACAGGCCAACGCTCTATCCACAGAGCCAAGCTGGCTAGTGTGAGGACAGTCTTTAATATACTACTTTAGGAGAAAATTAATAAAAATTATAGGATCTGGCCGAGACCGGTTTGGCTCAAACCGGTAGGGGGTGTGCAAGAGGCAGCTGATCGATGACTCTCTCTCATCGATGTTTCTTAACTCTCCATCTCTCTCCCTTCCTCTCTGTACAAAATCAATAAAATATATAAAAAAAATTATAGGATCTGTCCAGAAGGTCAGACATCTAAATAATCAGAATTTCAGAAAGATAACAGAGACTCAGAGAGAAGAATAATCAAATAAATTATTTAAAAGTAGTCCCCTGAGCCTTAGCCAGTTTGGCTCAATGGATAGAGCTTCTGTCAGCGGACTTGGATTTGAGTCTGATCAAGGGCACTGGATGTGCCTCTCTCACATCAATGTTTCTCTTTATCTCTCCCCTTCCCTTCCACTTCCACTTTCTCTAAAAGTCAATGGAAAAATATCCTTGAGTGAGGATTAACAACAATGAAAAGAGAGAGAGAGAGAGAGAGAGAGAGAGAGAGAGAGAGAGAGAGAGAGAGAGAGAATATGTCCGGCAGGCATGGCTCAGTGGTTGAGCATTGACCTGTAAACCAAGAGGTCACAGTTTGATTCCTGGTTGGCACATTCCCGGGGAGGGCATGCATAAGGCAGGAAATCAATGATGCTCAGCATTGATGTTTCTTTCTCTCTCTCTCTCTCTCTCTCTCCTTCTCCCTCTCCTTTCCTGTCTGAAATCAATAAAAGTATATTTTAAAAGGGAAAGAAAGAAAGAAACAGAAGATCCAGCACAAAAGAGAAACAAAGAATCCTGAGAGCAATGGTGAGGGAGATTGCAAGCTGTAGGACATGACTAGAGATCAAGATTCAAGCAGTTCAGCCTGGTCAGTGTGGCTCAGTGGTTGAGCTTCTACCTGGGTAGTAAGAGGTCACTGGCTTGATTCCCAGTGGGGAGCGTACAGGAGGCAGCCAATCAATAATGTTTCTCTCTCATGGATGTGTTTATCTCTCTGTCCCTCTCCCTTCCTCTCTCTCTAAAAATCAATAAAAACATGTTTTTAGAAAGAGATTGTTATGCCCAGATTTCGTGATCCCCAAGAACCACCAGGGAGCCAAGTCCAATGCAATAGCAGAAAGCCTGTATTCCATGCAGGCAAGGGCTCTGTCCCACTTACACCCACAGCAGCGTGGCGGAAGAGAGCGAGCTTCAACAGATCAATGGGTTTTATAGGGATGGTGATGTCACTGCTTTGGATGATCCCGATTGGTTGGGTGAGGGCTAGGGCCCAGTTACAAAATGGAGGATCAGGAGTTAGCCCTGCCCTGCCCTTTCAAGATTAAGAAAAAAATTACAGCAGTTCAGATGATTATATATAGCAAAAGTGGAAATTTATTGAGAAACAAGCACAGACTCTGACGTGGTGTGAATACCCACATCCTGTGTGGTTCAGGGTTCAGGGTTTGGGCTCTGGAAGAGGAGCCGCACACAAATAACAGAGACGAGACAAGAAATAATAATTTGGAAATTGGGGGCCAGGAGGGAGCCCAATGCAAGAGGAAGAACGGGCTTGTGCTCAGGCCTTGCCATCCTTTTATTCAGTTTGGGGTACACCTACAGCCCGTAGGCAGGCAATTCCAGTAACAGGCAGACTATCTTATCAGTGAGGATTTACATGACTGTCTGGGGGGGAAGTTGCATTGCAGGAGGCAACTAATCAATGATTCTCATCAGTGATGTTTCTATCTCTCTCTCCCTCTTCCTTCCTCTCTGAAATAAATAAATAAATAAATAAATAAATAAATAAATAAATAAATAAATAAATACACACACACACACACACACACACATTTATTTAAAAAATAAAGAAATTCACAGTCCAATTTCACACCATTTGGTTGGTTTAAAAAAAATTCAAGCAGTAAATTTAGATTTAAGTGGTCCCAGGCACTTGGCAGAAGCAAACACATCCATTCTGGAAAAATGTCCCTTCATCCTAGGCACCAAAAAACTCCTAAAAATCATTTCCCAGGGATGTTAGTAGCTCATAGAAAAATGACAAAACACACAAAAAGGTAAGATACTAGGAATGAAAACCAGAAGAAACAATAGCAGAAACTGAGCCTCAAAGACTTCAGATGTTGTTATCTGACACATTTAAAATAATTATGCTTACTATATATTTTTTTCAGGGTTGCCATTTAATCAGTGTTATTGTGGTAACATTGGCAA